TATATGGTTGAAAACAAAGTTACAGTTGTTTCAGATTAACTGTAAATCAATATTGAAAGAAATAATATTTATAAAGAAATCAAATTGATTAAAAGAATGTGAGTTCATTATAATTTATGATTTTATTAAAACATTCATTACATGCTAATAGATCTCAACCTTTTTTATTTATTAAATTAGTTTTGATTTGAAGATTTTGATTGATCATTACTATTGTAGGATAGTAAACAATAAATACAAATTGGAAGATATAGTTAAGTATCCTATTTTATCCAAAAAAAAGTACAATTATTACATTTTTTGAAATTAAGAGAATCTTAATATTTTTAATAAATTATTTCAAGTTAATTTTTCAATATTTTTTTGATTAAGACTTCAGAGGTATATTATTTTAAAAGTTGATTATTAATTTTTTTGCCACATATACAAGAGATTGTTGGTTTTTATTGATTTAATTGTTGTTTAATGTTATTTTGAAAACAATCATAATGAAACTTATGTTTACATAACGTTGTAATTGTTTGAGAGTGTAAATATTAATGTTATTCCAAAGTTATTGTGGAATATGATTAGTTTTCTTCCAATTTTGAGTATTAATTATCTAGATGCAAAAGACAAAAATTGCATACAATTTCTTTATAATTTGCTAATGAATAACTATTAGGATTGTTTCCATTAAGAAACTTATTTCTTAATCTAATGATTGGTTTAAATGCGATTCGAATTTTATTTTTTTAATTTCCTTAACATTCATTTGTGCTAGAGGAACTTAAGTCTAACTTTTTTTTTATTTATGAATCATAAAGTTTAGGATTTATATCTTCTGTGCTACAAGATGAATGTTTTTTTCTTCTCTTTTCATTACGATTTTATGGCCTAATATAAAGGGTTAATTTTTAGTTTAAATTAAAGCAACTACTATTTTTTTACAAAATCGTACTAAGATACTCATAGTCACTTTATTAGCTTTACATTATATAGAGATTAATTATAAACTTATATTTTATTATTATAACAAACCTTCTAATAATGGATATATGATTTATAATGGTAAAGTTATGAAATAATTGAGAAATTAATTCTAATGAATCGATTTATGATAATAAATATAGAGAGTAATATAAAAAATTATACTTTAATTTTCTTTAGACATCATTATGATAAATTGAATATCAATAAATGAACATAATACTTAAATATTAATTAATAAATAATTTAATAAAGATTTTAATATATATAAATTAAAACCCATAAAAATAATATTAATCAATTAATATTTAAAGTAAAATTATATTTAGAAAAAACTTAATCCTTCCAAGATTCAAATTTAGAAAGCTATCCAAGTTTAAACCTATTTAATAGGTTGCGGGCAAGGCTCCTATTCCGGAAGCTGAGCTCGTTACAAAATTAAACAAACGAAATCATTTCATATTTTTATACTAAATTTTAAATTAACAATAATATTTCAATATTAATTAAGATGAAGTATATTATTATAATTATTTCTTCATTATTTTGCATAACTAATAATTATTAAGTACTATATTTTAATTCAATCCCTTTTTGCTTTGATATTTATAATTAAAATATTAAAGCTATTAAATTAAGAGACAATTATTAGCTTAAAAGCGATTATTAATTTGAATGATGATGATATATTGATATTACTATCATTTTTTAGCCAATTTCTAAATTTAAATCTTATTTATTAAAATTATGGGAGTTTGCTAATCTTAGACGTAGATTAGAAAATCTTTAAGAAAGAAACAGCTTCAAATAGTTAGTGAACAAACAATATAAGAGAAAGTAAAAAGAAATGATAGTGTTCCTCGCCATAAAACTATGCCTTCAATAAATTGCTATTCAAAAGATAAATTGGTTTCCTGTAAAACAATAAATAGTTCAAAAATAAAAAAAAAGGTGTATGGAGAAGCCTTGGCTAAGTTTTACTCAGTTCTTAATTCATAATATGGATATAAAAGTATTTATGTATCGAATTACTTAGACAATGATAATACCCGACTAGTATAACATAATGTTACTGGTGTAGTAAGAGTAGCAAGAAATATTCAGAAACCAGAAGAATAAGATGATGATTTTGATCTCTAGATTACAAATCTATAAGAACAAACCTATGTAGTTTAAGTTATTTATTTCTAGACTTCTTTGCATTTTGCTAATATCATTGAGTTATACTAAGATTCCAAGAGTTATTATGCAATATAAGAATATTGCAGTGGAGGTTTACTATCAGATTTATGTGGTTAAATTAAAGAAGAAGAGGCGATCTATATAATATCTTAGATTTTAGACATATTAGAATAAATACATAAATAAGACAATTGTCATGGTAACCTTTCAATATAAAGTTTTGCTTTGCATGATCAAACAAACAATCACTATATCAAACTAATAGATATTCTTCCAATATTTTAAGTTAAAGAAAAGTCAAAATTTAATGAAATATAAAAGGCTGATCGACAAGCAGTTGGACTTATTTTATTTTAATTAATAACAAATAAACCAATTACTCCTTAAACTATTGATATGATCATTAAAAGACCAAGAGATCTACCAACCAAAACTGAGTGGTATTAATTGGTTTTATTATTACTTGAATCAAAAAGTTTTATTATTTATGAGTAAGTGTTGTAGAATAAATAATATCGAGAAATTGTTTAAAGATAAGAAGCCCGATATGTTGAAACTATAATCAATAAATCAGTTAAAAAGACTTCCTATATTTAATAGAAAATCCTTATTATTATGAATTCTATTTTTTTTAAAGAAAGATAATTGTAATTGGAGAAGATTTTTTAAAAGAATGATGAAAATAGAAATGGAACTCTATCTAAAGAAGAACTTTAAGTTGCATTAGGTATTGAAGAGGATATTGATGATTTGTTTGAGAATATGGATTGTGATGGAAATGGAGAAATTGATCTAGATGAATTTATTCTTCATTCTTGTGATAGAAAAGCTTTAATAACTGATTTTAATTTAGAAGCTACTTTTAAAGAATTATAGAGGAAAGGATTTATCACAGCTTCTAACTTCAGTAGATTAACAAATTGTGATGAAGAGAAAATTGAAAATTGTTTAATTGAATTTTGTAATAGCAAAAAGGTAAACATTTAGATTATAAAGTAGATGAACTAGGAATAATTGAAAAAATTGATGATGGACTTGTTATGAAATTTTGAATTATCTAATATTGTGTTAAATGATGAAAGTTTCAAATTTTATTATAATTCTAAATATATGTTTAATTTTTTTATTGATAGAGTTGACTCATCTTAATCAAATTCAAAACCTCATATTTACTAAATAAATAATCATATTATTTTAAAATCAACAATCACAAAATTATTCATACCCTCATTCTCATATTCACAAATGCATTTTATAAATTTTAAATCAAATATAATGTTAATTTATTTTTACTTTATATCTAATTATTTTGAATAAATAATTTCATTTCAATTTTCTTCTTCAAAAGTATAAGGATCTTCTCATTAAATTAGAATCACATGAATTTTCTTCATCAAAAACATTTTAATTTTAAGAACTCATAAATTCAAAATAATAAACAATCAAACTTTTTCTCCCTTTATTTGTTATCGTTTTACTATAAAAAATCAAAAGAAAGGTACTCATTCTAACATTTTAAAGCAGAAATCAAATCAAATTAAGTCAAAGCATTAAAATTAAAAAAAAATCTTGATGATTATAATGAAGATTACTTTTTATGAATTTTAAAAATTTATTACAATATTTGAGATTAGGTTAATGACTATATATGTTACATTTAATTTCAATTAGAATTGAATATTTTAAAGTTCTATCTTCTTATTTTAAGAATCCATATCTATCTATCATGATAATTTCTTTTCTATGATTCACAAAAAGTCTATTTTAAACTTAGTGTTTTCTATTTATAATTAATAGCTTAAAGATATTATTTTCAGAATTAAATAATTTTTTAAAATATGATTTATTTTGTATTAAAACTAAAAGGCCAATTAGAATTTGTTTATTTTACTATACCTTCTTATGAATTATTAGAAAAAAGAATTCAAATAATTTATTTTTCTATACTTACAGGATTCTTCTGTATATTTTATCAATAATAGAATCAATAACTCTCACAATATTAATGCCTCATTAGTATTTAATATTAAGATTTATTGGTTGGCTAGGATTTATAGAATTAAGAAGATTATTTAATTATTTAATTATAGCATAATAAGCATTTCAAGATTAAATTCAGGTTGTGATGTAAAAAGATTCAATAAGTAGAGAATAAATTTATTAATAGGTTCTTTAAGATAAATTTTATTAAAGAGCCTTTGTATATTAACTTTATTCTTTAAATTAATCTAATGATTTCAATAACCTACCTCTCCGTTACGATAATTTTATAGAAATTTATTATTTTAAATTCATCTATTTATATTTGTCTTTTTTGAGAACTTTATTATATAATACATAATTATTTTTTATTAACAAATAAATAAATTATGGACCTATTAATAGAGAATGTGATCAAATAGATAGAAGAATTTTTAGATGCAAAATTACATAAACTTGAATAAAAAATATATTAAAAAATTGAATTATAAGATGCAATGATAAAGTTGATTCTTGAAAACTTGAATTAATTAAAAGAAACTTAGTAATCTCATTAAATTTTGGAATCTAAATCATCTAGACCTAAACATTCAGTTAGCGTATTTATTATATATATTTAGTAATCTTTTGAAATACTTAAAATTTTTAATACATGTTGTGCTTGTAATCTCGAAATTATTAAAACATCTGAAGAAATAGAAACTAAATGTCATCATTTTTACCATGAGAAATGTCTTTAAAAGAAAGTCAAATAATAAATAGAAATGGGATTCGTAACTGGAAATTGTGTAGGAAGACTATCCAATACAAATAGATTATGTTATGGAAAAATCAAAATCAAAGATTGTAAATTTTCAGATCAAAGTAAATTAATAAAAACTAATCTCAATCATCAAGCATTAAAATTAATGGGATAATTCACAACCTGTCCCATGAACGATTGTAATTATTTTTTTCATTTAAATGAAAATATTGAGAGCAAAATAAATTTGTGCAGTAATTGTAATAAATGTTTCTGTTATAATTGCCTTGATTTTTGTAATTAATAACACTAATGCTAAATTAGTAGATAATTTTCATAAATTATTTGTAAATTTTGTAATAAATGTGGAATATTACAAATAATCTAAAAATTAAAACCATAATTAGCTTGCACTCATTGCTAAAATATGATATTTTTATGATTGTGTATTTAATATAATTATCATTCAGACTATTTCAATGTTATTCTCTGAGTTCATTTACTTGTGATCTAATCTTCAATAAAGTTGATTCACAATATTATCTAACTTACTCTCCATGATTGTGTGAATGAGGTTGATTATATTCTCCCTATTGATGATATTATTATTATTCTCACATAATTAAATTGTATTTCACCATTATAATAGCTTAGAATTCCTATTCCAAAGTATCCAATTATTACTCCTCCAACCATATGCGGTTAGCTGACTATACCTTTCTTGATGAATCTCCATAATTAATACATATTTTTTAATAAAAATAATAATTAAGATTAATTATTTTGATTATATAGTTTTATTCCTTTATAATAATTATCAATATTTTTTCTCTGTTTGTCTTTCTATTCTATTATACAAATTTAATTAAAATCAAAAGTATATAAATAATAGAATTGTGAATATTTAATTTATATGATAAAAATAAATTTATTTGTTTAAATTATAAACAAGCTGAACTTCCAAAATAAGAGTCTTACCCTCAATCTATTATATTGGTTTAAACTTGGAAAGTCTTTTTGGTTACATGAATTTTAATATAAAAAAATTAATAGTTAAATTAAATGTTTAGAGGTCAATTTTACTAAATCATTTAAAAAAAGATCGGATTAAAATAATAATTGTACTCTTTAATAATGTTAAATAGATGTTAAAGGAAAATATATAAATATATATATGAGAATTATAATTCATTTTATTATTCAAAATTTAATAAACAATAAATAGTTAAATTAGGATTATATTTTCACCTTCTTAATATTTTCCATATGGTTTCTCTTTATGATGGAGGTGTCATTTTTAAAGTTATATGAGCCTTTCTTGCTTATGCAATTAATTATAGAAAAGATGGATTGTATTCCATACACAATTGATTATAGTTTACTGCAGATGTTGACCAAGGATCAGCTTTTTTATCTAAAATATATTTCACAATTTTTTGATTTCCACCAATAATTGCGAAATAAAGAGTTGGTCTTCCTATGATATCTTGAAATTCAATATCAGCCCCATTGTCTACTAATAGCTTAACAATTTCAAAGTGTCCTCTCTTGCAAGCCCAATGTAAAGCCGTCATGTAAATCTATAAGTGTTTTGAATCACACTTACATAATCAAAATCGTAAACCAAATATTTGTTATCTTTTATAAACTCTTTTACTTCCCATTCTTTTCCTTACTTTGCAGCTTAAATAAATTCATAAGAATTCTCTTTTTAGAATGGTTTTGTACTTATCACTTTATCACTAAATGCCTAATAAATATCCAAATTTAATCTACTAATATATTAGAGAGTCTTTTTTAACTCATGTTATATTTTTTTAAAATCTACTTTTCTGCGCATTATATCCTACGTTATAGTAACTATTCTGTCTTAATTATAAAATTCTAACATCTCATCAAAGACACCCATATCTTTATCATCTACATCTTTTTTAGGTTTTTTTGTATCAGTATTTAATTACTGGGTTACTAAATTTACTTAACATTCTCTCTCTGTATAACATCCATTTTATTAAGAAGTATCTTAAGAAACATTTTTACTCTTTAATCTTAATCTAAATAATTAAGTTCTTGGCCTTGTATTTTATTACTAAGAAGATTAAGGAATTTCCACTGCTTTCTTTTTAGGTTTTATGAATGCTTTACTATTACTTCTTTAATGAAAATTTTTGTAATCAATTGTTTAAGTATTTTTTATACCTTAAAATAATTTGCTGATTTTTATTTTTTCATTTGTACAATATGATTTTACCCATAATGATCCATCTCTTTCTCTTTCTACATTTCTAAATTCCCTACAAGTTTATTTTATTTATCTAAATATCTCCCTTTTTAGTTCTTAAGGTTTTTATATTAACTCAAGCTTTTTCATTTCTTCCTTAAAATCCATCTGTTTTGAAGGTTAATTTTAAATATCTGAAACTGCTCTACATTTCCTCATTTTTTACTCAGAAACAGATCTATTGAATACTAGCTGTTGACTAAGTTTATAAACTTTTATTGTAGGTCTTTCATAGTCAAACTCATATACTTTTGGAGTAAATTGCATGATTAAATTTACAAATAATTAATTATAAAGCAATTATTGAAAACAAAAATTTATATAATTCTATGCATTTGAATAAAAAAAATTATATCTTTATTAAATATATAATTAAATAAATTACAACCATTTAAAGTCATTTTTAATTTAAAATAGTAATATTGAATTAATACTCAAGTAAACATAGTTTTGAATTTTAAAACAACTAATTTTGTTAAAACTAATGATAATTATATCAACATTCATAAATCAGTATGAAATAAGAATATATAATTGTATAAACTTATATATATCAAAAATTCAAACATCATTATAATAGTTTTAAAAGATATAATGAATAGAGATTTCAATAGTTTAGATCCTATTTATTTAATAAATAAAAGGGAAATGAAAAATATGATATAATTTAGTGTTATTTTATCGATTTAATAACTTTAAGTTTATAATATTATGAATAATATATAAAATGACTCTAACTCCAGGTTTTCTAACATAAATATTATTGCATACTTCTATAACAGATAGAATTCATAGTCTTAGATTTGTTTATACTTAAATAAATAAAAATTTAGATTTCTTCGTTTAGTTTTAGTTGAATTGTTTTATGTTTTAGTAAAATAATATTATTATATGGATTGTCTATCTTATGATTAGCAATCATAAATAAAAGAAGTAGAAGTATTAATTTTGATAATATGTTAACAAACAATAATGAATTCATAATAATTGTTCAACTAGATACTCAACAAACATACGAGCATTTGAAAGTAGTTTTGTACGTGAGATAATTTATGATATCAAGTCGCTTTTTTCTTCATCAAGCTAAACACTTACTACTTTTTATAACTCACATAGATTTTCATAAGAATCCTATTGAACACTTAAATGTTTGTAGTTTCTAAATATAATAAAAACACATACTATCCTAAGACTTCCCATTTATATCGAAGATATTTGTAATATCTATTCTTTACCATGGCCAGAGTTTTTCCAGGAAAGTGTTTATGAATTTTTTAAAACTTTGGTCCGACATTTAGAACTAACTGTAGAATTAGCTTATCTTCTTCTGGTGTGAATTTTTAACCTGATTTCTTAGAATTAGAAGCATCAGAACTTCTTCTTTTTTTTCTGTGGTAATCATATTTGTTTTTTTTTTTAATTTTCTTAGGCTAGTCATTATTATTTATTTAAGGATCCTATAATAAATGACAATGCATAATTTAAATTATTAATTATATAATATTGAATTAAACATCATCATTCCATTCCAAATTATCCATCCATATCAGCCTGTATTACTGCTTTTAAATATGATTCGATTTCTTCTCTCGTTTCATACATTGGTAGTTCCAATCTATTAAAACATGTATGTGCTTTTGGGAAAGGACTGGCCTTAGTAAATGGAACACTTTCAATACAAAATTTAGAGCAATTTCCTCTATTACTTTCTAACTTTCTGAATCCTTCTACGGGTGTTCTAGTAGATCCAGTACAAAATTATAAAAATTTAGCAAGATTAAATTGATCTAGCTATTCTAAAATTTCCCAAAACCATTATATTGTTTAATGAGTTCTGTAATAAGCTCCTTTATAATCAGTGTTATCTCTCCAATCATTAATATCAATAAAAGGAGTCCCATAAAGAATCATTTCTAATTCCAAAGGTTCAAGTAAGCTAAGAAGTTGTTTTGGAATTATCTAATCATTTTATACTAATTAAATACACTATATAAAGTTGATAAAAAAGCAGTCAAAAACGGCTTCACCGATAAATATGTATAATATTCAATGCTAAATTTGATTATATATATTTTTACCATAAATTAACGTACTCTTGACAATTATCCATATCTAGCATAATTTTTTATCCACCAGGTTTTAATTCATAATAATCTCCTTTGCTCTATCTATAAATAACAAAATATTCTGAAACATCATCAGCTTCAAATTTATTATTAACTAAGAAATCCCAAGATTTATATAACTAAATAAAAGATAGAAATACTTATCTATCATAATAATAAATATCCTCCAAGAAAATAGGTTAACCTATAATGTGTTTAATAATTGACCTATCGAAATAAATATTTAAAGGAATCCTTTCAAAAATGCATTTACCAACAACAATACCTAATAATTTAAAACAATCTATAATATGTTCATCTGTATCTGCTTCACAATTAATTTTATATGATACATCCTCACAATCAGCTAATTAAAACATACCTGATTCAGGGTGTATAATCTCCTTCATAATTAAATTAGCCCATTCTCTAAGAAGTCCTCCAGCATCCAAAACTTTATCACCATCAATATGAACTTTAACTTCTTTGTGCCAATTAATTTCTTTATACATATTTAGAGTAGTCATTAAGAAACTCTCTTTGTTAACAGATAGAGTTTCTGCTCCTTATTACCAAGGTATCCTCTTTTTTTCTAATTATAATCTAAACCATGTTTATTTAATTGGAAATTCAGAATTCTTTATTTAAACCCATGGCAAGGCTAACATTTCAGGAACATTAGCTGCTGGCATTGGAGGAGATAACTGAGATATAATAATGTTACATTTACTTTCTTGTTCCATTTATATTTAATCTTAGACCCAGCCAATAATTCTTTACACCAATAATATTTTTATTTTCTATTTTGAAAATCATCCTAGATATAATGAGGCTTAATATTATAAAAATAAACTTATTACAGTGGTTCTTGGGTTTGGATTTGGATTCGGATTTGGATGATGGTTTGGTTCAATTATAACATCGCCAACTTACACATTACGAGATTAGACAGCTTGATTTTATATTTATCCAACTCTACAACTCGTAACATGTTATTAATACTTTTTTACTTTAAAATGCTTACCTGAAGAGCACTTTATTATGCTTAAAAAACCATATGACATTTTGGACATTATTGATTTTATTATAACTAGGTTTAGTTTCTTTTTAAACAATTTCCCATATAAACTTATTATTTTTTATATAATAATAATAATCAATTCTAATTCTATGCTTTTTTAATCAATTTTCAATTCATTTCTTATTATTATTCCTATAATCATATGATTTAAACAAACATCTTAAATACATTCTCTATTATTTCTAATATCAATTATTATTGATTATTTAAAAAAATAAATAAATAAAACACCTCATCAAATTATATTTATTCATAATAATTTCATTAATATAAACTAAAATTTATTTTTCCTTTTATTCATTTATTAATATTAATAGAATTACATGCAAAATAATAAATATAGTCTTTCTCAAAAAGATATAAACACAAAACCTTAAGTTATTTAATAACAATCTAATATGGCAGCTAGTATAATTAAGAATTTTAAAAAAGTAAATAATCATTATTTTATCTAGAGTGATTTTTATCCATCCGATTAGTAGAAAAATGTAAGTAATAAACTTGAACAGGGTTAATAGATCTTTTAAATTATCTTAGAAAAATAACCATCTAAATAAGGATAAATGGATATGTTAAAAGTTGAAAGAAATTCTAAATTATAATAATTTGAAATACAAGATAAGAAAATAGAAAAGTAATAATCTGAATTAGAATAACTTAATATATTAAATGAAAAAATTGAAAAAATATAATTCAAATTAGACTAATTAGATGCAATAGATAAGAAAATATAAAAACAATAATCAAAATTAGAATAACTTGAAATATTAAATGAAAAAGTTCAAAAATAATAATTCAAATTAGACTAATTAGATGCAATAGATAAGAAAATATAAAAACAATAATCAAAATTAGAATAACTTGAAATATTAAATGAAAAAGTTCAAAAATAATAATTCAAATTAGACTAATTAGATATATTAAATGAGAAAATATAAAAACAATAATCAAAATTAGAATAACTTGAAATATTAAATGAAAAAATTCAAAAATAATAATTCAAATTAGACTAATTAGATATATTAAATGAGAAAATATAAAAACAATATTCAAAATTAGAATAACTTGATACATTAAATGAAAAAATTCAAAAATAATAATTCAAATTAGATTAATTAGATACAATAGATAAGAAAATATAAAAACAATAATTTAAATTGGAATAAATAGAATTGTAATAATCTAAATTAGAATAAGTAGAAATTTAATACAAGAAAATAGAAAAATAATCATCTAAATTAGACTAATTAGATCTATTAAATGAGAAAATAGAAAAGTACTAATCTAAATTAGAATAACTTGATAAATTAAATGAAAAAATTGAAAAATAGAGATCTAAATTAGAATAATTAGAATAATAATCCAAATTAGAATAATAATCCAAATTAGAATAATTAGAAATATTAAATAGGAAAATAGAAAAATAATAATCCAAATTAGAAAAATTAGATAAGAAAATAGAAAATTAAGATTAATCTGAGTTTTAAGAGTAAATATAGAAATTTATTAAAAACAACAATTATGCTCATGAGACTTGGATAAAATCATCAGAAAAAATTGAAAAAGTTTATTAAACTATTGAAGAATAGATTTAGGAACTTGATATGTTTAAGTAAGGCGTAGCATTAAAAATTATTGAGTATAATACTAACTTAAATTAAAATGTTAGTGATTATTTTAGAGATTTGTAATAACAAATTTTAATAACTCAAAATTAAACTGATTAGAATCTATTCAATCTAAATCAATATGAAGAAAAATTAAGATTATTTTGTGAAGAACTACAAAAAAATTTTAATTTTTAGGATCAATCAATGTAAAATTTTAATTATAATTAACCACAAAATTTCTCATCAAATTTCTAATAAATACTGCCATAATAAGCTAATTTCAATAATACATAATATCAACAGCCATAGTCATAGTCTTTCAATAATTCAGCTCTTTAAAATGATTTTTATCCACCACCTCAATAAATGCCATATAATTTGGATTAACCAGGACAAATTCAAGGAAAATCCAAAATTAAATTAATATCACAAACTTAAGGCTAAATACCTTGATTATGATTTAGAATTAAAAATTAATAATTATTGTAAAGAGGCTTCCATAGTTTTCATTATAATATTACATGATTTTAATTTTAATTACATATATTTTCGTATAGAATTAATAAAATTATTTCTCGGTCTTAAAAAACAAGGGACATAGATTTAATAAATAAATTAGACAAATAAATATTTTGTTAACAAACTTTTAAGTTGTTAAATTTTAAGTCCAACCTGTAAGGTTAGTTATTATTCATCATAATATTATAAAATTCTATTTTTAAGGACTAAGAAGGAAGTGAATCTAAATTGAATAATAAACAAATCTAAGCAATAATTAAAAAATAGGTTTTTGTTTAAAATTAATGAGAAAAATTGTTAAAATGAATAAAGCTAATACTTAGAATGATAAAGTTATCGAAATATTTGTAATAAAAAGAACAAAAAAAGAATTAAATTTTAAAATTGGTTATTTCTAGTTGAGCTAGATAAGCTAAAATTATTAAAAAATACTTCCATTTAACTTTATGTGAAATCCTTCTATCCTTTTTAATTATTATTCATATTTACAAGAATTATATTAAATTAATTAGAATCTTTATGCAATTCATAATAAAAACTCTATTAGTAACAGTAATTTGAGATAGCTCTTTTTTAATAAAAATTTTTAAATTTAATCTAGAATGATTTTTTCAAAAGGAAATATCTTTAATAAAATAAAGATTATTAAATAAATAAGCTAATGTATATAATAATCATTTTTTTGTTTAATGGAATTAAAAGTAAAAACAAAAAATTTTATATCTGTGATTAAAACTAAATCTTTATTTGAAATTCTAATTCATAGATTTGATGATAAAATAGTATTTATATATATTTTTTTAATATTTTAATAAGAAATTTATTTAATAAATGGGTAGTCTGTTTTCAGGTTCACAAACTTAAAAACCGAAAATTGAAACTAAAACAAATAGTTAAACTAATCAAAATTTTCAGTAGCATCCTGGTGTTTCTATTACAACTATGAGACCAACTTAATCAATAGGAGAGCAAATATTATAAGATGGTGAATTCTCTTTCAATGAAGAATAGCAAAAAGAGAAATTTCCATAAATAATATAAGGACATATAAATGTAAATTTTATTGAATCTAAGGAAGCAATTTTAATAGATTAATCAGGTAAGTTAATTAGATAAATAACTGATTGTAAATAAAATAATTATTGCTATGATTGCAATTAACTAATTTAAGACACTGTTATAAAAATAATTTGCTAACATTAGTTCCATTAAAATTGTTTTATTTAATTAATAGAAAAATAATTATCAAATGAAGAAAGATTCATAATAAAGTGCAAATGCGGTACAAAATTGAATCCAAATATTTTAAGATAAATAGCTGATGTTGAAATATAATCAAAATTTCTATTCTAAATTTTTACCAATTAGGTTTTTAAATTAATATCAAATTCACAAATCAGAAAATTATGTGATGTTAAATAAATTTAGATGATGATAGAATAAAATACAAAAAAATAAGACTTTGATTTTAACTATGATGAAAAAAAAGTAGAACTTAAAAAAAAAATTACTGAATATATAATAGATGAAAGTGGTATTCTACAAATAAGTTAATCAAAACTCTTAATTGTTAGTGTTTGTTTAAATTGTGGAATTGAAATTACAAATTCTTTGCTAAAATTGAATTGTGGACATATTTATCACTAAGATTGTTTTATGAATTGGTTAAAATTTTAAATTGAAGATAGAAGAAACCCTATTATTAAATGTAAATGTGGAACTAAAATAAATACTAATATCATTAGAAGGATTCCTGAAAGTAAAATTAGAATGAAATTTTTGAACTATTTGTTTTCAGTGTAATTGTCAAAAATACTACCTTATTTAAAGAAAATTGACGATTTTGATTAAATTTGGGATTTATATTATGAAAATTAATATACAGAAGATCAAGATTACAATAGTTCATCAGGATTTTTATATTTCAGTAATTATTCTACACCAGGAGGAGATTGATTAAATCAAAAATAATTAATAAAATGATATAATATAATAAAAATGATTCTAAATTGATTTGAACATATTTATATGATTTTACGTATAATGGATTATTAATAATAATTTAATAAAAATGGGGAGCAGCTTTTGTAAATAAGATAATTCTTCTTAATTAATCACTATAGTTAATAAATCTAAAGTATAATCCACTAAAGAACCTGAAGAAAATGATTAATTAAAGATTGAATCTGATAAAAGTGAAATATTTAAGAACTAAAATTAAAGAAATGACCAATTGAGGAGTGAGGGTATTTCAAATAATTAAACCTCTGATTTATCAGTGAAGACTGAAGAAATTCCACTCAGAAAATGTCTAAAGTGTGAAAAATAGATTTCTTCAATTTTTGTTTTAACAAATTGTAAAAAAGGCTGCTATTATCATTAACTATGTATGGAAGACCATATGAAAAAATTAATTGAAGGTGAAAAACCTATAATTAAGTGTATATGTGGAACCAAAATAAATTCTTATTTTTTAAGAGAATCATCAATCCCTGGAAAAATGACATTACTATCTAGAATGTTTCAAAGATAACTAGATTTTATTTTATAATCAACATAAAAAATAAGAAGAGATTTAGAAGTCTAAAACTTTGTTAAAAATAATCAATTATCGACTGAGTTGCATGATTATATATTAATCGACTAAAACTTATTAATTTATGAAGAAACACCCTAATGATTAATTTAATTTGTATCAGAAGTTATAAATGGCTTTTAGTCTAATAAATGTTAAGGATAACAATAAATTAAATTATAAAAGATCTATTTTTATAAATTTATTTATATAATAAATAAATTTAATCAAAATTTGAGTTTTATATTATTTTTTTAATTTTTTTCTTTTATTCTAAACAATCTAATATTCAAGCTGAATCTATTTATTGAAAATAAGGATTTAGAATCATCAGAGAGTAACACTTATCGTGAATCAAAATATTTTTATTAATTCAATACGAATTATCCTTCATGATTTTTAACCCAAACTTTTATATTACTATAAGATCCAGAAACTAAAAGTAAAGCATTATAATTGAAATATGCGGATCGAATATAATATCCTCCATTCAATTATTAAATAAAAATAAATTTAGGATTGGATTCATTATTTTTAAAATTCCAAATTTTAATTGTTTGATCTTCAGAGCAACTTACAAATGTATTTTCATTTTATGCAAAATTGACACATGTAACTAAACTTGTATGATCTGTAATAGTTTAGAAATGTTCCCAATCTTCATTCAAATTCCAAACACAGATTTTTTAATCTCCACTTCCTGAAACTAAAAAAGTAGAATCATAATTAAAGCTTAATGATTTAACCAATTAATTATGATGAATTAAAATCTAGGAATTAATCCATTTATCTTCTGCATCAATCCATACTTTTATATTTCCTTCTTGACAACCAGAAACTAATAAATTATTTAATTAATTTAAGCATAAACAATGTATATCAATGTTATGAGCATCATTAATGATTTATTTACAATTATAATATTTCTTTTCTTGTTCTTTATTTTATGAATATTGATTCCAAATTCTAATAGATTTATCCTCTCCTGCTGATATTATTATATTATTAATTTTACCAAAGCACACAGCATTTACTGATCCAACATGACCTTAAAGACTTTAAAATTCTTTAAAACCTTCTTCATTTTATTGAAGTAAAACAAGATTATCTTCATTATTATTTCCTTACATACCACATACTATTAATGTAGTAGTACCATTTAAAGCAATACAATTGCAGACTGAATTTATAGTGATTTCTTCTTTTATTGTAAATAAACCTTTATTTATGTTTTAATCATTTCTGCTTGATTCTGATACTTTCTCTGATTTATTATTTATTGAAGGTGGAATTTAGCTTAATAAATTCTCTTAGCTTTGTTGAGTGCCAAGTCTTTAATGATATGAGGATTTATAGAAAGCTTTAACAATTGAAGCAATTTTCTAACATTTTTATTAGACTTAATAAATATTATGCATATCAGTAGATGGAATTTTAGCAACAATTTGATTATCTTATTCAAAATCATAGTATTTGGATATAATTTCTTATAATTTCTCAAAATCTTATTCATTCAATTTATCATCATATAGATAATGTTGAATTAATTTATCATTTAATTTATGATTAATGAGACTATTAAGACAATCTTCAGTTTCATCAAGCAGCTCATCAACTTTAGATTTAATTTCCTTTCTTAAACTTTCATATTATTTTTGTAGTTCTTTAATATGATAATTTAAGGGATGATCTTAATTGATATCCATAAGTAATTATGAGGCTTTGTTAATAGCAATCTTATTATTTTGAGTACACTTTTAACAAAGTAACTTAGTATTAGAAGATTTGTTAAGTGTAATGAATTAGATGCTTTTGTGATGTTAAGTGCATAAGATTTTGGAAGCCTTGTCTTCTAATTTGATCATAAAAAGAAAGAAATAATAAAAAAAATGAAGAGAATAAATTAGTATTGTAAATAATAAATAAAAAATATTAAGTTCAGAATCCTTTAACATCGATCACATAGGATCAGACATATGCTTGATCATCATGATAAGAATAAATAAGTGGATTTAATTTTATTTAAATAAATATTCCTTTATAATTTTATGGGTGTTATAAATGGTGGTGATATTTTTATATTTATATTTATACATATAAACGATTCGACTTCAATAATAAAAATCAAATGAGTAATTTGAATGCTGCAAGTTTATATGAAAATCTTTAACAACCAATAAGTTAATACTATGACAAGAGTTCAAATTTGACAAGAGAAGAATATTTTTATAAACTTTCAATATCGACAACATTATATTTAGGAAATCTGTCTATATATACAACAGAAGAATAAATATTTGAATTATTTAATAGAGTAGGTGGAGGAGTAAGAAGATTAATAATGGGAAGAAACAAAGAAACAGGAAAGGCTATAGGATTTTGTTTTATTGAATACTTCAATCATGAAGATGCAAAAGAAGCACATGAATATTTAGACTTATTAAAATTGGATGAGAGAGCAATAAGAGTAGATTGGGATATTGGATATTCAGAAGGTAGAGAATATGGAAGAGGTACAGGAGGCAATTAGGTTAGAGATTCTTATAGAAAAGTGGCAGATCCAGAAAGACCTAATGTATAATCAAATAGAGGAAGAGGAAGAAGTTATAATAATAATGGAGGAAGAAAAAAATAGGTAGATGAAGATGAAAGTGATAATTCTGGAGGAGGATATAAAAAAAGAACAGGAAATAGATCTAATAATAATTATTGAATATTCATAATTGTTAATATTATTAAGTTCATATTAATTTATTAAAAATTATTTAATATTACTTCATTTTTTATTAAAGAACCCTATTATTCTATCATACAATCTTTCCATCGTTGTCATTTAAGGACAAGTACATTCTCTTTTTGGTTTATAACTTTTTTAACAAACATAACAAAATTCATGTTTGCATTAACAAGTTATATGATTACATCCTCCATCCTTTAATATTTAAATCTTGCATTTTGGACAAGACACCAAACCTTTTTCTTCCTTAACTCTAGCTTTTAATTTCTCTTATTCAACTTATTCACATGATTTACCTTCATGGGCTTCTCCACAACCTAAAAATCAAAATAAATATATTATCATTACCATTTATACAAAATGCTGTTTTACATGTTGGACATACAGGAAAAGGCATATTTTTATCAACATAAAATTTTTATGGACAATTAACACCAGGACAATTTACTAATTTTTCTTTTTCTGTATTAGAATTCAATTTCTTTACTCTAATTTTTATTAATATCAAATAAATACCTTTCATCATTAATTTTAGAACTACATTCAGGAGCACAATAATTTATTATATAATAATCAATTGGTGTATTACAACTAGAACATTTTATATCATCTTCACCATACTTTCCCTCTTTTGTTAAATTAATAATATATTCATGTAGACAGTTTTTACAGAACCTATGATCACATTCTAATGTTATTGCTTCAGCATTCACTTTATATGTATCAGCACAAATTCCACAATCAAATTAAATTGCATTTTCTCTCTCTTATGATTGTTTATATTCCTCTTCTTAAATTTATTCAGCTATTTATGCATCATTATTTATTTAATCTTAAAAGTTTTTTATCTATCTCATCTAGTCTTATTCATTTTCTTATAAAGTATCATCATCCTAAATTTCTTAATCCAATCCATATCTAATTAAAAAATAATTTATACAATTTTTTTAATTCATCAAATTCTTCTTTTCCCAATATAGATTCCGAAAGTTCATCAGTAATTTTTACTTTAGAGCACATTTCAGATTCTTTGCAACATGAAAATGTACTAATAGATTCTAAATAAAATGGTTCTTCTATTAAATATTTTTTAAAGCAATCTTAATGAACATTATGACCACATGGTAAAATTTTGAAATTATTTATAGCTAAATATTCTTAACAATGACAACAAAATGTAGAACCATCAAAATATAATTAGATGTCTTCCTTTTTCTAACATAAAGTTTCCAGTATTTCCTATAACTATTTTGTATGTTAAACTATTTTTTCAGGACTATTTATAAAATTAATAAGTTAGTGGTTTATTTATTGGAGTGAGGGATTCATTATTTTCATCGATTAAATAAAATATATAATATTAATAATAATATTTAAAAATAAAAAAATGTTTGAAAATTATAAAAGGTATAATATTATATTAAGTTTAAATAAATATTGTAACAAAAGTAATAAAGAAATGAAAGATTGTCATTAACATAGATAAATATATACATATATATAAATTTATAAAAAAATAAATATAATTTCAGAATAATAATTTTTATTAATGGTAAAGCGTCTGATAATCAAATTAATAATAGAAGTAGGTTCAACAGTAGCAAAATCATTCATGAAGGCATATTAATAGACAGCAAAATGTAAACATGATAAAGATGTTTAGAATAAGGAGGAAAGGCAGCAAATCCTTTTACAGAGTTTTTGAATCAGACAATGCAGGCAGCTAATTTGACTCATAAACCTATGACAAGAGAAGAAGCATATAAAATATTATAATTAACAGCAGAGAAGGCAAATGCAGAAGAAATAATAAAAGTATAAATAATATTAGAGTGTTATAGATTTATTGGAGATAGTTTCATAAGAATGATCCAGTTAAAGGAGGATCATTTTTTATTTAATCAATGATACATAATGCAAAATGTGAATTGATGAAAGATTTTCCAGATATAAATGAGAAGGAGATTATAGAAAAGATAAAGAAAGAAGAGGAGAATTCAAAAGGAAAAGAAGAAGAAGAGAAATAATAAGAATAGAAGGAAAATTGATATTATAAATACTATATAGTGAAGATTGAATTGAATAAATTAAATTATGCTATAGAGATTGTCTACAGTGTTGAGAAGACCAATGTTCTGGCATGGAACACATCATCATGACAGCAATGATGCTACAAAAAGATTATTTGATACAGTTTCTAGTACAGTGAAAGGAATCTAATAAATAAACTATGTAGTTGAGCATGATCTTAAATTGACAGCTGAAGAGAAATCAAAAATGAAGCAATTCTTAATTTATAGATATGATCCTGCTGTATATTGAGATGTTTAGATATTAGGATGAGAATGACTTTCCAAAGTATGTGAGCTATTATGTTGATTTAAAGAAGATACCACCTATGTACTTAGATGCATTGCTCTATATTAAAGATAATTATGATTCTTCATTATCTTTACGTCGTTCTTGTAGAGAAGGTATCTGTGGATCATGCTCTATGAATTGTAATGGTCTTCATAAATTGGCTTGTATACATGCTATTGACACTGACTTAACTTAACCAGCATATATTACTCCCTTGGGACATATGTTTGTTGTCAAAGATTTAGTTGTTGATATGACCAACTTTTACACTCAATATAAGACTATTGATCCATATTTAAAGAGGAAGACTCCTAAAGTAATCTATATTCTAATATCTATTATTAGGAAGGAAATAAGGAATATATCTAATCTGTAGATGATAGAAAGTTATTAGATGGTCTTTATGAATGTGTATTATGTGCTTGCTGTTCAACTTCTTGTCCTTCTTATTGGTGGCATCCAGATAGATATCTTGGACCAGCTGTCTTAATGTAGGCTTATAGATGGATTGTAGATTCAAGAGATGAATATACTGATGAAAGATTAGAAAAATTAGGTAATTTACTAAATCATTTTATCTAGCTGAGGATGTCAAGGTTGAAGACTGTTAGAATATTGGAATGTGTTCATTCACATGTCCAAAGGGATTAGATCCACAAAAATCTATGAATCATTTAATGAAGTTAATTGAAGAATACAAGGAAAGAAAAATTGCATCTGCAACATTATGATATATTATATCATATAATAATAATAAGAATCATTATTATTACTGCTAGTTAAATCTGAGAAAGCTTGTTCTGCATTTAGGACAAGTAGAATTAATTAGCAACCATGTTTGGATGCATTACATATGAAAATGATGTTTTGGATCGCAAGGAAGTATGAGTAGTTCTTCATCAGTGACATAAACATGCATACAAATACCACATTCATGATCTCCTTGAATTTTTTCAGATTGATAAAGCATTTTACATGTTTTCTTAAGTTCTTTCAAAGATTTTTGATTATCATAGTTTTTTTTTTTTTGTTTAAATTTGTGCCAGAGCATAACAGGTATCAAAAATGGTAAACAAATAATAATAAGTAAACTAATCATATAGACTTCTAAATATTAATAAACAGTCAAGAACAGAAAAACTAATTAGAAAGTGATTACATGACTAAAACATGCATGATAAAGTTGAGGATCTTCAGGATTGAACATTTATAATCTAAAAGCCCAAATAACTAAAATCTAAGTAGTCCAAAAAGTTATGATGCCTAGAAATCTCATTGATTTATATTTAAGAGCAACTTCACATCTAATTTAAGCTGCTAATATTTTTTATTTCCTTTCCATCTCTTCTACAGTCAAGTTAAGGTAAGGATCAAGATCTTCATTTACAATATATTGAGATTCTTGTAATGCATTTGATTAATCATGTCCTTCTTCAAGTTAAATCATATGGTTTAGACTTTCTGCTATTTACATAACAATTTACTAATAGATCTATATATTAACTTAATTACAATGTTATTTAAGAGTATTCCCATATATGTATGATAAATATAGGCAATTAATGAATGAACAAGAACTGCCAACATCCAATTAGTTAGTTCACAACTTTCACAGTTGATCGTGAGTGTAAACACAGCAGTCATCATAAATTTGAATATAGCATACACTCTACACATTAACATTGCATAATGAGTATGTTATAATCCCTTATAAAATATTTTGGTATATCTCCGATTTATTAACATAATTAATTGAAAAAGTCATCATATTAATTTGGATTCTAAACAACCTATGTTAGCAACATTAATATTTAATGGATGAATATATTATAGATGATAGAGTTAACGAATAAGATCGAAATTACCTATTATCCTAAGTCGATTCTATTCACACTCTATACATTAACAGAGAACAAATAGAATCAATTAAATAGCAATTAAATTCTGAAGACTACATCACCATTCATATTGCCTTATAAAAATTGTTAAGACTTATTTTTCTAGAATTTCATATTGAGAATTTCCCTCTTGATTTAGACGAAGCTGGCAATCAATATCATTTCACATAATTCATTATTGAAAATAATATCGTTCCACCACTTATTCATCTAATTTAAGTTCAATATTCTATACAAAGTACTATAGATTCTAGTTAAATACTTATATGTTTACTTTGTGGAACATCTTAATAAGTTGAAGTAATATTACAATATGGATTGGTTTCTAGTCTATCCCTATTACTTTAATCTAATATTGATTTAATAGCATTTACTGGACTTGTTGCTGTTTTGTAGGCTGCTAAAATTAGACATTCTAAACCATTTTGTAAATAATTCCTTAATAGTCAATGTGAATAATTGATATTCAAAAGATATTCTAAAGAACCTGAATTTTGTTTAAAAACACTATATTCTTTATGTACAAAGAAACCTTCAATGAAATTTGAATTAATCAAACCTAGTATATTATTTATAGTTGATAAAATTCACAAAGAAAATAAAATTGGAATAATAGCTAAATGTATATGTATCGTTACTGGAAAATGGATACCTTTACCTCCTTTAAAAGAAAACCATCTTAAAAGAATTCAATTACTTTTAGATTTAAATATAATACCTAGATTTGTATAATTAATGAAAAAATATGAATCAGAATATGAATTATTATAAGTCATTTTAACAAATTTAATATTTGTTTTATCTGGAACTGATTAATAATTCTAATTTGTTTTAAAATAAGGAATTATGAGACAAGTTTAAAAATTATTAGATTGCAAGGATAATGCAACTTTTCATAGATGTCTTGCATTTTTAGTTTAGATTACTAATAAATAATTAGGAGTTAATTATCTTTTTGAATAGAAAAGCATAATTTCAATAGTAATACGAATTTATTGTGTTGAATAAAAGGAATTTGCTTTATTAAAGATTGTATCAATCTTTGAAAATTTGATTAGTTAAGGAAATGTAGAATAAGTTTAATGCTTAATTGATCAATAATTAATTAGAATCATCATAAAAAATTTAAGATTAAATTTAAATTAGGATAATGTCTAATTAAATTGTAAGACTGTAGAATTATTATAATAATTATTCACAAAAGTAAGAAATACAAATAAGGATAAATATGAAATGTGGAAAGAAGAATTTATAAAATTGGAAGGAATTCAAGCATTGAGAGCATTAACTTCATAAACAGAACAAATATTTTCAATAAATGAATTTTTAAATACTTGATGTTTTTATTTAATCAATATATTAATATAATAATCATGAAACTTTCTTAGTAGTTTACTCATTTAACAATTCATGATATGGTCTCTAAGTAATCTTCTCAATCTCTGGTATCATATGTGATTAAAACTCATTAAAATGTATCTATCCATCATTAGAATTATCAATCAATTTGAAAAACTCAGAATACTCTTCTTAATCCAAAGGAATTACAATCTTCCTTTTAAGTATATACACTTACTCGAGTTCTCAACATTTATTTAAATTCATCCTTACTCACAGATCCAGAGCCATCTTGATCAATAGTCATAAAAATTTAAAATAGATCTAACTTATTAGTCTACATAAATTAAACAAAATGATTTGCAACCAAATTTAATATTTCTAAATATATATATTAATACATTTTGAAGTTTTCTTAGCACTTCTTTATTCTTTCATTGCTAACATCTTAAGATTATAAGCTTTATTTAAAACAATGCCAATATCATTAGTAGATATACGACCATCTCCTTCTAAATCAAAATGATCTAAAACTAAATCATATTATTCATCATTTAATTGTATTTCACATTTAACCATAAATTATTTCATTTCAATTCTCTCTACGTGTCCACTATTATCTTCATCTATCTATTTTCTTAAATCTAATATTGATAATCCATTTTTATTAGCATATTCCAATAAACCATCTATACATTCTCTAACTATATCAGGTAATTCACCATTCTCTTTCAGTTATTCTACTTAAACTCGACTTATTTTTATTGGACCTGAACTTGGCCAAGTTTAAAAAACCATATCTAAGTCTATGAAATTAAAATCTTAAGTTAATTCATAAAGTGTTTATAATAAAACATCTGTTTATTCTTCATCTAATGATGTCTATAACAATGCTGTTTTAAATTACTATCTATTTACCAAACTCCCAGGTAATTGAGCAGATATTGATTATTATGAATTACCTTATTATTTCTTCGGTTTCAAATATGCCATTAAATCATCTTTCTTTTCATTTAACTTTTATCTTATTTATTCATGCATCTATATTTTATCTTCTCCAACCAATATATTATATTTCCCTACAGCTCTTATCAAAGTTTACATGATACTTTCATTATCCTTTGTTAAATTTATGTTATAAGTTATCTCTTTCTCACCATAAGGCTCAATTAAATATCTTGATATCAATACACTTTCATTTTAATTTAAATTAAATGGTTTATTTTATAGAATCTATATCAGCTCTCCTAAAGATGTCTCATTTGTATCTTTCTATCGAAATAAATATAATTCTAATTCAGCATTTCTTATATTCTATGCCCTTAACTTATATCTTAATTAAGTTAATAATTCCTCAATATCATCTTATCTAATTGAACTCAATTTTCTTTACACTTTTCTTCTATAACTTTGTTTCTCTTATTAAATCTATTGTTATTACTATTATGGAGTATCATTTTATTTTTACACATCAGGTGTATTTTCTTATGATTTTCTTCTTTAATTTTGAGCATCCTCTTAAGATTAAATTGTAAAAATTGCTTCTCTTCTACCACTTTAGAATTACTATGACTACAAATTCCTATTACTATTAAAAAACAATTGTTAATATTTATCTTGCAATTCAATCAATTCTTATTTTTATTTCTCATATTTCTCTTTAAAACTTTCTTTTTCTTTTGTTACTGTATTCAATTTATCCTAGAATGTACTTGTTACCTCTTTTAGTTATCTTTCTAATTCATGAACTTTTCTATCTTTTATCATATTATCATTTTTTAACTGGTTATTCTCTACAACCTTTTTTTCTAATTCCAATTTCATTTATGTAACATCTTATCCTCTTCTAAATAATGGATCATTTAATTAAGCTTTATTAAATTATTCTTCTAAAGAAGTCAATTATTTTTTAATTTAAGTTTTTTCTTTGATACTTTTCTAATAATTCTGTTCTAATTCTTGGTTCAAAAAGTTCAACTTTTCAATTTCCTCTTAAGCTTTTTTGAGTTCTGAAGTTTATTTATTTCTTTAAGAAATACACTTCTGTAATTATTCTTATAAGGTCAGAATTCGGTCTTCAATATTCTATTCAGTTTTAGTACTAGAAAGTTGAAGAAATAAATTACGGATTCATAGTTTTAAGTATTTATTGATGTAGAAGTTATTTGAGACGTAATGATTCATCAGAGTAATTTTTCAATTCAGCTTCTAATTCTTAAATTTTAGTTAATTTAGCACTCCTTTTTACTCTAATCATTTCTTCTTTAAAATCATCAAGTTCTTCTCTTAAATCTTTATTTTGTTTCTTCAATTACATAATAATAGTTGATTATGAGACTTCAATAATTTGTTTCTTAAACTATTATGGAATAGTTTTATTAACAGAGGATTAGTACTCTTCATTAGTAGTCTAAATAAAATGATGATGTACATCATTAGATTTGAGCATGGCGGTTTCTTTACTTTTAAGTTAAGCTTTAAGTTGATGATTCTCCAATTTAAGAGTATTACATATTTGTTTAGTTTTATTGAGTTCTTCATATAATCTTTCCTTATCTTAAACCATGGTAATTGGTATGGTCTTCTTAAATTCCCTGGAATTAGGAGGATCTCTAGTTTTGCTTGAGTTGTGAATATATACTGGAATACCTTGCAATGAATTATTCATTTGAATCTTGATGTGCTTTTGTTACATAGAATTTAGGTCTAGGAATATGACAATAAAGTATACTTATAATTTTGTACATTTTAACGAAATTCTATGGCAGACTAAAAGTATAAAAATTAGATATACATGTGTTTATTCTCTGAGTTAGATTTAAGGAGTGCTTGTATATGGTCTCATAATTTATTTTATTGAATTATATAAATCACTATTGTTATTCTGTTTCCTCATCAGGAAGAATCTATTCAATAAATGGGTATAACATTATTAAATTCTTATANTCATTTATGTAACATCTTATCCTCTTCTAAATAATGGATCATTTAATTAAGCTTTATTAAATTATTCTTCTAAAGAAGTCAATTATTTTTTAATTTAAGTTTTTTCTTTGATACTTTTCTAATAATTCTGTTCTAATTCTTGGTTCAAAAAGTTCAACTTTTCAATTTCCTCTTAAGCTTTTTTGAGTTCTGAAGTTTATTTATTTCTTTAAGAAATACACTTCTGTAATTATTCTTATAAGGTCAGAATTCGGTCTTCAATATTCTATTCAGTTTTAGTACTAGAAAGTTGAAGAAATAAATTACGGATTCATAGTTTTAAGTATTTATTGATGTAGAAGTTATTTGAGACGTAATGATTCATCAGAGTAATTTTTCAATTCAGCTTCTAATTCTTAAATTTTAGTTAATTTAGCACTCCTTTTTACTCTAATCATTTCTTCTTTAAAATCATCAAGTTCTTCTCTTAAATCTTTATTTTGTTTCTTCAATTACATAATAATAGTTGATTATGAGACTTCAATAATTTGTTTCTTAAACTATTATGGAATAGTTTTATTAACAGAGGATTAGTACTCTTCATTAGTAGTCTAAATAAAATGATGATGTACATCATTAGATTTGAGCATGGCGGTTTCTTTACTTTTAAGTTAAGCTTTAAGTTGATGATTCTCCAATTTAAGAGTATTACATATTTGTTTAGTTTTATTGAGTTCTTCATATAATCTTTCCTTATCTTAAACCATGGTAATTGGTATGGTCTTCTTAAATTCCCTGGAATTAGGAGGATCTCTAGTTTTGCTTGAGTTGTGAATATATACTGGAATACCTTGCAATGAATTATTCATTTGAATCTTGATGTGCTTTTGTTACATAGAATTTAGGTCTAGGAATATGACAATAAAGTATACTTATAATTTTGTACATTTTAACGAAATTCTATGGCAGACTAAAAGTATAAAAATTAGATATACATGTGTTTATTCTCTGAGTTAGATTTAAGGAGTGCTTGTATATGGTCTCATAATTTATTTTATTGAATTATATAAATCACTATTGTTATTCTGTTTCCTCATCAGGAAGAATCTATTCAATAAATGGGTATAACATTATTAAATTCTTATATGGTTCTATTAGAGCCTATTAATTGATACATATCTAATTACTAGAAGTAATTAGCAATAATCAATTAATAATCATGACTGTTCTAAATTCTTCTTTTTAGTTAATTCAAACATTATAATCAACAAACCTTCACTCTGATTCCATATGTCTAATCTTCCATCAGAACAACCTAGAATAAGATATTTATGTACTAAAGCATTGGTAATAAAATAAACTAATTTAATTTTTCTATCTTCAGATAATTTTATTATAATTTCATCTATTTAAATCATGAAAAACACCCTTCTTATGATATTTAAATCTTATATCTATTTATCATCATGTTATTTCCATCCTATTATTTTCCTTATTCATGACATATCATTTTTATATATTTATATTTATGTACATTCGATATTTCTGCTCATGGTATCATAGTTTTTTATATTAATCTCTTCAGGATTCCATATTATTATCTATTTATCTTCACCTTCAGCTACAAATTCTTCTTTATTTATAAGCTTCATTTAATTTATCTTGCCCTCATCTTTTATTAATTCCAAAGATAAAAACTTACTCACTATTTAAGAATCGAAATACAAAAGTTTACTTTTAAGCATTTCTATCTTTAAAATTTCTGATTGAATAAACCAATCGTAAATCTATTTTCGACTACTTTGTATTAAATGTTAAAAATTCATATTTTAAATTTTAGGGCTTATATAAAAAGGTTTTTTGGTTGTCTTTAATAGAATTCATTCTGTATTCTAAAGGTATGCTCATAATCTCAATAAGCCTTATTATGATTTATAAATCTCTATATAAAATATTTCTCTTGTATTTCAAATTTAATTATTATTTAATTTAATTCCTGTATTATTTCCCCATTTTCTTTTATTAGTTAAATACTAAAGTTTTTGTTTACTCTTACTGCATTCACTAACAAATAATAATGTATATCTGATTTTTAAATTATTAGGAACTTAACTGTCTACCTTAAACTTGTTAATTAAAGGAAATTATTTATCCTCAAGTGACCAAACTACCATTTTTCCATATACAGTAAATATCAATTATCTATCGTTTTTCATATGTTAAGCAATCATCATTAGATAATTGAATGAGAGATAAAAGAATCTTTTGATTAGACAATTTTATTTAAGTAATACAACTACCTTATGCAATTAGTACTCCATATCCATTTTATTATATTTAATGATCTGAATTAAAACTTATATTCAATCCTATTTCATGTAAATCTATGCTTAAAGTATGAAGTATTCCATCAAAACCTCCAAAAACTAAATATCTTTATTCTAAAGACAGAATCTATAGTATAGGTAGATCTCCATTTTAATATCCTTTAATTAAGATTTATTTAAACTATAAAGCACAAAAGTTTATCGAGAGATTTTTCTACCTTACATATAAAGATGAATTTATTTCTATCACAAAACTGTTCTCTACTAATTATCTATTAAAAACTAAAAACTTATTTATCTATTTTTAAAATTACTTAATTACTTTCTCGAATTATATTGAAGTTCAAGAATTCTTCATTGTGTTTATTAACAACTAAAACAATCAATGAGATGATAATAGGTAATAGAATTTGAAGTTAAAGTTTATGACTAATCGATTTCTTTACTCATATAACAATTTTAAGTATCAATTTGAATCTTAATTTTTATGCTTTTTAATTATAGATGATTTGAATATCAAAATCAAATATAGAATTAATTATTCCCCAAAAATTACATTTTCATTAGAACGGTAACTAAATGATTTTTATTGATTCCATCAACAACCTTAATGTAAACATTAGAAACAGGTATTTTATTCACTAAATCTATAAATAAGAATCGAATTAGATTAATTTCATTCTATTATCCTGATGGTGGTTGAAAATACTTTGGCTTTCTAAATCAATTGAAGTATTAATAGAATTCTTTTATCTTAAAAAAGATCAGAACCTTCCTCACCTAAAATTCAAAACAGTCTTATATTACTTAAATTAGTATATTGTTGATTTATAAATTTATATTAATGTTTAATTTTTAATAAAGATAAATAATCTCATATATTTTGTCTCATATTGTTACACCCAACCATTTATTCATTAAATTTTTTCTCTACTTTAATAATTTTACCCTTTAGATGTTACAGTATTTAACAAATCAAAAGATTATTTAATATAAATGCCTGTCATCAAAAAACTAAAATTAAATATTTTTTTCTTTGGATATGTTGATTGCATTTTCAATCGTTCGGTCTTATTACCAGATGTAAAAGCTTTTATTATCCTTCTGAGAGAGACACTTCTATATTTTTCCTTCCCATTGCAATTTTTATTCTTTCTTTGAATGATTTTATTTATGCCTCCTTTTAATCTTTGAATTTATTTTTATTAATATTAATATTAATTAATTATCTAATCTTATCAACATAAAATTTAGTAAATTAGATTTGCTGAGTGTTTTCATTTAAAATAAATTAGTATAAAATGCATATAATATATAAATATATATTATTATTTAGAAAGCAGATTTGAAAATTTGGTATAATTTATGTTTTCCTCATTTAATGAGAGGGAATTAATATTTTGTTGATTCAACATTAAGAGATATGTAATTAAATATATTGATTTGCTATCTTATAAATTAAGCTTCCATAAAAAAAACTACAAAAAGTTATCTAAATAATTCATGTTTAGAAATGTAAACATAATTTCTATTTTATTATTATTATGTTAAATAAACAAAATAAATCAATTTGCGCTGAGGATGATATTATTAATAGGAATGAATACTAATTTTATAAAATATCCAACTGCTCCCATTACTGCAAATCCAATTGCACATGATGTTGCAATTTTTATATATTCTAACATTTAGATGAATCATTTACCTCTTTTATCAGGTTTTGTGCATTTTCTAATAAATCTATAACTTTCTTATCCAAAGCTTTGAACATCTTGCAAAATTCCATTAATTCCATTCAATGTCTCTTAACTCATTATTTTTTAATTAAAATTATTATACGTGTATTAATTAATTAAATAAATCAATCTCTTGTTTTTTATCTGATAAACTCAAGTAAGTATTTTGAATAACATTAAAATGAAAGAAATTCTTCATAATTTGACTAAGTTTAAAATTTAATGTTACTTCCAAAGGAGTATTCGATAAATGGACAACTCCAGGAGGTGTTTCATAATTGATTTCTAATTCATAAAAACCAACTGCATACTGTATAGCTGGTAAAATATCTTATAAAGCAAAGCCAAAAGTGATTGATACAAATTATCCAAATATTAGATTAAATTAATTATCTCCTAATTAATATGGTTAAATAAACTTACGATTTAATAGAAACATTGATGTTCTGGACATGATTTCTAACATATCAGTTTCAAAAACATTCAGTTGAAATGAAATTATTAAATACATAAAGGAGGCAACTATAGTTCTAGGCATATATTGAAGAGTTTGAATATCTAATAAGGTGCAATCAATAAGTTAACATAACTTTCTAAATACTTTTTATTAAAATTTAAATACATTAGTAGGATTCTTCGTTTGGTTTTCTAAAAAAAAGATTGATAGCATGATTATTTGCATAAATATCCCATTAATCTGTAAACCAATTAATCCAATAAGTATAAGATGGAGGATTCACTTACCATTTGAGTGTCTAAATATAANTATCTAATCTTATCAACATAAAATTTAGTAAATTAGATTTGCTGAGTGTTTTCATTTAAAATAAATTAGTATAAAATGCATATAATATATAAATATATATTATTATTTAGAAAGCAGATTTGAAAATTTGGTATAATTTATGTTTTCCTCATTTAATGAGAGGGAATTAATATTTTGTTGATTCAACATTAAGAGATATGTAATTAAATATATTGATTTGCTATCTTATAAATTAAGCTTCCATAAAAAAAACTACAAAAAGTTATCTAAATAATTCATGTTTAGAAATGTAAACATAATTTCTATTTTATTATTATTATGTTAAATAAACAAAATAAATCAATTTGCGCTGAGGATGATATTATTAATAGGAATGAATACTAATTTTATAAAATATCCAACTGCTCCCATTACTGCAAATCCAATTGCACATGATGTTGCAATTTTTATATATTCTAACATTTAGATGAATCATTTACCTCTTTTATCAGGTTTTGTGCATTTTCTAATAAATCTATAACTTTCTTATCCAAAGCTTTGAACATCTTGCAAAATTCCATTAATTCCATTCAATGTCTCTTAACTCATTATTTTTTAATTAAAATTATTATACGTGTATTAATTAATTAAATAAATCAATCTCTTGTTTTTTATCTGATAAACTCAAGTAAGTATTTTGAATAACATTAAAATGAAAGAAATTCTTCATAATTTGACTAAGTTTAAAATTTAATGTTACTTCCAAAGGAGTATTCGATAAATGGACAACTCCAGGAGGTGTTTCATAATTGATTTCTAATTCATAAAAACCAACTGCATACTGTATAGCTGGTAAAATATCTTATAAAGCAAAGCCAAAAGTGATTGATACAAATTATCCAAATATTAGATTAAATTAATTATCTCCTAATTAATATGGTTAAATAAACTTACGATTTAATAGAAACATTGATGTTCTGGACATGATTTCTAACATATCAGTTTCAAAAACATTCAGTTGAAATGAAATTATTAAATACATAAAGGAGGCAACTATAGTTCTAGGCATATATTGAAGAGTTTGAATATCTAATAAGGTGCAATCAATAAGTTAACATAACTTTCTAAATACTTTTTATTAAAATTTAAATACATTAGTAGGATTCTTCGTTTGGTTTTCTAAAAAAAAGATTGATAGCATGATTATTTGCATAAATATCCCATTAATCTGTAAACCAATTAATCCAATAAGTATAAGATGGAGGATTCACTTACCATTTGAGTGTCTAAATATAAATTAAAAATAACTTACAAATAGTATATCTAATTCCATATTTAAAATTTCACTCTAATTATACCCGTTATTTGCTGCTTTCTAAAATTCAAGTAGACAAATAGGATGAACTTCTTCTACTTTATTTGCAATTAATAAACTTACTAATCCAACTAATTAAATATTTTTTTTATTAGCTTATTTTTTTGATAAGTAAGAATCGAAATAAAATAATGATAAATGAAATGTTTATCTTTTTAATCTATTACCCATAGCAGTTTCCATCATCCAATCTATCACAATTGCTCTTATTAACCATGTGATTTCACTTTATTTGGTTAAATAATATGGATCAGCCAAATATTATCTTTCCTGATTGATTAAAGGATCAGGCTCAGTTCTAATTCTTTCATCAAGATTAACGTTGTTTACAATGATTTCATTTTCATCACATGTTAAATCTAATTCTTTAGGATTAGAATGTGCTTAGGTTGAACCTAAAAATCGAGATTCTTTTCTATCTATAGATGATGATCTTGATTTTTTATTTGGACTTCTTAGAATCAATTAAATATCAGCTGATGCACATCTTTAAGAACTCTTTCTATAATGTTCTTTAGCTTCATACAACAAATTGTTTTATAATTAAGAACAACGACACATATCTTCAATTACTCCATTAAATTATAACTTATAATTATTTTAAGAACGTGAAGCTTAGGCAATCGATAATATTTTTTGTGTTAATTTATCATTACAATCTCCTTTATTTAAATACATACTATCTTTGATACGATTTCGACTGCTGGAATTATTTAGAAGAACTGCATTTGGAAAACTAATTTATCTAACTTTTTTGGATGGTTTATTGATTCCATTAAACGAATTCTCTTTGTTTTGCTTTTTGTGATTTCTAAACTCTTATAATAATTAATGAAAAGTGACAGAAATATCACGACTTTACATTGGTCTAGAAGTAGTTGAAGGTTAGATATTTTGAATGACATTAGGTTTCTCATATTGTTTACATAATCTTTCAGTATTTCTCTCTTTTGACTTTTTGATTAATTAAGCAATATGCTTTAACATTTAAGGTTGGATTGGTTTTACATTTTATTTTGGTGATCTTGATTGAGTAAGACACTTTAGAGGGCTACCTATTAATATGTCACAAATACTTTAATGTCTCTATTTAAACTTGCCGCTTATGCATAAAATGTTATATTAATTCAAATTTAATTTATCAAAAATGTTATTTATAAACATAAATTCTCAGATTAAATTTAATGAAGGTACTTATTAAAAATTANAAAAAAGATTGATAGCATGATTATTTGCATAAATATCCCATTAATCTGTAAACCAATTAATCCAATAAGTATAAGATGGAGGATTCACTTACCATTTGAGTGTCTAAATATAAATTAAAAATAACTTACAAATAGTATATCTAATTCCATATTTAAAATTTCACTCTAATTATACCCGTTATTTGCTGCTTTCTAAAATTCAAGTAGACAAATAGGATGAACTTCTTCTACTTTATTTGCAATTAATAAACTTACTAATCCAACTAATTAAATATTTTTTTTATTAGCTTATTTTTTTGATAAGTAAGAATCGAAATAAAATAATGATAAATGAAATGTTTATCTTTTTAATCTATTACCCATAGCAGTTTCCATCATCCAATCTATCACAATTGCTCTTATTAACCATGTGATTTCACTTTATTTGGTTAAATAATATGGATCAGCCAAATATTATCTTTCCTGATTGATTAAAGGATCAGGCTCAGTTCTAATTCTTTCATCAAGATTAACGTTGTTTACAATGATTTCATTTTCATCACATGTTAAATCTAATTCTTTAGGATTAGAATGTGCTTAGGTTGAACCTAAAAATCGAGATTCTTTTCTATCTATAGATGATGATCTTGATTTTTTATTTGGACTTCTTAGAATCAATTAAATATCAGCTGATGCACATCTTTAAGAACTCTTTCTATAATGTTCTTTAGCTTCATACAACAAATTGTTTTATAATTAAGAACAACGACACATATCTTCAATTACTCCATTAAATTATAACTTATAATTATTTTAAGAACGTGAAGCTTAGGCAATCGATAATATTTTTTGTGTTAATTTATCATTACAATCTCCTTTATTTAAATACATACTATCTTTGATACGATTTCGACTGCTGGAATTATTTAGAAGAACTGCATTTGGAAAACTAATTTATCTAACTTTTTTGGATGGTTTATTGATTCCATTAAACGAATTCTCTTTGTTTTGCTTTTTGTGATTTCTAAACTCTTATAATAATTAATGAAAAGTGACAGAAATATCACGACTTTACATTGGTCTAGAAGTAGTTGAAGGTTAGATATTTTGAATGACATTAGGTTTCTCATATTGTTTACATAATCTTTCAGTATTTCTCTCTTTTGACTTTTTGATTAATTAAGCAATATGCTTTAACATTTAAGGTTGGATTGGTTTTACATTTTATTTTGGTGATCTTGATTGAGTAAGACACTTTAGAGGGCTACCTATTAATATGTCACAAATACTTTAATGTCTCTATTTAAACTTGCCGCTTATGCATAAAATGTTATATTAATTCAAATTTAATTTATCAAAAATGTTATTTATAAACATAAATTCTCAGATTAAATTTAATGAAGGTACTTATTAAAAATTATAAACAAATCAATTTTTCCATTTTCGATTTCAAGTACCTGAGTCTGATTTAAGAAAAAGCGAAAACAATATGCCATAATCCTGATACGTTTCTACATCAAAAGGTTCAAAATTTACCAATGAAACTTAGTTTCCATGTAATCAAGGCATTTTAACATATGATTTTAAGTAACTCTACCCCAGGTACAATGTACTAATGTCCTGATTAGATTACAATTTAATATTCAGATTTCAGAAGGTTACATTATAAAGTAAAATCAATCCCAGTTCCTGTTGATGGGGTTGGACAGCAATAACTCGCTGATTTCTTAATTGTAAATTAGTAATATGATTTACCTTTCCAAATCTATTCTATAACTGGAGCTTCAGTAAGAGCAATTCTTAAATCTTCATACGATGTACTTACAAAATTAGTTTAACAGAATCCGTGTCATTATAACATTCTTTTTCCAAGATTTTTATGAAATCTCTCTTATTATTTTTAAATCAAGTACTTCTTCTAATATATTTGAATTATCTTTATAATCTTTTAAAATTTAATAAACACTTAAATATGTTGAATTATTTCTAATATTTTGGATTTAGCTTTAATGTTACTCTTCTTATCTATCAAAGGAGTTTTTGTAACTCCATGTATTAATAATCTTTGAGATCTAATTTTTCTGATATTGATTTCAATACATTAAATCGTTTCTTTATAATTGATGCTGCTAATTTACCCAAAAGCTTTGCATCATAAAGAATCCTATTAATTTATCTAAATATAATCTTGATCTCATTTGATTATTAATCATTTTCATAGCAAATATCAATCTTATAAACTTTTTAATTCTTACTTGTTTCATTATCATAAAAATAAAAATAATGAAATCAAGTAGGTCAGGAATCACAATTAGAAAAATTATATCATAAAATTTATTGTGAATATAAATTTAAAAGTTGTGATTTTTTTCAAAATAATTTGAAAAACAAAAAATTGTTTAAGCTAAAAGATTCAATATCTATAATTTTGATATAGAAAATTAAGCCAAATTCTATCAATTGAATCAGCAAATGTATATTTTTGAATATATTATCTATAAAAAGTCTAGTCTTCTAAAATGTTTCCATGAATTCTTTTAGAGTTAAAAAATAAATTACAAAACAAAATTATCCTAATCTCATTAATTTTTGAATAAAAAATGAATGAAAAATTGAGTTATAAGCAATATATTTAAAGGAAACTTGATTTACTTGAGTTTATGATAGCTGAAAAATAGGCTAATGTAAAACGTTAAGAAGCTTAAAGAAATGAGTTGAATAGTTAAGGTACAATTGAATATTGAATTTCGAGTGAGATAAGTAAAAGAAGAATTACAAGCCTTATAAGAGCCTCATTCTTATGTTGGAGATGTTGTGAAACAAATGGGAAAAGATAAAGTGTTAGTAAAAGTAAATCCAGAAGGAAAGTATGTGGTGACTTTAGATAAGAATATAAAAATTGAAGATTGTAAACCTAACACAAGAGTAGCATTGAAGAGTGATTCTTATGTTTTACATAAAATATTGCCAACAAAAGTGGATCCTTTAGTATCATTAATGAAAGTAGAGAAAGTGCCAGATTCAACATATGATATGATTGGTGGATTGGATTAATAAGTAAAGGAGGTGAAAGAAGTTATAGAATTGCCTATAAAACATCCAGAAATATTTGAAAGTTTGGGAATAGCATAACCAAAAGGTGTTTTACTTTATGGACCGCCAGGAACAGGAAAAACATTATTAGCAAGAGCAATAGCACATCATACTGTATAAAATAGATAAATAAAATAAATAGGATTGTACATTTATAAGAGTTAGTGGTTCAGAATTAGTTTAGAAATATATTGGAGAAGGTGCTAGAATGGTTAGAGAATTATTTGTAATGGCACGTTAACATTCCCCATGTTTAATTTTTATAGATGAAGTTGATTCTATAGGAGGAGCAAGATAAGAAGGTGAAAGAGGAGGAGATTCTGAAGTATAGAGAACAATGTTAGAATTATTAAATTAAGTAATCAATATATATAATAATTTAATAGTTAGATGGTTTTGAATCTACATAAACTATTAAAATTATTATGGCTACAAATAGAATAGATATATTAGATGCTGCTTTATTAAGACCAGGAAGAATTGATAGAAAAGTAGAATTTCCTAATCCTGGAGTTGATGCAAGATTAGAAATATTAAAAATACATTCTAAAAAAATGAATTTAATGAGAGGAATTGATTTAAGAAAGATAGCTGAAGTTATGCCAGGAGCTTCTGGTGCTGAATCAAAAGCTGTTTGCACTGAAGCTGGTATGTTTGCATTAAGAGAAAGAAGAATTCATGTCACATAAGAAGATTTCGAAATGTCTGTTGCTAAAGTTATGAAGAAAGACATTGAGAAAAATATGGCCATTAATAAAATGCTTAAATGAATGCATATCTATAATATTATTATTACATTCAATTATTTACACATTATTATTTATTTATAATTATAAATAATTCATTACAGGGCAATACGATTATTAGATTAACTAGATTTAATATCTCTTTTCCACTTTTTGTAATTTTGCTGATATACATTCAGGGAAAATCATATACGACTTTAAGTTAATTCAAATCTTAAAATTTATTTATAACTTTTATGTCTATATGGTTAAGTTTAACATTATAAATATAAAATATACTGCTGACTAATTAAAATTAAAACTATTAAAAATGAAGATAATAAACGACCTGATAAGTTCTCCTATATTTTTTTTAATTCTTATATGATTCAACATTTTTATAATCATTTTGAAAAGTCTAGAATTTGATGAAATTTATAACTTATAAGTAACATTGCTTATTATTAATTGAATCATGAAAATTGAAGAAAAAAGTTAAAAATAAAATTAAATAAAGATTTTTTTCATTTAAAAGATTGCTTCTCCCAACATTCCTTCTAAAACTCCTATTTCTATTATTATAATGAATATTTATTTAGTATTATTCATTTCAATTACAAAAAATCAACTAATCTAATGAAATCTATAAAATAATTTATTCAAAGCTTTTTTAATTCAATTTTAAGTTTTGGTTTTTATAACATATAATAATTTTTATAAATTAATTCATAAGCTTTTTAATTGTATAAAATTTAAATAAAAAGAAAATAAATAAGAAAAGCAAATAAAAAGTTGAATAAGTTCACTAAACTTTCAAAAGCTTGAGGAAAGAAATTATTATAAAATCCTGAATTAAATAGATTTTAATATTATGTGCTAATATAATGGAATAGAAAAAATCAAATTAAAGGAGAAAAACATAAAATTAGTAAAATTGGTTTTTATATATGGTTTTTTTAAGTTATCTAATTTCACATTCTTCTTTTTCCACATCCTGATTTTTAACCAGATTTTGGTCTGGTCCTACTGGTTCTTGGTTTTGATTGTCTTGCATTAGATTTTTTACTTTCTTTAATTGCTACCACATAATCTTCATCATTATCCTCTTTATCTAAACTTTCCTTTTTCTTTCTTGAAGTATTTTTTTTATTATTTTGTTATTATTGTATTTTTTCATCTTTTTCAACATGCTTATCTTCATTTTAATCATTTATATCCTTTACTTCTTATAATTTTTCGGATATTCTTTTTTTATAATTTTATTTGGCTTCATCAAATTTCAATGATTAAATACTATTTTAAATTTCCTCAATTGCTTTGTGTTCTTAAACATTTCCATTTGATTTTGAGCGGTTTTGATTATCCTAACGAGTTTAACTTTACTTTGATTTTTAGCTATTTTTATTCTTTATTTAATTCTTTAGCTCTTCCTCTTTTTATTACCATTACATTTTATCTTCATCTGTTAATTTTTTCCATTATTCAATTATTTTTTCTGTCTATTCTAAATTTTTCTTTGAACTAGAAGTCCCAGCATTAAAGAACTATTCGTGAAAAAATACATTAAACCCAATACTAGGTTGATCATTTGCCATTAAATTTAATTAGTACTTCAAAAGCTCCGAACCCTCCATTTATATTATTTTTAATTTTAAATTTATTATAATACTTTTTTAAATATAAATAAAAAAAGTTCACTTCAAATTTTCAAATCACTTCTGCAATAAATTTTTAATAGCCAATTTGTACAAAATAATTCTAAATTAAATTAATTAATTATGAAAAATATCAATTCTTAGGTTAGTTAAAAATAAAAATTTTATAAAATAAAAAAATTAAATACTCTCTCAAATTTTATTAATTTAAAAGAAATATTTTATCTTAGTTTCGTCAATATGTTAATAATTTATAATTTTTAGGAATACATTTACTTTAAATATGATTTTCATATGAAGTTAAAAAATTAATCTACCAAATTTTGAAATTATTATCTCCTTTACATTTTAATTTATAAATAGATAGATATTGCTTTTTTGATTATACAATAAAATTTATGAACTAAAGCTAATAAATAAAGGACTTGATTAAAATTAAATAAAAGTTCTTATTATTAAAATAATTAACATAGTTGTTTTACTATATGATAAACTTCCAATTTTAATTCAACTTTTATTTTTTATATAAACTACAAGAAGCTTATTGTAAATTTATAAAACAATAAAATTATTAATGAAATAATTTGAAGAGATTTGATAAATTTATAAATTTATTGTAGCTTTTGCAATAACAAGGATATATCATCTTCTCTTATATTTTATATGGTTGCAGATTATATAGATATGAGGCTTATTTTTAAAATTAGTAAATCTTATTATTTCTCTCTCAACTGATTGTAAATAAATATTCTTAAGTAATAAATGATAGTTGTGAAAGATTTAAATTTAAAAAATATATTTTAGTTTAATTTTAAAATACCATATAAACTTTTAGATATTTGAAAATATGGTATAAATATACCAAATTATTCTAATTCTAAGAGAAATAATTTCTATTAATTTATATTCTTATTTGATATTTTGAAATGATTTTTTGTGTTTTAATTAATTAAACTTATAAATTTCTATTAAATTTTTGAACTCTTGTAGAAGCATTTTAAAAGAATTTAATTTAAAGAGTAATTTCCTAAATTAATCTGAATTCTAAAAAGCAATAACTTAAGGGGGATACAATAAAATTAGGGGCTTAATCATCAGTTAATATTTTTACAACAAAATTCACTCATAATAAACAAAAGTATAGGATAACGTTTACCATGACTTTTATGTAGATAATGTACTAGGAATGACGTTCAAATTCTCTAGAAATATGGCTCATTAAAATCAATTTTATAAATGAATTTATTATTTATATAAATTTAGGTTCATTTTCAAAGAGAATGAATGAAAAGTAAAATATGCTTTTTAGAACTTAAAATTCATTACATATTAACTTGATAAAAGAGATCCTTAATTTTATTTGAAGACTTTTTTAGCAAAAAAAGCTTAAACTACATTAAATTTAAAATTATAACCCTTTAAATTTATTTGAATAAAAGTTCTTGCTGAAATTTATTTGCTGGATAGTCATCTAGGTAGATAAATTAATTAAATTTGAAAGAATATCTAAAATGTAATTATGTTAAAAGATTATATTTTGATCAATCGATAAGGTACTTTTAAAACTATTAATAATTTATAGCTTCAAAATTAAGTAGTAGAAATTATCTAATAATAAAAAGAAAGGTAGAATGAAAACTCTGAAAGAAATTTTAGAAACTAATATGCCCTCCAATAATAAAAAAACAACATCAATAGAATATTCATTTTTTATTAAAGTGTATTATAGATTAACAAATTATAATAAAATTATCATCAAATTATTCCAAATTTTTTAATGACTTTCTTTAAATCCTCCATGTTTAAAGGCTTGTCTAAATGATCATTAGCTCCACATTTTTAAGATTTTAATTTGTCATCTGATCCAGTAAAAGCAGTAACAATAATTATAAGGGATTATGTTAATTTATACATTTATTCAAATTTTCTTATTTCTTATGTACATTAATAACCATCCATTTCTGGCATATTTACATCCATAAAAATGACATTCATTTATTCTTTCGAATATAAATCAAATGCTTATGTACCATTAAATGCTTTATAAAGTTTACAATTAGAAATTACTTAATTTAACATTGCACTCAAAGCAATTATATTAAAAGGAGTATCATCAACTATTAATACTTTTAAAGATTCATCAGGTATACTCTCTAATTTATAATAAGTTTAGGCTTTTCTTTATTAAGTTTTTCTTTTTTTTGTGATTTAGTTTAAATTTTTATAAGAGGGAAATATAGGAACAATTTGTTTTTAATTTAAATCTTATTCTTATATAGAATTTTCTAATGATTAGTTTAATTTTCTAAATATAACAAATTTAAATGTGGAACCTTTGCCTACCTGTGACTTTAATTCAATCTTATCAGAAGGTCCTAATAAAGATACAAGTTATTAACTAATAGTTAATCCTAAACCAACACCATGTCTATTATTATTACCTATATCAAAAGTACTATATAATCTAAAGAGATTTTTTTATATATCTTCTGGTATTCCATATCCAGTATCAGAAACAGAAATTTCTATAAGATCTTCTTCGATAGGTTAAGATGCCATAATAACAATCTCTCCTTACATAGTAAATTTAATAGCATTAGCAACCAAATTTATTAGAACTTATTTTAGTCTATTTTCATCTGTAAATAATTCAGAATTATTAGGGTCAATTTAATTATTCCAAACTAATTAAACTCCTTTTTCATTAGATTACCTAAGTAATAAAGAATTTATGAATTTGAAAGTATTATTCAAATTAAAATTTTTAGGAATCAATCTTAAATATCCTTTATTAATTTAGCTATAATCTAATAAATCATTAATCATTGATAATAACAATTAACCTGATTGATTAAATTCATCAAGATGATTACAAAGTTATTCAATATTGCTATTTGTAATACTTGATTTTTTTTGTAAAATATTTTACATAATGTGTATATCTATCATCATTCCATTTAATGGTGTTTTTAAATCATGAGATACTGTTGCTAATAATCTATCTTTATATTAATCCAATTCCTTTAAATGTTTTAATCTTATCTTCTCAGATATATCATTCATGATTACTAAAATAGAATGTTTATTTTCCCATATACAATGCAAAACTCTGATTTCAAAATGTGATTTTATTTTTAGTTATTATTTTGAAGATAATGCAACCTTACTTTAAGAATCAAATCTGAAACATAAAAAATAGTCACTAAATTCGGATATATCATATTCATTTTATATAATAGTCGTTCTATTTGTTTTCATTTACTAAATGAATTATTCTTCAAACTATCCCATTTTTTAATATAATACATCATAAATACTCACACATGAATTATAAGTGTCTTGTTCAGATTCTTATTCTGTTTAAATGAAAATACTCTTTAGTCTTTTTATCACTTCATTTTCATCTGAGACTTATAAGTATTTTATAGCAAAATCATTACTGTAAATTAATTTCATTTCTTTACTCTAACTTGTAGAATCCTATAAGTCTTCATTGTTCTCAGTAAGGATTAATATTGAATTGGGAACTGTTTTATCGAAAATGTTTTTACAAGCATGTAAATTAGAAGTTTATTAACAAATAGTATAGAAATCTATTCTTTTATAATATTCAAGAAATCGAAAAAATACCAACATCATCAATAATAAAACATAAAATGTCCAATATATTGATGCTAAATTTCCCATCAATCCAATAAACAAAATTGTTGCAGCTATTAATATTAAACCTTAAATAAACCATAAGGGACAAACAAGTAAATAACTTATTATTATAATTCCAGTTTATATTCCACTACTGACAGCTTATGAAGTTGTTTATTTACCACATTGTTTATTTATCAATTAAGCTTATACATAAACATATGTTATAAGTATAGTTATTACACAACTTAAAAATTCTGAAATTGCTATGAATTATTTATAATGAATTCTTTTTATGTTAGCTTATGATATCATGCAAATTATATGCCATATGCAAAATGCCACTCTAAAATACGCTACTTAATAATTTTTCAGAAAAAATTGATTGTTTATAAAATAGATTACATTTATGAGGAAATGAATTAAGTACTATAATCGAAACAAGACAATTATTCTCTATTTTTCTTTATTTGAATATTTTTCCTCCATATCCTAATTTTTAAAACTTAATGTCCACAAATTCATTATAGTTTTTGGTTTCACATCAGCTGTTTCTTCCGGATGAAAAAAGAACTTTATAAAAAATTGATATATTTTTAACATTTAATATTACAATTATTAGCTTTAATAATTAAGAGCTTAATTTCAACTTAATGAACTTAGATTAGAGATTCTTTCTATCTTCTTAGAATGAAAAGAGTAAATGTCTAAAATAATCATTTTCTGAAAATAATACATTTTAATTAAAAAATTTTATATTTCTATATATTCATATACTGAGAAAAAGAAACTATTTAATTTATTAAGATAACCATAATTAATTAATTGTTAAAAATAGAATATTACAAAAAAATTATTATTCAAAGATTATGTTCTGCTGCTCATATAATTTATACAAAGTTGAAATATTATTCCAGATCAATTAATTATATTCGATTTTGCCGTTACTTGTATAATTGTTCTCCTTCTAATATCTATCTAATACAAATCCAAATATATTTTAAAAAATCTTGATAGAGAAAGATAAAATTATAGTTATTTTCATGTTTAAAAAGGTAAATAGTGTTATTAACATATCTGATTTTTAGGAAAAGTAGAGCAATTAAGAATTGAAAATCCTTAATTTGTTTATAAAAATTATATTAAATTAAATGAATTAATTTTAGATAATGAAAGCTAGTATACATCAGAATTCAAAAATAGCTATGAGCGTTGGAGATTTTAATGTAAGCAATAATGACCTTGATAGAATAGAAAAACTAACAAGTTTTAGAGTTACTTAAAAACTTTGTTCTAGATTATTCAAATATTGAATTATTTAAAAGTCTAATACTAGAAGATTGTAATCCTGAGACCACGTTTGTTCTTTATTCAATTATATAAAAAAGTCTTATAAATGGAGATCATTTTACAAATTTACCTCATCAAAAAGTGAATACTGAGTACTTTAGTAATGAATATGATCATCGATTAAATATTACAGAAATTTGTACTAAACATATAGACATTGCTCTAATTTATTTACAATAATCTCACAATCATCCTAGTTATGTATATAACTAAGTAATTTTTACTATTGCACTTTTGGTGAGAAAAAATTGGATTGACATTTTAAAAATAGAAGAAATCATAAGTTAAATTATACAAAGCACTATTTAATCAAATAAAATAGTTTTTTTTAAAATATTTGAAAACATTATTAGTTGCATTCGATAATATTCATATGCTAGTGGATATATAGAATTTAGAAAAATCTTGAATAATTTTTAAACGTAATTTTATATTTAAATTTAGCCTATCTTTGTAGAGAATATTAAGTGCAATTCATTTACAAATATAGTAATTAAAAGGATAATCATTAATTAAATTATATGAATAAAATAAGATTATGGTAGAATCTTTTGTCAGCTTATTACATTAATTGATGAACTTGAATTTTAATCTAAGTTATTATGAGATAGATATAGATAATGATGGAAAAGATTCTTCCCAATTAACTAATGTATTTAAGGCAATTTAATTCTTAGTTTCCAGATTATTATTTAGAATTAATAATAGACCCTATATTTTTGAAAGAGTTATTTTAAAATACCTTAGGATTTTTGAATATTGATTAAAATCTATCTTTGTAATGCATAAGTATGCTTTAAAGAATAGCTTGTGTGAGATTATCAATATTTCACAATAAGAAATGCAAAGGAGGATTTAGAAGAGTTATGTGGGAAGGTTTACTCTATTTATATTAAAACCAAGATTAATTTATAAATTATTCAGAGTTTTCATCTGAAATACATTCATTAGCAATAAGGGTTATTAATAATCTAACCCTAAGAAAAGTAGCTAAATTTTAATTTCTATTTGATAATTTTTTTTAATTGATTTAATAAGTTTATTAAAAAACTATTTAGCTATTTGGTGTCNTACATCAGAATTCAAAAATAGCTATGAGCGTTGGAGATTTTAATGTAAGCAATAATGACCTTGATAGAATAGAAAAACTAACAAGTTTTAGAGTTACTTAAAAACTTTGTTCTAGATTATTCAAATATTGAATTATTTAAAAGTCTAATACTAGAAGATTGTAATCCTGAGACCACGTTTGTTCTTTATTCAATTATATAAAAAAGTCTTATAAATGGAGATCATTTTACAAATTTACCTCATCAAAAAGTGAATACTGAGTACTTTAGTAATGAATATGATCATCGATTAAATATTACAGAAATTTGTACTAAACATATAGACATTGCTCTAATTTATTTACAATAATCTCACAATCATCCTAGTTATGTATATAACTAAGTAATTTTTACTATTGCACTTTTGGTGAGAAAAAATTGGATTGACATTTTAAAAATAGAAGAAATCATAAGTTAAATTATACAAAGCACTATTTAATCAAATAAAATAGTTTTTTTTAAAATATTTGAAAACATTATTAGTTGCATTCGATAATATTCATATGCTAGTGGATATATAGAATTTAGAAAAATCTTGAATAATTTTTAAACGTAATTTTATATTTAAATTTAGCCTATCTTTGTAGAGAATATTAAGTGCAATTCATTTACAAATATAGTAATTAAAAGGATAATCATTAATTAAATTATATGAATAAAATAAGATTATGGTAGAATCTTTTGTCAGCTTATTACATTAATTGATGAACTTGAATTTTAATCTAAGTTATTATGAGATAGATATAGATAATGATGGAAAAGATTCTTCCCAATTAACTAATGTATTTAAGGCAATTTAATTCTTAGTTTCCAGATTATTATTTAGAATTAATAATAGACCCTATATTTTTGAAAGAGTTATTTTAAAATACCTTAGGATTTTTGAATATTGATTAAAATCTATCTTTGTAATGCATAAGTATGCTTTAAAGAATAGCTTGTGTGAGATTATCAATATTTCACAATAAGAAATGCAAAGGAGGATTTAGAAGAGTTATGTGGGAAGGTTTACTCTATTTATATTAAAACCAAGATTAATTTATAAATTATTCAGAGTTTTCATCTGAAATACATTCATTAGCAATAAGGGTTATTAATAATCTAACCCTAAGAAAAGTAGCTAAATTTTAATTTCTATTTGATAATTTTTTTTAATTGATTTAATAAGTTTATTAAAAAACTATTTAGCTATTTGGTGTCAAAATTATGCTTAACAGTCCAATAATTAAATTATAAGAACTCTGGAATTAAATAAGTTATTAAGGGTCATTACATTTACCTCTACATGATGGATTAAATGTACAAATAAATAAAACTATGCAAAATCATATAATTATTGTATTGAAGACATTCTTTTAATAAAATTAATTTACAGAAATACCATAAGAATGTAGTATTAAGAAGTTTAAGAAATTGTTGGGTTTAACATTTATGCCTTTTCATTGTTTATTTAAATCTCATATATAGGAGAATATTGGTATAATTATACAAATGATAGAATAATTAAGAGGAGATAATGAATGTAATAAAATTAATTATCAATAGATTAATGTGCTGCTGTAATTAGTTTAACCATAGTATTTTTATTGCATACAGCAAATACTGAGATTTTGAATTTAGGGTTTGATAACTATAACTTTGGATAAAAAGAAGAACCAAAACCAAATCTTGATGGATAGGCTTATATTTTGAAATTTATAGTGGAACTTATAATGAATCCATAAGTGTAAAAAAATACAAGAATATTAAAAATGACTATTCTTTCATTTATTGAAAGTTTTATTACTACAACAATTGATTCGTTTTGTTATGAATAGGAGACAAAATAATTCAAGAATCTTTCTCAACTATATTCTTAGTTGATACGTGTAGATTAAAGATATTAAAATTATTTATTAGTTCTGGAGACTATGCTTGAAGAATGGTAATTTAAATAGTTATTTAATTTTAGCTTTTAAGTATTTACATAGACTGATCCTAACTTAATTGAATTTAGCCTTAAATTAATAGAGTTTATCTATTAAAAAGTTAAAAAATATATTCCTAGAAAAGTTTTCAAGATTTGTAGTATTACTGAAATGCTTAAATAGTTTTTTTTTTAATTAAATATAACTTGTTTGAACACACCTTAATATATAAAAAAAAGAGCATTGGTCTTTAAAATTATAACTGTTGTTTGGGTAGATGATTGTTCTGATGATTATGTTAATGCCCTTGTGGACATTTATAATTAAATAAAATAAAGTATCATAGGTGAAATGAATAAAGTTAATATACTAAAATATATTTGGGATCTTATTGGAATAGCTTCAGAAATAGATGTCGATAATATTTATAGAACATTTCTAAGAATAATGTATTAAATTCGATAACTTAAATTAGTTATCCTGATTTCGCAAATTTATTATCATAAGAAAATATTGAGCTTTTCGCTAAAGACTATGATTCTTCAATAGCTATCATTACATTATTCAAGGCTATCTTCTATAACAAGTATTGTTTTATTCCTAAAATATTAGAAACACAAGATTGTCTACAGAAAACATTTAATTGATTTTGTATCAAATTTATGGTAAAGCAATGAAATTTTTTATTATTCTGATTTAATAATAAATCCTAACAGCTAAATCTTAACCAAAAGTATCAGATTTATAACTAAAATAAGTAGCCAAACTTTTGGCTCTTATGAGTTAAATATCTGGATAAAAGAAAATTAATCAAGGATTTTTCATTATTTATAACGATTAATGCTTTCTAGAACTTTTTAATCTATAGATATAGCTTATTTTAATTTATAGACCATTACTTTAACATATTCCAAAATACAAGAAATTACTCTATGAATGTTTTGATTGCATTTGTTAAGATCACTCAGAAACCTTAGCTTATAAGTGTGATTTAAATGCTTATCTTGATATTTTGACAATTTGTAAAGAATCTTTAAAAGAAATTATTTGTGATAATTAAGGAGAAGATACAATCACTGAGAATAGTACTACTCTTATATTAATTGGAACTTTATTAAATAATATATCTACATTTTTAGTTTAAGAAGCTTCAGTAGGAGATATTAATGATTTATAAATGATTAAAAATAAAATAAATGGAATAAATCAGTAGGGAAAATAATTACTTTATGAAATCTTTAATTTGAGTTGCTAAATTACTTTAATTTATCCAAAAAATTCAAAAATAATATTTGCAATTCCTGAAATACTATATGCAATTTCCATTTTCAATCCATAAGATGTAATTATAATTTTAGAATACTTAGTTTGAGACTCTTCTCATCACAATGATGACTAATTAAATAGGAATAATTTCAAATCCTCTTATTGATCAAATAAGTTAAGCTTTTAAGAATCTCTAAGGGGAATTGTAAATTACAAACAAAGAAGATTTTGTTAGAAAAATTAAAATGGTTTTAGAAATGTATAAATGATAAAAATTATTGAATATTAGAAAATTATTTTTTACAAATTATAATCAAATTTTTAATTAATCTTATCATAATATAATAATTTTTCAAATTATAGACTAAGGATTATATTCTTTCATTTAAGTATCAATCAAATTGTGAATAAAGAATTTAAGTCAAGTCAGATTACAAGCTCAATTTTTTTCAAATTTAAAAAATCAATTTTCTAATATAATTAAATTATTATATTTTTATTTAAGATAAAACTTATAACTTATAATATGCTTAGTGATTATCATTTTTAGAAATATCAACTTTAGTAGATATAAATAGGAATTTTTAAAAGTAAAATGGAAAATAAAGCACATTTATTAAGATGAAATAAAAATAAATATTAAATAATAAATATGATAATTAAATTTTAACTATTTTATTAGTGAGGTTGAAAATTTGTTTCTGAATTTCTCATTAATGAATAATAATAGTAATGGCTGTAGAAAATTGTAATTCTTTCATTCGACTTGCACTAAAACTGATTTCATCTGATGATTTTTATGGAACAATATCCCCATTTAGAGAATCATCAATTCCAAAATTAAAACTATTTGATGTAGATGATAGCCCTAGATCTCATTCTGAAAAAAAACCGTTTCCTATTTAGTAAAAAATTATAAAGCAAAAATACCATGAAATAAGTATCAAATGTAAATGCATGAAATCAAAATGTTAAAAATCTTATTGTGAATGTTTTGCTGCAGGAAAGACTTGTAATATAGAGTGTAATTGTTTAGGGTGTAATAATTCGAATTGCCCTCAATAAATAAAGAAAATCTAAAATGGAGGATGTAATTGTAAAAAAACTGGATGTATTAAAAAATATTGTGAATGTTACTTAAAAAAATAAAGATGTACGTTCTTGTGTAATTGCATTGATTGTTGTAATTAAGAAGATTCAGAGTCAGAAAAAGAAAATGAATAAAATCATTTTATAGGGATACTTAGTTCTAATTTTTTGATGAACAGTTAAATAACTGAATAATTAAATAAATGAAAATATTTGAGCTTTTCTTAAGGTTTATTGAGTAATAAAATTGATAAAATATTTATATATATATTTAATATAATATGAAATAAAAAATTGAAAATATCTATAAATAAGGATAATTTCAACATATTTCTTAATTGTCTGGTTTGATTAAATGGCAATAAATTGGGAAAAGCTCTGTTGGTATGAATTATTTTAATCTGATTGGATCATGTTAATCAAATAATGGAGTAGCATGAAATGTAGATCTACCAGTATCAAATCTTGCAGATCGAAATGAATTAGAATTAGGTGAGGAATCTTATATAATTTTCATTTTTTCTCTATGTGACGTTTCATTCATAGAATAATTTTGTTTATTTTTTTTATCCTTTTAATAATTGAATTGAAGTTTCTTATTCATTGGACTATTGGAAGATTAAATAATACTATTCTACATCATTTTATTAGTTCTTGGTGATTCTTTTGGAATTTTAATAGTATATTCTTTCTAAATAATTTTGTTCAATAACAATTTATCATTTATAATTTCTTAACCTTAGATAAGTGGATTTTCTAAGTCTACTTATTGATAATTTGGAAGCATTTTCTGATGCAATATAACAGACTTTCTTAAATAGATTGATGACAATACTTATAGATTTCTTCAAGGCTTTAATCAATATGAGAATTTTTCATAACATCTGTTCCCTAAGATTATGGAATGAGGTAGGTGATACCTTTTCTGATTTTCTTTAGATATTAAATTTCTTATTTCTGAGCTTATGATGCTTTTACAGAATCATATAATGATGGCAATTAATATTTTGGAATAAGTTCAAGATTATCCATATTATCGCTTTCCTACTGTTATAATTTGATTTATGGTTCCATATCAAGGATTCTTTTATAGTCCTATACTTTAATCATATACAATTCAGCAAAATGAGATGTTACTCTTGCATTAATTGAATAGATTCCAGTTAGAATATCACCTACTCCAAAGGCAGTTTATTCTCCAAGAACTTTAATCATTTGATGAACAAACTTTTTTTTATTGAATTAGTAATTTAATTCAATTTATTGATTTATTGGTTCCTTTTTAAATATTTCTATTTCCCCTTATTTGATTACATAAACAGCATCACATTTCTATCCCTCTTGAAAGATTAAATGTCCTCTTGTAAATTCAATACTTTTAATCGATCGATAAATGTAATCAATTTGATAATTTTTCAATTAATTAAAGGCATTAACTTTACTTAAATATAGAAGCTCAGTTTCTCTATTTCTTTTAGCTGTTGGTGAAACTTTAGTTGTCAGACTTCTAGTTTAACGAGGACCATTCATGTTAGATTACTCAGTTATTTTATTTATCATAATAAATAAATAATGAATAATATTTAATTTCTATAACTCTTCTTGCTTTCATTTTCTTTTAGAAAACTAAAAAAAAACTTATAGATTTTAATTTAAGTTAGATATCAAAAATTAACTTTTTTATATATATCATAAATACTTATAATCAGATGAGAAATAGAAATGACAATTCTTTAGTCAATGATTTAGACATATGTGGTATTTCAAGATCCCATTCTTAAACTAAGCTAAGAAACAAATCCAATAATGTTATAGAAAAGACTTAATAAAATGAGAATGTATTTGTTAATTAAACTTTAGACTGATAAAAATTTATTATCCAAGAAAGACAAAGAAGATCTTCAAAGTTCTGTTTAATTAAATGATTTAAATATTTTAGGTCTCAAAGATTTTTATTAGGGATCTAGTGACAATAATGTGGAAATCAAAACTAAAATAAATTAAGAAAATTATGAAAGTCCACTGTTTGATTTTTAATAAAATGAATAGTTTAACACTACATTGGATTAATTAGGCTTAAAATTAAATGAAGTGATTGGTCACTATCTTTGTGAACTTACTACTTAACCTAGAGTTTCTTTAGATTCGTTTCCATTGTAAAATAGTGAAAATTTAGATGAAGAACAATAACAATAAATTCTAGATTCTGAATTGAATGCTTTTAGACAACGAATTTATAAAGTAATATTTTTGACTATTATTCATAGCAAATTGTAGACAAAATAAATCTTTCTGTTATCTAATCTGTATAATCGTTTGGTTCATCATGCCAATTGAATTCATAATCTAATATCATTCCAACAGCCTTTTCTAAAGAACTTATAAATAGTACATCTCAAATTACACAAATTTCACAAAAATCTCTGTCTCATTCTATATTTGATTTATAATCATAGCTTCACTAAAGTATACATTACATTCAATCAAAAAATAACAAAAAGACTGAAGAATCATTTAATACTCTTTCTGAAAGTGTAGTATCTAAGGAAGAATTGCAAAATAAACTTAAAATTTCATTAAATTTAAATTATTAACAATAATAAGCTAATAATTAATTAAAAGAAGAACTGTAAAAATTAGAAGTATTTAATTTTTAATAATTTTCAAGAAAAAAAATTAAGTTTCAGAAAACCCAGAAGAAGGACATATTATTGAAAATTAAAAATTGAAAGAACAAAATTAAAAATTAATTGAATTCATTTCAAGAATTTGTGATAAATGTAAAACGCTACCCAAGAATTTTTGAAATATATTATACAGATTTATAATTTTCATTTATTAAATTAGGTGTTGGGTAGAAATTAATCCAAAACTTATTAATATTTTTAGATTATTGACATTATTTTTTATTTCTCTTCTCCAGATTAATGAAAAATTTTATGTTTCGTAAACCCCTTCCCTTAAAACCTATAATTCATTATGGGTTAAACATTAAAGCTTTTCTAGTAACTATTATTCAATTAATGTGATTTTTCTAATTTTTGACTAGACTATGAAATCCTTTAACATTATTTTTTAGGCTTTTTGAAAGTAGAAGTACTAGAATAGAAGTTTCCAAAATTATTACATTTTCTATAATTTAAGTTATATTCTATTATTTTCTTTTTATCAATTCTCCTTATATTCAATAGATTTTCTAGAATTACAAGAGCTAACACTGCGAATGGATTATCTTGAATACAAGAATATTTTATTGAATATTTACAGATTTTTGAAAAGATGATTCAACATTATTTATTTTCTTTAGTAATTTCTAATTTTATATCTTTATTCCTTCCCATTTATTTATTTCTTATTTTCTAGCAGTAATAAATCTGTTTTATTTATATATATCAACAGTTTTATCTAATTTTGGAATAGAAATCTTTCTTTGTTAAATATCACTAAGTCTTCTTTTATGAATAATCAATTCTCTTAAAATACCCTATAAAATTACTATTTATTTTATTGTTGCATATAACTTTGCATAGTTTATATAAAATTTATTATTATTTATAAATGAGAATTTATAATATTTATATTGAACAGTATTTTTATTAACACTCAAATATACTTTCTTTTTTCTTTTCAGAAATAGATAAAAATAAGTTAAGAATTATATTAACAAATTAACATATCTCCTATAAATTGGATAGGTTGAATGTCTTTTTGGATAATCTATAAGTTGAAGTATATATTACTGTTGTAACAAAAATAGGAATAACAATAGAAACAGAGTTTAAACTGAGCTGAATTTTATAAATAAGTCCAATTCCATGTACTTGTGCAATTACAAACTTAAAAAGTATTGAAAATGAAGATATAGCAAGCTGTTTTTCTGAAATTAACAATTTAGAAAAGGGAAGTATTTTAGTTATAGCTACTTCATTAGCAATAACTAGAATCTTTGTATGGGTTAGTTATGTAAAATATGAATGTATGTGATTTTTTCAAATTAATAGTTTTCTAATTTATTATCAATAATGATTAATATTGATTTAGAAGTAACCCTATATTTAAAAATTGCATCCAGAGCAATATTTAAGTTATCTATTTCAAAATGTTCTTTTTTGAATCCTTATCAATTTTATTTATTTCCGAACTATAATAAAATAAATAAATACTTTGGGATTAAATTTACCAAAAATCTAGCAATTCTACATGTTATTATATTAGAATTACTAATTTCTTAATTAAAAAATCTTTTCCAAATAAAATAGTACATTTAAAGGTATCTTCGTATATAATGATTTTAACTAAGAATAATCCTTTCAAATTAGATGGAACATAATCAATATATTATAATTTCCATGAAGTTCTTTATAAAATCTTTAAGGCACTTGGCATCCTTAATAATATTAGTATTCCTATTTATAAAATCTTCATCTTTTACATAATTCATACTTCCTCTAATAGCAATTATTATTTGATTTAATTCATCTTAATATACATAATAATCTTATATTTAAACTTTTGAATTATATTTGATTTTTATTATTTTCTTTTACAAGGTTCTCTATCCTCTTGATTAATTAAATCTGTAGAATAATATGCCTTTTTTGTTTATTATACAATTTCCTCTACCAATTCATAAATATATTCTTAGCAATTCCCATAAAAGAACAACAATAATGATTTACTAATATATGATTTCTTTTATTTATATATTTATGTACTTAATCACGACCAAATAATTTTTATACAAATGATTTTAAAACTAGATTTACAAGGATGGGAAGATTATGCTCAAACTCCTAATACTAATCAGCTTAAAGTTTTAAGTGATTCGCTTAACAACTGTTAACAACAACTTAAAACTAATACCAACCAATTCAACAATATTTAATTTAAGAAATGCATTACTCAACAATCTTAATCTCCGAATATAAGAGAGTCTCAAAAACAACCCCTCATGCCATATCGTAAACAATTCAATATCAGGAGATAGGCATCACCTTCATTACGAGAACATCAGTTTAATTTTAGTTAAGAGAGCAAATAACAATTCCATCAAAAGTTTAATAACTTCTATTAAAGTAAAAATCAAAAATAAAACTCTATTGTTCAAAATGTCCAAAGGTTTCAAAGATAATAGTTAAGAACAAAATTACTGATGATATCCAAAGATTTCAATAATTCTTAAATTTATCATATTATTTAGTTTATTAATAAATGAAATGCAAGTGTATAATTATTAATAATTCTTTATCTAATGCACCTTATTTCTTAACTTAAGTTTGCTTTCAAAGTTTTTGAGATTTAAACTACCTATTTTTTTATTCAAAAGCTCAGAAATTGTTACAAATCTTAAATTCATAATAGAGTTTTCAGAAAATATAATTTTTATTAAATTAACTTTTTAACATACTTTTCTTCATAAAGATTTAATATAAAATAATTAAATTGAATAAATTCATTGGCAACAATTTTTATGCATGACAAATTTGAATTTAGTTAATTCTGAAATTTATTTTATTAAAATAATCTTCTTTATAATATTCACATTTAACACTAATTTTTACATATATTAAAAACAATAATATCATTTTATGGTTCAACCAAATAAAAAATCTCAAACTTGGCTATCTATATCTAAATAAACCTCAAGTATTTTAAAAAGTAAAATTTTAGGCATTAATGATCATCTTGATACTCTCGGCTAATACACCATTCTTTTTGGAATTGGCACTCACAATTCATCTAGCTATAGAATGTTTCATTAAAAATTTAGTTAGAATTATTTAATATATTTGGAACTTTTTACATCAAATAAAGCCCTAAATTTCTAATGTACAAATTGTCAATGGTTCATTGAACTTAAAATCACTCTGTTTTTGGCTCTTCTAAATTTTATTTAAATCTTAATTCTGCTATCAGTATTCCCTTTTTTAGCATTTGCACTTTTAATCCTAAAAACAGAAGCTGTTATGCAATAATAGAAAAAAAAATTGACAACATAACCATCATTATTATTGTTAATTTACTTTGTAGCATACCTATTTTCATAATTGAACTAATCATTAGTCTAATTGTAATTCCCTCTAAAATCTTGAAAGGTTTTTCAATAAGCTGTTTAGGAAAGGGATTATTAGGTAATCAAAAGGGTCTTATCATAATGTTGATTTTTGAATAATATATGTGTTTATTCAATAATATGTAGTAAATTTGAATTTGATATCTTGGTAAACTATTATCATATATAAAAAATGATGCAATATTAATTTTATATATTTTAAACAATTTTTATAATTAATATTATAATGGTTACAATGTATTTGCCATATTGAGAAATTTTCAATATTGTGAAATAAATCTTTCTCAATTGAAATTCCTTATAAGGTTAAGAGTAATAGAAAATTAAAAAAATATAGATTAAATTGAAACAATTTATTAATAATTTATTATTTATGTTATTTCAAACAACTTTTCTTTTACAAGCACAAATCTTCATACCACAATGAGGACATATTTTCTTAATTGAAGATAATAAGGTATGTTCTTATTATTAATTAACAGAGTAGTCGTAGATTTATACAGGTTATGTATTTTTATATGCTTACGCAACATATTAGGGATTTTATTTTGTGATATAATCTAATTTGGTTAACTCTTCAACAACATCTTCTTTTTCTGGTCTATCATTTAAAGTGCTCATTATATTTTATGTTAATGTAGCTGGACCTGATCGTTTTCCTCCTTTTCCAGGTCCTTTTTATGGAGGTTCTGGTTTTCTAGGTTAATCTTTGGCACTCTTTTTTTCTTCAACAATTTTCATTCCTCCATGAACAGTTTCGCTAACTTTAAATATATATAAATTTTCAGGAATAAGGACATGTCTTTCTAATTCCATATTTTCAGCATGTACAAATTTAACTGCTCTATTAGTTGCTAATAATGCCCCTTTTTAACTTAATTTAGGATTAAATAATGCTCTCACATGACCATCATCACTTCCTAAGAATATTTAATTTAAAGTTGGATGCCATAAAACTTCAGTAATAGCTTGATCAAATAATTGAACTCTACAATTAATACTTAAATCATTAACATTTAAAAATAATAATTCTGTAGGTCCAGCAATTTGATATCCATCTTTAAATGTATGATGAGCTGTAACTAGTATACTTTCATCAAAATTTAAATCAAATCTTGTTGGAGGAAATCTGTTAATACTACAATATTGTAAATAAATATGATGTTTAGTATTTGATGTTTCCCATAATTTAATAGTATTGTCAACACTTTATGTAATGAATCTCTTTTGATCAGCTAGAATTTTAATTTTAGTAACAAACTCTTTATGAGCATCTTAGATAGTAAATAATGGTCTTTTTTTAATTTCTCTACAATTTTAATTAACTTCATAAGCTTTAATAGTTTTATCACTACAATAGCATAATAATAATCTTCCTCTAATGGTAACACATTAGACTTAAACTTTATGACCAGTTTTATCAACGCATTTAACAGCATCTTTATGAGTTAAACATTATGCAACTCCATAAAGCTTTTTTGTCATATCCCAAATTCTTACAGTTCCATCATCACTACAAGTTACAAAGACATCACTAAAATCTGGATGAAAACAACCAGAATTTATAGCTGCTGTATGTCCAATAGTTTTAAGTATATCTCTTATATACATATCTCCTCTATGAGTATCCATAGTTCTTTTCCCTTCTCTATCCAATACACATGCTTAAGCATCTGCACATATTATTAATACATTTTTGCCATCTTTTGCCCAACTTATTTAATTAACTTAATTTCCTTCATATGGTGTTACTAATCTAAAACTATGAGTGTTTTTATCCATTCCATAAAAATCCCAAAATCTTACTATACAATCATATGCTCCTGTTACTAATCTAGATCCAGCATTATCTATTCCTATTGCTGTTGCTTATTTTGTGTGTCCTTTTATCAATAATTAATGTGTTATTGGAAAATTTGCTAATCTTTATTTTTGAATTTCCATGGTAGGTAATTCTTCATTTTATGGTTGATATTTTAATAAAGCTCTTTTTGCTGCTTAAGCTTCAACTGCTTCTCTTAAGGCAGGATCTCTAGCTAAAGCTGCAGGATCAATATAATCATCATCTTCATCTTTAAAAATTTATTTCTTTCTCTAAGCATCATTTTATAACCTAACTCCTTCATTTTCACTTACTTTTACCTATTTTTAAATTGGTTCATAATCTGGTTCAATCACTTCTTCATCTGACGAATAGCTCTCTTCATCAGATGGTTTTGCTGGACCAACCTAACCTGTTTATTATACTTATTTTTCTGTGACTATTATTTAAGGTGTTTCAATAATAAACTCTGCTTCTTCAGGAATGTTAGGCTTTGTGGAAATAAACTTATCTTTTAAAACATCGTCCATTATTTAATATATTTAATTTTTGGAAATTATTTAGATTTTTTATGACAGAGATATAAAGGAGGATTTTTAAAGATTTACTGTAAATCCCTAATCAGAATCCCCCAGTACATTTTAAAATATTTTAATAACAATAATAATAATTTACAAGTTAAAAAGAGAGGGAAATTAACTAAAAATATATACCACCATTCATTAAACAAAAGCAAAACTAACAACAAAATTGAATCATACAAAAAACAGCATTATTTTTTACCTACAAATAATTATGCTCATTCAAAAAGTTATAATAATAATAATAATAATAATAATAATAATTATTATTATTATTATTATTATTATTATTATTATTATTATTATTATTATTATTATTATTATTATTTTTCTAATTTTTTCTTTATATTTATAATAATCAACTCTTTTTTGATGCTTTTAGCATCTACAATCTCGTTTTTTTCATCTCTTCTTCTATTACATATTAATAGTTTCTCAATAGAGTTTTTATAGTCAATATATCTTAAAAGAATTATGGTGATTCAATTTTATCTCTGAAATCACTGAAGAAATATCTAATTTCCTATAAATTTTTTGAATCTGTATTATATATGATCTCCATTTAAAAAATAAACTCTTTATATTCTTTTGCATATTTTTAGGCTTTTTCAACAAACATTATATTATCTTAATTCTCACTTAATTATTTTAAATATTTTTCAAGCCATGTTTAATGTTCTTTAAATAAAGTTATAATATCTTTAATTTCTGATAAAGCGCGATTTTTTTGAGATAAAACATAAAGATGTTTATATGGGGTTTCCTCTAAATTTTTAAACAGCATCATTTTGTCAATCTCGATTTCTAATTTTTCTAATGGCATTCTTTCCTTTATCATTGTTTTTAATTTTGCAAAAATTTTTGGGCCTTTATTCATATTCAAATCAGACATCTTTTATGTTATTGCTTCTTCTAATTCTTCATAAGACTTCTTTTGAATGACCATGTTGTTCACTAATTTTAAAATTGTATTATAATTTAACATGCTTTATACAATATATTTTATTAATTCTTCCTAGTTACCTTCTAATTATTAAGTCTTATATGAAAATGTTAGAATATTTTCAAATTGGTAACCATATTTATCACTTTTTATTTCATTAAATATTTTTCCATATTATTTAATGTATTAAAAATACATAATCAATTCTTTGTCTCTACTGAGCTCAGAAAGAATTTCTCTGTTTTATGTTACTGTGTTAGATATATGAATTTTACGATCTCTATATTCTTTTTAAAAAGCCTCAATCTAAATTCCATTCCTAGGATTTTTATCATATATTTTTTTTATAAAGAGATCGTTTGGATGAACCTTAAATTTATCTTATCTGGGAGGTTTTATAGATTTTAGTCGCTATTGTTTTTATAAAAGAGCACTTTCAAATTATTGAAGTATATCTTTTTTCTTTTCTTGTAATTCTAAATTATTTTATTCTTATTTTGATATTTTATCATCAACCTTGATAATTTATTCAGGTTTTTTCAAATATGTATTTTCAAGATCAGTTCTCAATTATTTCAATGTTTTTTCCTATTCTTCAATAAGCTATTAGACAACTTTTTCTCCAATTTCAGAGTTTAAATCATTTTGTAAAGTATTTAAACTTTAATCAAACTCTAAAAGAGCTTCTTCTTTTTCAATTCCTTATAAGTTCTTTAATCTCTATATCTCTTGTATCTCTTAATTATTTTCTTCTTCCTACTTTTTTTTTGCATATTATTCATTATCTGTTTTTGCCTTTTATATTGTTTGCTAAATGTCTTTAATACTTTTTTCTAAATCCTTTTTTTTAGTTATTTTTTTTAATTAATTATTAAGATCCTCAATGATTGATATAATTTAGATATCTTAATTTTTATCCAGGAATTTAAGTTCATTTATTTAATCCAATAAAATATCTAAGTCGACTTTTGAAAGGGTTTTTTAGAGTAATTCAATCCCCATTTCCTCCTCCTTAAAAACTGATGGCATAACTTCAATTATGTCCTTTTATACTTTTTTAATTTCAACAACTTTTTATTATTATTATCTTTCCTTCTTTATAAAATATTTAAGAATATCATGATTAACTTAAATTTCAAAATCTTAAAGTTGAACAGTCCAGATACTCATATCAATATTTTTTTCAATAGGATTAAAACAAAATTTAGAGTAATTAGGAGCTTGATTAGGTTTTGGATTTCCATTTTACATAAGTAGACGAGGTGGAGGTGGAGGTGGAGGTGGAGGCAGAGGAGGAACAATTTCTTTGGTTGATTCTGAAAGTGAATCTTATAGAGGAATTTATTTTTGGTCAGATGCAGAAGGAATTTCTTTTTAAATGGTACTATCTAATAATTTTTTTTTATTAATTCTCGATTTTGGTCGGGTTGACTTTTTTATTTCTGACTTTGTTTCATCTGCTTTTTCTGGAATTTACGCTTCTAATTCTTACGGATCTATCTTTTCATTTTATTCCGGAAGGTCAAAAAGATCCAACTTTTGTTTTGATATGTATTTTTCCCATTTTGATTTAAATTCATTTATTGTCATCTCATACCCCTCTTTTGTATTTTGATAAACCTTTTTTGTCTGTCGAAGATAAAAATAAGGCATTTCTAATTCTTATTCAATAAAATCGTTTTATTCTTATTCCCAAATTTACAAATTAATAATATGGTTATTTGAAATCAACTTATTAAAGAGATCCTGCGGGTCACCAGACAATTTTGATAAAACTATGTCAAATAATTCTAAAACTATTATTTAATTGATTCTTGATGAACTACTTTTTTTTTCCATCTCTTATAATAGAGGAATGAATTAATCAATATTATCATTTTCTATTTTTTTTTATATAATCAAAGATAATCCATAAATGATTTCACATTTATCATTAACAAGATAAGGAGGCATAAATGTTAATTTTTTCTACTCCAAAGCTATATTTAATAATACTATGTTCTTCAAAACATCATCTTTAGGATCAAAAATAATATCAATATTTTCTTTTTCTTCATCTGATGAAACATCATATATCCATTTTAATACATAAGTAAGTTCAATTAATTCTTTAGATGACAACCATTATTTAGCATTTGTCAAATTATAATTTAAGTTAAACCCAATGGCAAAACTGTATTAATATGCTGCTTATTTTAAATTGGAAGGGTTCTCATAAAATTCATCATCAATATCAACTTCTTTTAGAAATTGTTTGATGCTCATTACGCTAATTTTAGCTTTTTCTGGTTAACCAGTGTGTTTTATACTTTGTGAGATTTAGAATTAAATTGGTTGTTGTGTTTTGATTATTTTGCCTTTTATGATCATTTTTATTTGAAGAAAAAAATTAATATCTAAAGTTATTATCAATTTTAGTTATTTTAAAAGTTAAAAATTCAATATTTGATAGTAAGATAAATGAGCTTTAAAGATTCAAAGTAATTCAATATAAAATAATTTGAATATTAAAGTAATTGATTAAATATTAAAATAATGACCACAGTTAATGCTCCAAAAATAAATGAATACAAAGAAGCTACTCGTGTTGAAAGAGTGGGCGCTCAATCTCATATAAGAGGTTTAGGATTAGATGGTGATCTTGAACCAAGAAATATATCATAAGGAATGGTTGGATAGGTATTGAATAATTTAAAAAATTTACATAGAAAAAAGCAAGGAAAGCTGCAGGTATCATTTTAAATACAATTCGTGCTGGTAAAATAGCAGGAAGAAGTATTCTTATTGCAGGATAACCAGGTACAGGTAAGACAGCTATTGCTATGGGTATTGCAAAAGCATTAGGAAATGATATTCCATTTACAGCAATGGCAGGATCAGAAATATTTAGTCTTTAGATGTCAAAGACTGAATCTTTAACTTAAGCATTCAGAAGATCAATAGGTGTTAGAATAAAAGAAGAAACCGAAATAGTGGAGGGAGAAGTTGTAGAAATAGAAATCGATAAATCAGCAACTTCAGGGGCAAAAACAGGAAAAATAACCTTAAAAACTACAGAAATGGAAACAATATATGATTTAGGAGCAAAAATGATAGAATCAATTACAAAAGAAAAAATATCATCTGGAGATGTAATAACAATAGATAAAGTTTCTGGAAGAATTAGTAAATTAGGAAGATCATTTGCAAAAGCTTCTGAATTTGATGCTCTTGGTCCATAAACAAGGCATGTTTAATGTCCAGAAGGAGAAATAGAAAAAAGAAAAGAAGTTGTTCATACAGTTACATTGCATGAGATAGATGTTATAAATTCTAGATAGAAAGGATTTTTAGATTTATTTTCAGGGGATACAGGTGAAATAGATCCAGAAATAAGAGATTAAATAGATTCAAAAGTAGCTGAATGGAAAGAAGAAGGAAAAGCTGATATTGTTCCTGGAGTCTTATTTATTGATGAAGTTCATATGTTAGATATTGAATGTTTTTCATTTTTAAATAGAGCTTTAGAATCTGATAAAGCACCTATAGTAATTTTAGCCACAAATAGAGGTATAACAAATATTCGTGGAACTACTTACAAAGGGTATGTAAATAAAAAATAAATAAATTTAGACCACATGGATTACCAATAGATCTTTTGGATAGATGTTTAATTATTTAGACAGAACCATATAATGAAGCAGAAATAAGAAGTATTCTTGAAATTAGGTATCAATTAAATTAAATAATAGATGTGAAGAAGAAGATGTTGAAATGACTGAAGAAGCAAAAGAAGTATTAACCAAAATTGGAGTAGATACAACTTTAAGATATTCTATTTAATTAATTACAACTGCTAATTTAGTTGCATAAAAGAGAAAATCTAATGAAGTAGATGTAGAAGATGTTAGAAGGGTAAATTATAAATTAATATTTAAGGTATATTCCATGTTTATAGATCATGTTAGATCCACATAATATTTGAGAGATCATTAAGCAGAATATATGTTTGATGAATACTAAAAGTAAACATAAAAGATGTAGGTTGAATGATTTATAAATATTCATATAAGTATATACCATTATTTATCTCAATTCAAATATAAATTTAATTAATAGCTATTAATCTTTTAATTATTTATTCATTTTTACTTTTATTATATTATTTATTTTAAAATGTCTGTTCCACAAATCATTATTGAATAACAATCCTATTTAAACAGTCCAATTGAAGTAGATGGAGCTGTTTATGTTGCAGCCTAAAATGGAGAAATTATTTAATACAAGAATGAACAATAAAAAGTATAATTTTCATTTTAGAAATAGACTTTTTTTCATGTAGCTAGTCAGCCTAATTCGATTAAAATGGATAATAAGAATAAAGTTTCTTATGTTGCTAATATGGCTAGATAATCCATTCAAAAATTTTGTCAAGAAGAAGATAATGATGAAATTATTGATTTCATTAATGAATTTGAAGGAATGCCTCTTCTTGGTCCTAATTCACTTTTACTATCTCCTAAAAATAGTATATAATTCAATAAATGTTAGATATGATATTTTTTACAGATTCTGGGCCATTTGGAGAAACTGCAATAGATAACTGTAAAGGATCATTGTTTGCAGCAGATCTAGAAAATTTAACATGCAAAGCATTAGCCTTATATTGTCTTTCATTTCCAAGTGGTATATGTATGGGTAATGATGAAAAAACCATTTATTTATGTGAAACAGGTAAGAATAGAATTCTAAGATTTGTTTAAGCCAATGCTGGTATATACTATTTTAGGTATTATTGTAATTAATAATTAGTGTTTATATTTAATTTTAAGGAAGATTTGGTCCTATGGCTTGTGCAGTCTCTTCAACTGATCTCTTATATGTAGCCAGATATGAATTTTCTTAAGTGACTGATGATGGACTTATCAGTGTTTATAATTAAAATGGTATCAATATTGATAATATTGTATTGCCTCATTATCCTGAGTTAACGGGAATGGCATTCTCTATGTAAAAGTATTTTCTATATTTTAGCTCATAACCTAGTGTATTGTATTTAACTGAGAATTCTTCAAAAGGAAAATGCCTTAAGTTAAATGTTACTCCTCCAGACAAAAAGGATAAAGATAAATTTAAGTGATGTCTTATATTTTACATTATGACTATTTTAATTAGTGAATTCTCATTCAAATATTTTCAAAACCACTTGAATACTTACCATTATCTAAAAATCAAAAGTATTCCAGATTTCTTAAAATATAAAAAAACTTTATTGAGGAGCTCGAAAGAATTTCTTAAATTTCATTCAAATTTTTCAGAAGAAATTAATTTAGAATTCATTAATTGTATGAATTAAATTATTAAAATACTAATATATAATAATAGGATATTTACAAAGAAAAAGATTTAAACAATAATATATTATTATCAATTACTCATGTTCAAATAAGAAAAAGCTTTGTTTTATTTTCATTAAGCACACTGAATATATTTGATTTATTATTTTTTTTCATGGTTTTGATTTATTCAATAGTGAATTAGAAAGAAACATTTTTATTTGAAGGTCTTCCTACGAATAGATCGAAAATAGGTCGAATTCTGCCATTTCCATTTCCAGGACTTTTTAGACAACTTTCCTTCAAAATACCATTTATTTTATTTGATATAAACCTTTTTTCATTTATTTTTTTAGGTATAGAGGGTAGAGATAGTTTTTGATCACGTTTTACTTTAATTTCTTGTTTTTCTTAACAATTTCTTTGAGTTAGTTAATTACAATTAGTTTTTTTTTGGATTATAGTTTACTGACTCAGTGGAATAAATTAATTGCTAAAAGGTACATAGAAAGAATACTTTTCTCTTAAACTGTTTGAGTTTTGATGACATAATGCAATTTTTTAATCTTAAAAAGTTCTGGTTTAAATATTAGGCTCTTGAGATTCTGAACTATAATATTCATTCATGAATTTATATCTTGGTGAAGAAATCGGTAAATTCGCTGATTCTGAATTGGAAAGAGAGTGAGTACTTATTTCACTTAATAAAAAAACAGTAGTAGGAAAGGTTAATACATCTATTTATTTATCATCTTCATCAGAGTTTATAGTTTATTGATTATCGAAGCAACATTCTTTTGCCATTTACAATTTATTTATTTGAAATAGAAAACAAATTTAGATATGGATTAATTCTTATAATTATTAAACAAGTTTACGAAAAGATGATTAATTTTAAGATGATGTATTGAATAAAATAAAAATTGATAAATGTTTGTTTTGATGAAATATGTTTAATATTGTGAAGTAAGAAGAAGGAAAATTTTGAAAGATTGAATTAATAATTTAAATGTATAAAAAATATTTAATAAAGAAAAAAAAATAGTTTAGATAATCATATTTTGGAGAAGAATATATTTTAGAATACGTAATAATTTAATATTAAATAAAGGTAAATTGTGTATAAATGTGAATTAGTAAGAAGTACTAATAAAAATGAATGATAGTTTATAATAATAAAGAATTATGTAAATAATGTCTAAAAAAAGATGATGGAACCAAAAGAAAGATTAGAGTAGAAGAGTTGTAATGATAGAGTTTAAGTAGGTGATTATAATTTTAGAATGATTAATATAATTATAAATTATGAATCCAATTGACACTAGATAAATATTGAATTGGGATTAAGTAAAGGTTCATCTTTAACCAAATTTATGCATTGAATGTTAATTGGTTCCATAATAACCTCTTTAATGTTATCGATGTTAAAAGTTATTGTGTTAAACTTGTCATGGAGATCTAAAATAGAAATCAAGAGGGCCAAAAATATTTTGTTAGAAATGCAAAGCATTGAATTATTTCAATCCTGCAAACAATGCAATTTATTAGAGTTACCGAGATATGGTAATAGGATGTGTAAATCGTCGATATGGTTGTAAAGTGACACTGGACTACAAGAAGTATTAGAAACATGTTGAAGAATGTGATTTTTAACGTATTCCATGTCCATCACCAGGTTGTTTTGTAACAACATTAAAAAGAGCAAAAGGAGATCACTTATCTGTCTGTGAATATGTAATAGAAACATGTTAATATTGTAATAAGTAATTCAATCGTAAATCAATGACTTATCATCAAGTATCAATTTAGTTATAATTAAATGATAGGAAAAGTGTAATGGAAAAGATGCGTAACAGATTGATTTAGCATCACTAAAGTCGGACTTCCTACGACTGAGGAGTAAATTAGATGCTGCCATTTCTTAATTTGAATAATCAACAGAAATCACAATGTTAGAATAGAAAGTAATCAAATAGTAGTTAGAGATCTAACAACTGAAGAATAATATTAATTAATGAGTTATTAAGAATATGATTATCTTCGTAGTAGACGGATGTAAGTCTTTACAATAGTAGGGCATTTTCACTCCATAAATAAAGATTAGCTAGTATCAAAGGATATGAAAATAAATAAATCTCTAGTGTTGTAACCAGAGTAGAGAGAATGAGAACTCAATCCATTAACAGACGAAAGTAAATAGAATAATAACTACTTGCAGAAGAAAATCAACGTCTCAAGTATCCAATCATCTTATTCTAGAGTTAAATTATTAGAAATTGCTAATGAAAAGAAAGCCTCTTCTCAACAAGTTAAATTATGCTAGGCAAAAAAGAAGTTATAACATAGTTTTTAATATCAATAAAATATGATGGACAATCTTATACTCATGAAAAAAATCACCAATGTGTATTTATCCCCTCTCATTTAGTACTTCATCTATCACTAAAAGAGTTTAATTGCATGATTTTCATTTTAGTAAATTAAAATAATTAGACAGATATTTATAAGATGATGAAAGAAGTTTAGCTAAGTATAAAGTTTATTTTTATTGTTGCAAGGCCTTCTATTGTTTAAAGTCCCAATAATTCATAATAGACTTAACATACAAAAACACTTGATGCCACTTATATGAAATTATCAGAATTTAGAGTATATTCAAATGGATAATTACTATAATGAAATATATTAAAAATCATCATAATTATTAAGTTATCAGGCATTCTCTTTTTAATCTTCCTTATGTCTTTCTTCTGATTTTATTTCTTCCATCTATTTTTTATTAAGCTTTTATTTTGGTAATTAAACCTATATCAAATTTTTGAAGTTATCCATTAATTTATAGATTTTATCTGATGAATGATTGAATTTAATTTTTTCATACTTTAGAAATTGTTTAAATTTGATATTGAAATCTTTTTTATCATAAATTAATGCCCTATCTAAAAATTCTGAACCCAATTCTTTTGAATAAATCTATTCAAAAAAAATGGTACCAAAATATTTTTAATTAGTTTTATAATTCAATTCTCCCACTATTATGTTAAATCTTTTTTCGAGTTATTTTTGAAAATAGTCAGTTTTACATTTATCTTGTAATGATGAGACTTATTTTTCTCCAGATATATCAAATGAACAAATCTAAGGATATAATAAAGTGCCTCTACGATCTACACTAAGTGATATTTAGGGTGTGGCTACAGTTTACTTATACCATCCAACAAGTTAACCCCATACAAATAAGGATGAATAGATTTTTCCCTCAACTTTACATTTCTTCTTTATCAAACCTACTTTGCCCCATTCTAGATCTTCCATAGGAAAAGATTAAAATCCTTTATATTCAGTGGCCTTGAAATAAGTGTATGTAAATGCCATCATTTATAACATCAAAGACAATCCTTCATATTAAAATGAATGCTTTTATTATAAAAGTAAATGTGAAAGCACTAAGAATAATAATCTTGTTAAAATCAATTATTCTTAAATTTCATATAAATGTCTCTTTTCTGAAATGTGTGTAATTAATTCCATCAACTTTTTCAATCCAAATTTTTAAAATAACTGATAAACATCATTTTATAATAGAGAGTCATTTGAATTATTAATTCTCCAAAAATTCATAATTAAATCTTCATTAGAAATTTTAGACAATGGAGGTTCAACTGAATCACTCTATTTTAAAAAGAACTTAATTTTATCTAAAGTGAAAATTAAGTTTTATATTCTTTCTTCAGAATGTTATTAAACAGTAAATAGATTCCAATTTTAAGTTTCTTCATTAAGAACGAATTTTGTATCTAACTCTGTCTTATATATTAAATATCTACTCTGAAATGAAATAATACTCTTCATCAATAAATTTAAGCAATTAAGAAATCCAACTTTTTAACCAGAAAGGACAAGCTGTTAATAAACTAGATCTAATTTTATGTTTGTTAAAAAGCGATTCATCTATTTTGATATTATCTAGACAAGCATTAAAAAGAATAGCATTTCTTTTAATAAAACAATGATTTCTATCTAAAATAGCATTATATTCTCTTTGATTAGACAACTCCAAATAATATCTAATAAAATAAATGAAATACTTTCTACAATTTAAACTGCCGCATAAACATAAAGCTTATAATTATTCTTATTTACTTTCAGTGAATGAACAATAATCAAATGTTAATTCTTCACCATATTAAATATTTCGCATAGCATACATTCCAATAACATAAGTTCCATTACTAACAGTTGTAACAGTACCACAATTAGGATTACAAGAATGACTTAATCTTGATGAAAAATTGCCTTTATTAATAGGATCAACAAAAAGGATATCCATTCCATCATCTTCATCAGGATGTTTATCTAACATAATATTATAAAAATCTGGAAGGATATCTTTTTTATTAAATTCTTTCATTTATTTTTTAATAAAATCTTATTTTTCATACCATCTCCATGGTTGATAGATTTCACCCAAATAAGGTATAATAAGAGAATTTGTTTTAATACCAAATTTATTTACACAAACTAATCCACATCCTTTTGTATGAATTCTAAATCCTCCTCCATCAAGTTTTATTACTCTTTTTATTTATTTAGCCATTTTTCTATCATCCTTATTATAATAACTTGATATCATTCTGGATTCTTTAATTATATAATCACATGCTAATCCCATATCATATCCTCTCTATTTATCATTTGGTCTATTGATTGCTAAAATTAATTTCTCAATAAATAAATTTTTCTATTATTCATCATAATCTAATGGTAGAATGTTCATTATAACATTTCTTGTATAAACATCTATTCCCCAACATAATGTTTCCTTTATATTTTAAATATTAATTATACTTCTACATCTGCATTATCTCCAAAATTAATTCTATTAGTTAAATATTATTTTAATTAAATTTACATATTTAAACATGTTTTATCTGTTCCTTCATGTTCTTTACATTCAATTCTATTACGTCTATTTGGACATTCTGAATCCCAAGTTATTTCTGAATAATTAAATGTTCCCATTCTATTTAAATCAAAACAAACACAATCATTCTTGCATTTTATTGGAACTTTCTTGCTTGATAATTTCTCTTTTATTTGACTTATATGGGGTTCCTCATTAGGGTTAGGTTCATAATCCTATATTTCAATATAAGTTCGTATTTCCTTCTTTTCAGGAATCACAGGCCAAATCTTTGAAGATATTTTATATTCTGTTTTCAATTATAGAATATTATGCACCTCTTCCTTAATTTATTCTGAAAACTTCTATATAACTGATCTAATCTTTGGTTTGGCATCTTCCCATACTTTGGACAAATAATAGTAGGATTATTGATTTTTGCATCTCATATAAATGTTGCCAAATAATTTATGCAAATCTTTGATTATTGCTTAAATATCCCAATAATATCGGTATTGTACTCTTTTTCTGAATTGATTCAAATTATACAAATTACTCCTAAAATTAATAGGCTATACTTTTACTGTTATATACCTTCTTTAATTATGTTGTTTCATCAAATTAATATTCATACTCTTCATCAAACCATTCTTTATAGTATTCCTTAGGATCTCTTTCATAGTTTTCTAAAATTTGTATTAAAGTACTCAATTCCTCATTATTCAAAATGTTATAAGGATCACTTTGAACTAACAAATCTGCTATTGTTTCTAAATGTTTCCAAGCATCTTCCCTTTAAAATTCTTACATTTTCGCTTTTTTCTTATTCTCTATTATTCCCACATTATTATTTTTCTTCCTCTATTTTTTTATCTATTTGGATATTGAATCACTCTTTTTCTCTTCTTCAGCACTACTACTCTATTTTGTCTTGTTTCCTTTTGCCCGCTTTAAGCTCATTTCTGTTTTAATTTTAATTTTATATGGGAATTCCTTAACCAAAACAAACTCAATCACAACTTTTTGAAGAAACCCTTAAATAATTCGACATAATAGACAAATAATCCACCTACATACTATTTTAGAACAAAACTACTATGCAAAAATTAGAATTTTGGACTTTCAAATATAATGATGAAGATTCATTCAAACGAGCAGTAAAAGACTTGACTCAAACTAAAACATGTTAAACTCTTCTTCAAATTGTCAAACACAATACTGTGACTCATGATGAATTCTGTTCTACTTTTTATGAACTCCAACTGCTTGTTGAACATCCAGTTTAAAGCTTTGCAGAGTACCTATAAAATAGAGGTCAACAAGATTACTCCTCAAAAGAGCTATATCATCTTATAGATTGTGTAGTATTTGCATAATTAAACCTTGAAAAAAAACAATACATAGGATTTAATAATTTATGGTAAGGTGAAAATGATGTTTGGAAGTTGAGAAGTTTTGAAAATTCTTATCGTCCAATAGACTTTTGGGGAAAACAAATTCCACATTTATATCCAGCACCAGAAGAACTGAAATTAGACCCTTCTCTAAAATATTCAGTTGAAAAAGCTACTATATTCACTTTTGGAATGCTTCTTCTTCATGTTGCACTAGGTATTTTATTAATTTAATAAAGCATAGCCAAATCTTGTGATTCTCTTTATTAGAATAATACTATTGATTAATAAAGAATAACAACTAGAATTGCTGAATTTTCTAAAATATATCCTAGCACTTTGGCAGACATTATTTCAAATATGGTCTAAATAGATCCTTTTCAGAGATATAATTACTAAGATATTCAGAATAGATTAAAAGATGCTTAATAATGTAAAATAACTGATAGTACTAATCTTTTATTAAAAATGCCCTAATAAATCAACAGTTAATCTAAGTTCTAAGGAAATCCTTACAAATCTCCTGCAGAAACATCAAGATTAATTAACATACCATTATATCCAGAATAACAATTTATTAATTCTCAATCAATTCCTGGAAATAATAGTCTATAAAATTATGGTAATTCAATTCAATTAAATAATTAATAACTAATATAAACAATCACATAATCAAAACAATAATAAATTGATAAATAACAACCTTAATAAATACAATCTAACCGTTAACTTTCTCCTTATAATAGTAGAATTAGATAAGATAAATTATAATTTGCTGATGGAAGATACTATGAAGGAGAAATAATGAATGAATAAATGAATGGTTAAGGAATTCTTTATTATTCTGACTCTACTGTTGAATATGATGGCCAATTTTTAAATGGTTAATTTCATGGTTTTGGAGTCCATTCTAATAATAATCCTGATATTATGGATGCTTTTCTTAATGTTAATGAATTTCCTGGTATTTTGAATTATTGGGTAAAATATGAAGGTGATTTCTATTAAAATAAGTATTTTATATTATCAATTATAGAAAACATGGTATAGGAAGCATTACATTCTCAAATGGAGATTATTATATTGGAGGATTTTAAAAAGATTAAATGGAAGGAAGAGGTACTTATACTTAAAAATATGGATAAACATATATTGGATTTTGGGAAGGAAACAAACTAAAATATTGATTTATTATTTATTTATTTTAAGAATGCAATTAGAAGAGTCTTATCAAGAAGCTAGACAAATCTTAGCATAAAATTTAGAGAAAGGCCGAGGTAAATTAAATGCACAAGAGAAATTAAAATGTGATATTGCTTAAGCTATTATTTATGAACATGATCAAAAAAGATTATAGGCTGCTTCCATATACTATAATTTAAGTTAAAAGAATCCAGATTATTTAAAAAAAGCAATCATTAATGGATTAGCTGCTCCTGCTTCTGCAAAAAGATAAGCACTTCTCTTAACCATTTATAGGGATAGTCGAAGTTAAAAATCAAAATGGCTTCCATTTTTAAAATCAAAGTATATCAATGTTATTTTATTTATGATAGTGTTCAACAAGATTTATTAAAATGGTCTGATATTGAAGAGTTTGCCAGAGAAACTTAAATCAATTCCAATTTATTTTGTGAACATATTATTTCTGCTATCAGTAGATTCTATAACAATATATCCATTAATAAATTAGCTCAATATTGTAAGCTTATGGAAGATCAAGCATATTAACTTTTAGAGAACATGATTATTACTGAAAGATTATCAGCATATATTGATCAATAATAGGGATATATCTATTTTTAACATAAAGAATAATCTACAATAGAAGAATTCTGTACAAATTTATACAGTTTATTTTAATGAATAATTATCTACATATATATATCATTAATAATAATTGAATTCTTCTCTTATGTTTAATTTTAATTATGAAAACCTTTCATTTAAATTATGATAACATTAGAAAACACCTGAAATCATCCATTATCCTGTATTTGTCTTTTCCATACATTCTTAAAACTCATCTCTCAATTATTGAAACTATCCTTAAACAAATTTATCAGCATCTTTCAGACCTTGAGTACATTCTATTACACAAAATCTTATTGATTATCTATCTTTATAAATATCATCATAACAACGACTTCTAAGACATTTAGTTATCTTATAAATTAATTAAATCAATACTTTATTTTGCAATACTGCATATTCTAATAATAAAAATTTATTAACATCTGCTATATTTTTATTGTATTCTATATAAAGATCAGCAGCAGTATTTCTTTCTTATTCATTCAAGACATCTTTGTCAAAGAGTTTTTGAGTTTTCTCATCGATTGTATTTTTTAAATGATGAAAATATGGATATTCTCCATCTTTTGCTATTCTCATTAATATTAAATATAAAAATTCATTCTCTATATTTATGTTACTTGATCATATTCTAAATTTCATCAAGCACTTTAATTTTACTTTATTAAACCGATTTTTATTAAACTACAGTATTTTTCAAAGCTTCTCTCTCTCCAAGTAATTTTTCATTTTCTAACAATTTAACTTTTTCTTCAAGCTATAAATAATATAATTTAATTTGAATACAAATCTTTATTCATTTTCCAAATTTTTTGAATTCTATTTGCTTTTCAAATACTTTGCTTTAAATTAATTAGTGTTTTCTTCTTGTTATTATAACTATCTTTTTAAATCATTTGCATTTCGTTTCCATTCATTAGTCTCTTCTCTAGCAACATGAACCTCTGCAACTAAAGAATCAACTTTCTTTTCAATATATAATATCTCCTATTATATTTTAATCAATTAAAATACTTATTCTTATTATTATCTCATGTAATCAATATCTCTATCTTATTCATATAATAAATGTTTTAATTTTCTATTTTCTTATTCAAAAATCTCAATCTCATGAACTAATCTTTATTTCTCCTTCTAATCAATCTAATATTAGACATCATATTTTGTTATTTTTTCATCTTATATTTAAAGAGTTTGTCTATATTTATCAATCTCTCCCTTCAAATCTCTTATATCTTATATTTTGAATTATGCTTCATTAAAAACCTAATCAGTTTTTTATTTCTAATCCTCTAGCATAGATTACAATTTCTGTTTTTCTCCTTATAAATCTTAAATTTATTTATTAACTATCATATCTTCTTTTGATTTTTCTAATAATTTCTATTCTAATTATTAGATCTGATTTTGCATTTATTTTGTTTTTTATTTTTTTTTCTATAAATTTTCTTGTAATTCACTTATCATACCTTATTTCTCTTAATCTAACTTCCCTTACAACATTTAATATCTTGTATCAGCTTATTTCAATTACTCTTCTAAATCCTATACTTTCTTTCCTTAATTATCTATTGTTATCTATAAAATCTTCTTTTCATCAAAATATTCTTAAATTTTTGAACTTATTTTATTTGTATTCTCTCTCTCTTCCTAAATCATCATCTCCAAATATCTTCTATCCTCTTCTTTTTAATCTAATAACTATTTATATTGTTCATTTTCGTCATTCAAACATATCAACCTCTTTTCTGAATCCTTACTAATTTATAATTAATCTATTTATAATACATTTCATTTGAGAATTCTTCGCATAACTTTTATACTCTATCCAATTCTTATTGAAATCCTTATTTTTAATCTTCTAATCTACCCTAATAAAAATATAAATTATATTTCTTACATCATTTGATTTTTAAGAATCCTTAAGTAATTATATTTTTGCTTTCTTTTTTATTAATTTCTATTTTGCCTAAGTTAATTAAGTTCTGAGATCTTCATTAACTCTTGCTTATTAATCTTCTTTCAAAATCTATTCCTTCTATTCTTATAATTGATTATATAAATTTTCCTATTATTCTCTTAATTCCTTCTCATACTTTTCTATTAATTCATCTTTCCCTCTTATTGTCTATTCCAACTCTTTTGTTCTATCTATATATTCTTTTAGAGTTATCTAATTTATTTATTAATACAAATTTTATACTTTAAGCTCTTTATTTAAACTTCTCATTTTGTTATACTTATCTCTTGATACATATTCCTTCTCTTTCTCTTCCTTATAATTTTTTTCAGAACGTATTGTTGTATCATTCTTACCACCTGATTAATACAATTAATCAATGACTTATTTTGAACGATTATATCTCTCCAATAATCTTGAAAAGTCCTTTTCAATCTTTTCTGTCTGTCCATCCCTTGAATTCATTTTTTAATATTCAAATTTATTAACTGATTTAAATTATGTAAAATAAGAAAATACTAAAAATTATTTATTTTTATCAATCAAATACTTTTTCCTCATGTATTAATCTCAACTTATCAGTTCCAGTTATTTACATTAAATATAACTTCAAAAACCATTTATTTTATTACTACAATAGCCTTATTGAGAAGCTTTCTCATTTCTCTTCCTTTTAATCATTCAATTAAGAAATCAAATTATATATAATAAATAAAAATTTTGATCTATTTTAAAAATAATAATAACATTCATAAATTATATCAATATCAAATCCTTTTATTTTTCATTCGATTTCCTCTGATTCCTTATCAGATTCATAGTATTCATAATTTTATTATTAAAAGGAAAATACTTAACTTTGCCCCTTTGAAAAAGAATTCAAAAATCACTATTTCAGTAACAAATCTGTGTTAAATTGAAGCTAAGTTTGCATCTCAATTTTTTACTCACTTAAATATTGATTTTCAAATTCTAATTATTATAATTTAACTTTTATTTCGTTTAATTCTTCAACTAGATCCAGCTTTTATACTACTTATAGTTCTTAAGAATCACTAGATTTTCTACTTTTAATTTCTTCCTAATTTTTTATCATTCTTTAAATTTTTACACCGAATTTTCCATTTTTGTTTTTTCTCCCATACTATTTGATTTATTCTTATAAGTTTTTATTATTTTCTGTATATTCTTATATTTAATTTTACAAATCTTTATTTTATTTCTATAATCCTTTAATTTGTTGTTTTTGTTAAACACTTTATATTTAAAATTCAACAAATTTTTCATTAATAGATTTCTTTTCTTACTTTGTTTCCCAATAACAATCTTATTTATATATTTATATTACATTTTTATTTGAATCTTTGTTATTTATTGATTCATTAAAGTCTTATTATTTTTTATTTAAGCCTTTAAAATATTTTATTATGATGCTCTAAAATTTTGTTTTTCTATCTACCTTTAGTAAATAATTACTTTTAATTATATTTATTAAAGTCTTGATAACTCCTTCCATTAATTCATTACTTAAATTTTTTTCTTTAATAAAAGATTTTCCATTTCACAATTATGCAAAATTACTGATTTTCTCATCTATTAATTATATAAATCATCTAATTATAGCTTGCTTTAGCAATTTCTTTCTAATTTGCTCTATATAATTCCAACCCATATTGATTACATTTGATTATTAATCAATATTACATTTAAAAGGAGATTTAGAAATATAGAGTTCTAAAATGAAGTTTGAGTCCTTTTTGATGTATTAAGATTAAGGCTGAATTATTTTTTTAAAGGACTAGAATTCATTTTAAAATAATCACATAAGCAAATTTTTTATTTTATTACTTTTAAATAATTAGTTCTTCTCTCAACTAAAACATTTATTTTTTTTTGTCTTTTGTCTTTTTGTACTTTTGAATTAAAAAAAATTTTAAATTTAGAATTATTACATTACAATATTCTTAAATTAGTTAATTTTTTCAAATATCATTAATTTTAAATTTTATTTCTAAAATAGAGACATAAAAATTTTTTGAATTGTTAATATTTTCCATTTGATTAGAATTTTTTAATTTAAGTTTATTTCTCTAGTATTTTTGATAGCTTTTTCAACTCCTCATACTTTTTTTCATCATATTGTTCTTTTTGTCTTAATTTAAATTAGTTTATAGTAAACATTACTAAAACTATTTTTAGGCAATAACAGTATATCATTTAAAACAAAAATACTTTAATTCTCATTGCAAATTTAATTAGGATATTACATTCTTTAAAGTTTTAGTTTTATCCCTAATATTATAAATATCTTATTAAAAATGTAATTTTCAACTTCAGGATTTAATTATGTTTTTTTTATAATGGAATCATTTAATGATAAAATGAAACTAAAAAAAGGATTTATAATTTGAAAACCTTTCTCAACTCAATCCAAAAATTTTTGAACAATTCTCTTTATATATTTAATCAAAAATAACTAACAATAATTTACATTTTTGCTAATTAATCACTTTTTTAATAATTATTTTTATATTAATTTTTTTACAAATATTTTCCATCAATGCTTTAATTTTTTGACTTATAAATCAGTGACCTTTATTCATTTTATAATTTTGAATAATTTTATCTGAAATTTTGTAGAATTAAACTGTTTAATATATGAGAATAAATATAGAAACAGTAAAAAAATGAATAACTTAAATTATTAATTATATTAATTAAGAATAAATAAAAAACAAATGAAATCATTATAAGTTGTTTGTATTCAGGAATCAATTTCAATGCTTTTTTCTGTAATTTAATTTAGACTATTAGAAGTTTATAGATGTATTCTCTTAATTCTTCTTAGTGTTTTTAATTTTTAAGAGACTTAAGTTATTGCGTCTCTGTTGTCTACTAACTTGTCATTAACATCTTGATGAATAATTATCATTTTAAGTATTGATTTTTCTTCTTTTGCAATGTACTTTTATTCATAAAGAGTTTGCACATATTTGAGAGCTGTTTAGAAATAGGTTTGCGTCATCTAAAAAATTGATATTTTTATTAAGTAATTTTAAATTATATGAAATTAAGTTAAAAGGGGATTTTAATTTTAGTTTATTTTTAGAAAATTAATCAATTTTGGATATATACTAGGGATTTAATGATGTGTAATATATTTATGTTATTTAAATTAAGATGTGAAATATTAGTGATTTTTAATGAAAATATTCATTTATAGCAATGATTCTAGAAGCTTTTTTAAATATATTATATAAATTTTTGTTAGTTAATATTAGGTGTTTGGAGAAAATATATACACAAATCTCACTGAAAATATTTTTAAAAAGGACCTTCAAATTAATTCTTCATCTGTCTCTTCATCTATAATAAGAAGCTAACCTTGTTTGATTGCCAACTCTCTTCTTTATTTTTTAATTAATTATAAAAAAAAGAAAGAGAGTTATTCAGCACTAATTGTAGAAGGAATTTAAAATTCATTCTTTATTATTAGATCTTTTAAGATAACTTTCTCTTCTTCACTAATAAGTTTAAGTTCAACTAAAGAGCGCAAAGTTTAAAAACACATTCTATAAAAGGATTCATTCATCATTTGTGAATAATAATATTAATGAGCTGATTTTTTTTAAAGTGCTGAATTTAAATTAATTGAGCCAATTTTTTATTAATATTTCTATAAAGTATTAATAAGCAGAAATTCTCTAGGAAATATCAATGGTTCAAGAATCCATTTTGATTTTTAATTTAATTAAGAATCTATTCTTATATTCTATGATTGTATTATAACAGATAAAAAAAGAAAAAAAATTAAAATTATTGAAGTATTAAATAACTATTTATGAAATTAAGGATAGGATATATTGAATTTAAGTTCTAAAATCAAAAATCTTAAAAGAAATTAAAATGTTTATATCCAAAAGTTAAATTTAAAGTTGTAATATGCCTTTATATTTTGCTTTGTATCTAAATATATGAAGAGAGTAAATTGAAAGAGTTTTTGCAAATAGAGCTGATTTATCAAGAAATGATGAATATTTTAATATAATTTTTAGAAAATAAACTGAAATTAGAATTTTCGGGTTTGAGTTTATTTACCTAGAAATCTTTGATCCAAAATAATATAATCGTAAAATAAAATTTAATTAGAATTAAAAAAATTTTTAATTTTCAATAAAAGAAATAAATTCAAATTCTCAAAATGTCATATTAAAACATTTTCAAATTTCGTTCTTCAGTTTTAATGTTTGATTAAAAGAGTTATTTTTTTGTAAAATGCATCTTAATCATTCTTTCTTCAACACTCTATTTACAAATTAATCTCAATATTCTTTTCTTCTCTTATTTTCTTATGAATTACATTAACTTTTGTTGGATTTATCGATTTGTATTAAATCATATAATTTCTAAAAATTTTCACTATATTTAATAAACTCTTATGAAGAATTGTCAAATTAAAGCCTTTTGATTTAAAAACATATGAATTTATAACAATATTTTAGAATGAGTGGTTTTATATTTCTATAATCGTCTTCTAACAAAGGATTAAAAATTTTCATATTTTGAATCCAATCTACCTATCTAATATGGTACAAATTTAAGTTATTTCTAGATTATTATAACATATCCTTATTATTATATTCTAAAAATTTTTTCTTTTATTTCCTTCTTTACATACTCCATTTAATGAATAGGTCGCTACTAAAAATTCTACAAATTCTACTTTCTTTTAGAATAACCCTCTATTCTAATACTTTCTTCAAAAAATTTTTTTGGCTTTATTTCATTCAGTATCAATTCAAAATTTTATTTCTTCTAGTCTGTACCATATTCCACTTCTTCTAATTGTTTCATTTTTTTCCTATTCATTAATCTATCTTGTTTTTTTAACTCTTATTTTTCATTTTAAAATTCTTTGTTTATTATTTTACTTCTAATTTTTATAATTTCTATTATTCAAAATTTAATTTATTTTTCATCTTAAGCTTAATTAATCACAATTTCCTACTTTTATTTATTTATTAGAAATCTAAATCCTCTGAGGATTCGTTTAACCCTCTCTCTTGATCAATAAATTATTTGAGAAATATTTCAGATTATTCATTTAAATTTATTACAACTACTATTTCTACTTTTCGCTTCAACTTTATAATAGTTTAGTATATTCTGGTTTATATTTTAATGCCAATTAAAATACATATTGCTTTCTGATATATATTTCATTTGTTCATTTTTTTAATTTTCTTCAAAGTGCTTTTATTTTAATAGTAAAAAATACATCAACTAAATGCATTTATTTTTTTTGCTATAAGAAATTAATAGGAAATTGAATCTTCAATTTCTCAAAGCTTCTAACTCATTTTTCATATTAATAATCAAGGCTCTAATTTTAATTGATTTTAGTTTTTTTGAGTTCATTAAGTTCTTAACTACAATATTCACAAAGTATAATTTCTTTTCATTTTAAATCCATATAAGCCTAGCTGATTAATAAATAATTTTATTAGATGCTATTTATTTCAAGGTTTTCGTATAAAATAGCAACAAAATTGATTGATCTGTTAATATGTTATTAATAAATAGGGATATAGAAAATATTATGACATATTTAAAAAATAATAATGATTATATTAAGGGTAAATTGCTTATTAGTATTAGTAGAGTTAAATAAAAAAAATAAGAGTATTAAGATTATTATGATGATTCTTCTTAATAAAGGATGATTTTTTATATATATTGCATTTTTAAGTGTAAATGAGATAAATATGTTTGATGTATATTAAGTAAGTATTTTGATTTTCTAATTTGATAATTTAAATGGTTAAAGAATAGAATAGAGGATGATAGTAACATAGAAATAATGGATAGTATATTTGATAATAAATGATTAAAGATAGGTTTGTTATAATAATTTAACGATGATGTCACCACTGTAATTATAAAAGGTAATAAGAGAAAGAAATGATAATTTATTATAATGAACAAATTATTAGCATTAGCAGCTCTAACATTATTAACAGTAGGAATTCATCAACTATCCTAAACCGAATCAGTTAATTTAAGATTGTAATATGATAATTACACAGTCTAATATGGCAAATTCTATTCTCCAGGTGAAAAAGCTTATAGATTTAAGATTTATGAAGAGGCAATGAAACATATTGAAAGTTTCAATTCAGACTCAAGTAATACTGCTAGATTAGGAGAAAACTAATTTACTGATTTAACACCTGAAGAATTTGCTGCTTTGTATTTAACAAGAAAATAATTGAATATGAATTTGAATGCTGAATTATATGTTCCATAAGGACCTGTAAATGCTTCAGCTGATTGGTCAGGAATCACAAAAGTAAAGGATTAAGGTAATTGTGGTTCATGTTGGGCATTCTCAGCTGTTGGTGCAGTTGAGACACTTTTAAGAATTAAGGGTGTTCTTCCAACAAATACATGGTTATCAGAATAATAATTGGTTGATTGTGATAGAGGTACAAATGATGGATGTAATGGTGGATATGAAAATTTGGGTATTTCTTGGGCTAAAAAGAATGGTCTTACAACTAGTGACAAATATCCATATGTAGCTAAATAATAAAAATGTTAAATCTCAACTGGATAATATAAACCATCAGGATATTAAGTTGTTGCTGCCAATAACATGTACACAGCACTTTCATATTAACCAATTACTGTTGCTGTTGATGCTAGTTCATGGTAATATTATAAGACTGGTATTTTCTCTGGTTGTACTTTAAAATCCTTAAATCATGCAGTTTTAGCAACTGGATTTTAAGAAGATGGAACTTGGATTATTAAGAATTCTTGGGGAACTGGATGGGGAGAAAAAGGATACATTAGATTACCTGCTAAAGGTAACCCATGTGGTGTTTAAGATGAATCCTATGTTGCTTATCTTGAATGAGTTAAGTTACATATTTAAAACATCTATAATTTATATATATATTTCTTCTATTGATACATTCTTTTATTTTTTTATGAATCAATATCAATTATTTTAATAAGGTTTCTATTAAAATCATGATAAAAATAACACAGAATTTCTTACAATCAGAGAATGATTTTATTGAAATTTTAAAGTAAAATTAAAAATGAACAAGGATTAGAGAAATAAAAGAAAAATATATTTTACTCTTCTAATATTTATTACTAAACTTAATCCAAAATAAATAATGTTTGATTAAAAATAAAAAATAACTCTTGTAAATAAGGATTTATTAAATAATCTAGAAAAAAATTAATTCCAATTTTACTGTAATTCAACACCAAAATTGATAAATTCATTAAAGATATAGGATTACAATAGACTTAAAATTAAAGTATCACAAAATTAATTTAGAATAAAGTAAATTATTATGTTGATAAAGAGAAAAAATAAGAGAATTATTAAAAAGTATAAAATTATAAAAACAGTATACTGTTTAAAGAAAAAACTAATTGGACAAATTAGTATGTAAAAAAGATGCAATGTTGGAGTAATAGAATTAAAATATTATTGAATAGTTTGGATTTGAGTAGTTATACAAAAAATAAAATAATGTTAACTATTAAATTAGCAAAACTTTTTAATAAATTAAAAAATTTTGATCACTAAATTTTCAAAATTATTTAATATTGGAGTTTGTTTGATGTTCAATGGTAATAACTCATTAAAATAATCTGTTTAGTGATTTCTTTTATTTTGATATTTGTTTAAGGGTGTTTGATTATATATTTGGAATAGGATTTTTAGATTGTAACTTTGATAAAGCAATAGGGAATGTGATTGGAGGAATTTAGAATAGAGTAGATTATAAATAATATAAAAAAAAACAAGAATTCATAACAAGATTTTATTTTTATGGAAAGCTTTTTTGTGATCCTGACAAATTGATAATGAGTTGTTTAACTCTTAAAATCAACATAAATTTTTATCTAAAATCTGATGAAAAAAAATAGTTAAAATTTTGACTTAATATCATTTAAAATAGATTTGCACCAATAATGATTAAATTTCATAATTAAAACTCTTTTAGGAAGGTTTTCTTCTAATAATCAGCAACATGACAAGTTCTAAGAAAATGTATTTATTCAAATAGAAAATCAATAAAATCCATGTTTTAATTCATTGATGTATTTACATTAAGTAATATTATATGGATTTAATACAGTTACAAAATAAAATTAAAAAAAGAAATGAATAGGATGGATTATATTTTCAATTACCATACCAATCATCAATTTTGGAGATTTAGATAAAGAAAAATCTTATAAGTGAAATAGATTTAGATTACTTAAAAATAAATACAATTTACAAAAATTAGTTAATTTAAAAAAAAATACAGTATTAAATATTTGAATTAGAATATTAAATTTTTTTAATAGGAAAAGTATAGCAAAATGATAAAGCGAATATAGTTAGGATACAGCTATAAACAATTTAAATGATTTGTCATAATAATTCAATATTGATTTCAGATGAAAATTATAAGGAAAATACTTCATAGAATATTTTAATAAGTTAATATTTTTCGGAACTTTGAAATTAAAATAGAAGTTTAATAGTATTGGTAATATTCAAAGTGTATAATATTAGATAACAAAGTGATTATAATTCCGAAAGGAAATGTAAAGATCTTGCAATTCTATTAAAGAGATATTAGAGAATAACAAAAGAATACTATAATTAAATACAAACTAGAAATTAATGAGAGAGATAAAATTAGTAGATTGAAAGAATTTAAATTACGTAAATTTGATGTATAGATAGTGAATAAAAATAAAGAATTGAAATATGATGTGATTTAGTTATAGAATGATAAGAGAATAATAGTTGATAAGTAATGTGTCATATATTATTTGATAAAATATAATAGGAAGAATTGTAAATAATATGATATAAGATATGGAAATGAAAATATTGATGTTATATNTATTTGTTTAAGGGTGTTTGATTATATATTTGGAATAGGATTTTTAGATTGTAACTTTGATAAAGCAATAGGGAATGTGATTGGAGGAATTTAGAATAGAGTAGATTATAAATAATATAAAAAAAAACAAGAATTCATAACAAGATTTTATTTTTATGGAAAGCTTTTTTGTGATCCTGACAAATTGATAATGAGTTGTTTAACTCTTAAAATCAACATAAATTTTTATCTAAAATCTGATGAAAAAAAATAGTTAAAATTTTGACTTAATATCATTTAAAATAGATTTGCACCAATAATGATTAAATTTCATAATTAAAACTCTTTTAGGAAGGTTTTCTTCTAATAATCAGCAACATGACAAGTTCTAAGAAAATGTATTTATTCAAATAGAAAATCAATAAAATCCATGTTTTAATTCATTGATGTATTTACATTAAGTAATATTATATGGATTTAATACAGTTACAAAATAAAATTAAAAAAAGAAATGAATAGGATGGATTATATTTTCAATTACCATACCAATCATCAATTTTGGAGATTTAGATAAAGAAAAATCTTATAAGTGAAATAGATTTAGATTACTTAAAAATAAATACAATTTACAAAAATTAGTTAATTTAAAAAAAAATACAGTATTAAATATTTGAATTAGAATATTAAATTTTTTTAATAGGAAAAGTATAGCAAAATGATAAAGCGAATATAGTTAGGATACAGCTATAAACAATTTAAATGATTTGTCATAATAATTCAATATTGATTTCAGATGAAAATTATAAGGAAAATACTTCATAGAATATTTTAATAAGTTAATATTTTTCGGAACTTTGAAATTAAAATAGAAGTTTAATAGTATTGGTAATATTCAAAGTGTATAATATTAGATAACAAAGTGATTATAATTCCGAAAGGAAATGTAAAGATCTTGCAATTCTATTAAAGAGATATTAGAGAATAACAAAAGAATACTATAATTAAATACAAACTAGAAATTAATGAGAGAGATAAAATTAGTAGATTGAAAGAATTTAAATTACGTAAATTTGATGTATAGATAGTGAATAAAAATAAAGAATTGAAATATGATGTGATTTAGTTATAGAATGATAAGAGAATAATAGTTGATAAGTAATGTGTCATATATTATTTGATAAAATATAATAGGAAGAATTGTAAATAATATGATATAAGATATGGAAATGAAAATATTGATGTTATATTTTTAATAAATAAAATCATACTTAAAATATAGATGGATCTAATTCTCGATAATACCATAAAGCTAAATAACGAGTTATAAATAAAGCTGCTCCTAGTGAGATGACTGCTGGACTGTTAAAATTTAATAGACTCACATAAATCAAGCTTAGAAATGTAATAACAGTTGCTGTTGACATATCATATTTACATGCATCTACCCAAGAATAATAAACAGTAGTTGCTAGAAATCCAATTGCTACACTAATAACTCCTTCTTTAAATCTGGTCATATATACATTAGTTTTAAAGTTTGCCCAATGAGGTAATAATCCCCATATTTAGAGAATTGATGGTACAAAAATGGCCATCCAACAACATACTCCTCCTGAGAAACCCATACTATGAGTTCCTAAGAATATAGCAAAATTTAAATATGGACCTGGTAAAGCAGCTGCTAATCCAAATCCTAACCAAAAGGCATCCTCATTTATATATAAAGGATTTAAAACGGTCTCTGCATACATAAATGGTAATGTTATTGGTGTACCTCCTATCATAAATGTTCCTATATTATAAAAGGATAAAGATATATCTAAAATCATTGATTTATATGCTGAATTAAAATAAAGTAATGCAATTAAAAAGATTATATATAAGTAAAATGATTTATTTCCTAACAATTAACTAATTTTATGACTATTTTTTATATTAATTAATTTAGGATCGGTTGTAATTACTGGAGTTACTGTTTGCTCTTTTATAAATGTACTTCGACCTATTGTGTTTTCTGCATCATATTCTAACATTATCGTTAGAATCCCACCCATCATCATCGTCAATATTAACACATAAGATTATTAATAAGCTACAAGTAGAACAGCACTTAAAACTGATAAACTCATATGAATTCTACTTTTTATTGATTACATAGCCATTTAAATCATTAACTATAATATTAATGCTACTGTACTAGCTTTTATTCCTTAAATTGCTAAAAATATCAAAATGTTCAAATCCTTAGGATCTGGATACTTACTGTATATAAATCCTAAAATTGCTAATAATACAGCTCCAGGACCAGCAAATCCTATTAATGCCACTATACCACCTAAAGCATTCTTCTTTGCTATTGTTCCTAAAGCTACCATCATCTAAGATGTTGTTGCTCCAGGGATAAAGTCTACCAAAGAAATGATCTCATCAACTTATGATTCCTTTTATTATCTTATTTTATTACCGTAACTGCTTATGCTTTTATTACGAATACTTCCTTAAATTAACCATACAAACTTGCACTAAGTGTTTTTATATCAAATACTGCAAATCGACATGACAAATTCAATAACTCCTTATAGCTTAATGTCTTAGAAGCATCTATTAATAAAGAAAACTTTGTCTTCCCTGTCTAACTACTCAAACTTTACATTTCAATCATCTTTATTTATATTTATAATCTCAATTATTAAACATTTTATGTAACATACCATATTTAATCAAAAAACTCTCTCCCTATCCATATCCAAATTAAGCACCTAACAATTACAACCCTTCAATATTAAATCTATTAAATATCAACTTTCTAACCTTGCCAAATAGTTCTTATATTCAATCTCTTTCATTAATCTCTATAACTCTGTCTCTTCAAATTTACGAAACTATATTTCTTTCATTTAAATCTCTCTTTATATTTGTTAGTATTCCTTTATCAATCTATCTTTCTCAAAATTGTTTATCTCTGTAAAAACAATCGATTATTCTTAAACTTATTCCTGTTTGAACATTTTTTAAATCTTTCTTGATGCCTCTAAATATATAATATCATTAAGAGTTTATTTGCTTGAGAATATTTGAGAAAATGTTTTCTCAATTAATTTATTTTCGGTAGGACTCAACCCTTCTACTAACAATGCTACATTATTTTATTATTGCTGTTTTATCTAATTAAGATGTTATTTTTTTATTTCAATTGAATCAATTTGAGAGAAATGATTTTTAGATAATAATGAAGCAATTGAATTATTTCCTGTTTCAATAGAAGTTTCCTTATAATTACTAAAAAATTAATGAGCTTTTGTAAAAAGATCATTTAATTCAATAGTTTTTTTAGTTTTAAGCAATAGAAAATCTCTTGCTTTACTATCTAAAAAAGGTGGAAAATTTGAATCTGAAATTTTTTCACCTGAATCCCATATGGCCTTTATTATCCAAGATAAACCTTATGATCGGCAATCTAATCCTATTTTAAGAAGTTCCAATAAGAATCCTTAAATAGATTTATGAAGTGCTTTGTTATTCTTATTCAGTTTAGAGTTTTCCTATTCTAATTTTTCAATTTGAACTGAATTTAGTTTCATTTATTCATGAAATTTGTAATAACTTTCTTTCATTTATTCGATTTAACTTTCTAATTCATTCTATCTAACAGCAATAACCATATAATTGTCAACTTAACTAGTAGATTAGTTGTTTTATTATTATGGCTTTTTATTGATTCCTTTAAGTTCCTCTTACCTTTCTTTTATCTAAAATAAATAAAAATAAAAATACAAAATCTGAGATATCCCTTATTTTTTAATGAATTTAATGATTTTCGATTCTTAATGATTCTAAATCTTATTCATTAATTTTGACTGTTTATTTTTATTTATCAAGTTTTTCATTGATTCGCAATAAAATTTAATTAGTTTATTTTTCATAAAATATGGCTCTTTCTGTTGCATTTTAAAAGGATGTTAATTGCATTTTAATCATGGTATGTAAACTACTCTTTAATCCTTCAACAGTATAATCAAAAATTAGAGTTCCATCATGATGATTCTATCCGCATTATTTTGCTTTTGCTTATTCTATTTATGCCAATTCTTATTATGTTAAGGTGGATCCTTATTATAAATATTTATCCAGTTATTTTGCTATAGAATGATCTTAATGAAGCATCTCAACTTTTTTAATAGCAGATATTTTTGACAAAGAATTTAATAACTTTTACTTAAAAGAGCTTTATTCATTTTCTATTTGAGTTGAATCTATAGTTAATTTTGGAAATGTTTATGTAGTTTATAATTCTTTTTATTTTTCATTGAAACCTCCTCTTCTAAATTACTATAGAGATTATGTTCTTTGTTAGATTTATAATTTAGATAATCCTATATAAATTAAAAGATTTGAATACTTTCTTTTTCTTATTCTTGTTTCAATTTATCTTATTACTCTTTCCATTTTCTCTTAATTCCTTTATACCATGTTTCTAGATTTGCAACTAACTGATCATCACTTTCTGGTTTATATTACAAATCAGTTTTAAAATATTCTTCTTAATGAGATTTCTTATTAATAGTAGTTGAATAATTTCCAGGATCTTCTCCGAATTTCTCGTAACTCACAAATAATCTTAAATTTATTACATTTCTTGTAACAATAACTTAGAACCTGGCTCATTCTATAATCTAACTCTTAATTTATTTTCTAAATCTGTTCTGTATACTCGTTTATGTAATTTAATAGGTTTCTTTGAACTGTCCTTTAAAGAAGCTATCATTTCATCCTAATCTGGTTTCACTATATCATAAAATTATATTGTATTCATTTCATCATTCAATATTTTCTTTCGCATATCTTGCATTACCAAAGTTTCTATTTCTAAATGAGTATGTGGCTTCTATCTTGCTCTGATTATTTCTGGTGCAGATTAAAGATTAATCCTTTTAATTATTTTTTTATTCATAATTTATAATATCTCAACAGAAAGCAAGATAATTTAAAAATTTTCTATTGTTTTTTATTCATTTCATTTTTTCTACTTTAATTTTATTCAGATTTATATAAATCTATTTCTTTCTCTAATTATTACTTTCTAAAAGATAAAATATTTATTATATTTCTTTTTCTTTTTACAAAATATCCAAAATTGTTATGAAATATTATCAATATTATATTCTTATATTCATATTTTATTTCATACAATAATATTTGATCCATCTAATCAGAATAATTTTTAATTTTGAACTTTTATAAGATAACTTTATTATTTATTTGTGCCAAAAATTTAATTTTATTAATTTATCTATTAAAATTATAATTTTTGGAAATTATAGATTTCAAAGTCAATGATTGATTTAACTGAATCATTATAATAATATATATAAATTTATATAATTTGAATGATTGATAAATTTCATTCAGTCTAAGATAATTATTATATATATATAATTTCCTACCATATTATAATATGATTCATTATTAGTACTTTTTTTGAAAAGCTTTTTAAATACTAATTTTTAATTCCTTAGTTCTCCTAATTATAATTATTATGAATTACTTTATAATTTATGAATATACCAACAAAAAAATATTTTTGATTAACTTTATTAGCTCAATAGCAACTTTATTTTGTGATTTCTTCTTTTACCAATTGTCCATACTGTTAAATCTTCAATTATCATATTTTCTATTTATCGTATGGCTATATTATGTAATAGTAATTTAAAAAACACAAGAAGTCTCTTATAAAATTTATAAGAGAAGAATCTTTATTAAATTGGTTAGATGTACAAAATTAAGTTTATTGCAAATTATTAAATTATTATATAATAATAAACATATCATTCAGCATGCTATGATTAGCTAAATTTAATAACTTCTTCATTTTATTATTAATATTATTTATAGAGAGGTTCCCAAAAAGAATCTTTGAATTATTTTTGATTTTTTTCTTTTAACTCAATGAATTTATTTTGATTTAATCCAAAAGTATTAACTTTAAATAACATTTCAGAAGCAGGGTCAGTGAAAAATTCTCTCTATAATTAAGCTATTATGGCTTCTAATCCTCCAATAATTCCTCCAATTAGAATCATAGATAACCAGAAATGAGGAGTTCCAACCATAGTAAACGGAGTATATTCCATTAAAGTACCTGGCCAGAATTATGATATGATTACATAAATGATATAGAGTAATATAGACAGAAATGTAATACATACAAAATTAAACCAAGTCCAATATTTAGTATGAATGGCAATCTTTAAATCAGCAATCTTGAATTAATAATAAAATTAATACTAAAATAATACTAGAATAAACAGTTAATGAAAAGGCTGCCAATCCTCCAGGAAATCCATTATCCTCTACTATCTCATAATCTAATATCCAAAGTATGAAAAAATAAATTATCATACCATGTACTAGACCAGTAAATGCCCATAACATATAATTTGGAATTGTAAAAATACTTTTACTCTATCCCACATAATAAAGAGTTGGGAACTTATATTTTAGGTATTCTTCAAATTTCTTTTGAACAGATGCAACATCTTCTTTTTCTTCATATTATACATGTTATCTGTAATTGATGTCTTAATCAAAAGTACCTCTCATAATAAGTGGAAGTGCAGTAAATATCAAATTATAGAATGTAATATACCAATCATCAAAAAATGACTAACCTGAAAATGCACAAAAATATGAAAAGAAAAATTATGGAACAGTAAAGATCATATTTTTGTAAAAGAAATACAATACCATTTCTGCAATTCTAATATAATTCCAATGTCCATGAACTAATAACAGTCTCCACAAACATCTAAATTCCCCTAAAGCAAAATCACTACTTTAAACTGCTCTCATTCCTTCATTTCCATACAATCCAACTCCTATATGAGCTGCTTAAATCATATTAACATCATTTGCACCATCTCCTATTGCTAATGTTATTTTATTTAAACGATCTTTTATTAATCTTACAACATCAGCTTTTTATTTTGGAGTTACTCTACAACAAACTACACTTTCACAATCTTTTGCCATACTAACAAATGCTTATGCTAAATCTTCATTATCTATTACAAATTATAGAGATTATCCTTCCACCACAAAAGACTAAATTTTACATTTTGTTAAATACTTTCTTTCTATTCTCTTTTATACAATGATCATATGTTTCTTAAATATCTCCAATCTTCTTTTTACATTCCTCAACTGATGATTCTGATAATCTCATCACTGTAAAATCACCTTATATTAAACGACAACTTTTTGCAATATTTTCTGCTGTCTCTAATTTATCTCCAGTTAACATCCATACTTTTATATTTGCTCTTAATAAATCTGCTATTGTTTCTGGAACCAATTATTATAATTTATCTTCAACTGCTGATGCACCAATAAGGGTTAAATTTTGTTCTAAATTATTTGTCAATTTTTCTATGTTTCAATATTATAGTATACCTACTTCTTCTGCTCTTTTGTCATTGTCTGGCAAATTGTTATAAGCATTATCGAATTCTCTATATTCCTCATTAGACAATATTCTTATACCCATTAATAAACATCTTAAACCAACTTTACTGAAATCATCCAGATAATTTACTATTTGGTTAAGAAATATTTAATTTGGAGATAATCTACCCTTTATAATATTATCAGCTCCTTTGATAAATAATTTAATGACACCATTATCATCAATGATAACACTCATTCTTTTACGTGTTGAATCAAATTCAAAAGATTTTAATAATTTAACTTTTTTTTCCCTTCCTAAAATTTTAAAGTTTTATTCACTAGCAGATGCACCAGTAAATTAGAAACCCATTCTTGCTGCTGCATCAACGAGTGTGATTTCATCTGGAGATGGCCCTTGATAACTAGCATTTTAATTTTTGTCATATTGAATAATACATTCATGAGCAGATGATAATAAGAAGAAATATTCATCAATTAGATTTCTTTATTTTTGAATTTAGATTTATTATTTCCCATCTGATGATTAAATAATCAAATTAACTGGTTATTCTCCTTAAGAACCTTCTCCTTTGAGAATTGCACTTAATTCCATATCTTAGAAATTAAATACAGAATGTTGAAAGACCTCGCTTGTAGGATGTACCTTAGCGGATTGTGGTCTTTTTGGATCTAGATTTTATACTGGAATATTATTGGTTTATTATTGTTCTTAACCATATAGAGTGTTTCCTATTATACAATATTTGAATTCCATTTAATTACAGGTAAGAGTACCAGTTTTATCAGAAAAGATGTATTCTATTTATCCAAGTTCTTCATTAATAGTAGTAGTTTAGACTTTAGCATATTTATCTCTTGATTATACATACATTTCTTCATCTTATTCTATAAAATAAGCTTAAAAGACTTTAACAAATTCTAGACTAACTATCAATGATATAGGAATCATAGTGTTATATAATAAAATATAACTGAAAAAAGAATAAAAGCTAAGTAAATTAGGTGAAAAATCATTATAACCCAAATACCAACTTTCACTACCATTTTAATGAAGCCAAGCAGATGAAAATGAAGCAGTAATAATTGATAGTGAAATTTAAATTACTAATATTCCTAGAATTAAGATATTCATAATTCTTTCAATTTCACTTGATTTAATTCTAGAAGCATCAGCATTCCTCATAATTTTAGTATCCTATCCTGTATAAACAACTAAACCAATAACCCATTCTGTATTTCTAAGGAATGCTCCTCTTAATAATAATTATTTAGCTGTTAATTAAAACTTCCTTAATTTTTCATCATTCTCAATACTTAAAAATAAAGAAGCATCCAACTCATAAAGATTTTAAGTAGGAACCTAAGCTTCTACTCTTATTTTTTTATCTGTATAATTATTCTTATCACCATAAAGCTATTAACTCTCTAGAATTGCACTCTTTGGTTTTAAATTCTTTTCTCCATCTAAAGATGAAGTCTCGATATAACATGCACCACTCTGTATTGCACTTCCTAAAACTATTAAATCAGCAGGAAAACTTTCATCTTGTTTCACCAATACAAAATCTCCTACTGCTAATTCTGCCCATGTTGAACTAAGTAGTGTTAATTTATTATTCTTACACTTTCATCTATCGAGATTTCATTATTACACATTCTGTTGCATTCACTTCATTATCTGATACATGTCTTCCATAATCTTCCCAACCTTTTATATTACTTTTTATTCATACCTTCTCTCCCCATTGATAATCCTAATACGAATACTAACGGAGCTATTGCACTGAATGGATTCAATGTTGATAATACTGGAATACATTGAATTATAGCTATGCACAAGAAATAGATATTTGCATATCGTGTAAATTACAATAGTAAAGATTTTGGCAAGAAAGTTACTATATTATATCTAACAACTCGATTATTATTCTTACCTAGATGTCTTTATAAAATTTGAGGGATATTATTCTAATTCTTCCTATGTTCTCTCACCCTTAAAATTACCTTCAAATTATCGAGGTTAGTTAAAAAAATCGGGTCTCTTAGACCAAAACATTTTATATTATTTTTATAAAAATTATTATTTCGGAAATTTTCCAACATTCTAAATTTGTTATTTATATAAGCCTCAAAACTTTGGCAATGGAATTTCATTGTCTAATTTGACAATCACTCTTCCTAAATTTTTACCAAGAAAAACCTTTTATAATCCTATTGTCACATTCTCCAATCCATTTATAAACTCTTCTTTATGTCTATACATATAAATAAGTAAAATTACTAAATATGATTTCCTGTGACTAATTCATTCATTTCTTTAAATGATTCCATAATGGCATTTTTTTAACCAAAATACAATATTCCTTCAGCTTTAATTTATTTAGTAATGAAGTATGATAAATTTTTCAAACCACCTCTATTTTTCCAAGTATAATAGGTAGCAGTAGCTCCACATAAAACAATGAAGGCACCTTTATTCATAGCTGGTAAGACAGCATCTAAGACTTCTTCTCCAGAATTATCATACATAGCATCTATTCCTTCAGGTGCTGCTTACTTAATTAATTTAGTTAATTTGCTAATTAAGAATAGGTTAATTAATATACTCTGTATCAACAATTCCATTTGAATCTAAAGTATCATTGTAACAAACGCAAGCATCAGCTCCTAAAGAGAGTACAAAGTCTTTTTTGTCTCTACTGCTAACAATTCCAATAGTTCTATATCCCCAATATTTTCCTATTTATAGAGCAAATGACCCAGTTGATCCTGCAGCAGAAGAAACTAAAAGAGTCTTCTTAGATTCTTTAGTAGGTAGATTTTCTTTAGGAATTTAATGTAATCCCTTAAGAGCAGTGATACCTGTAACACCATAACTAAATTATCACAATTAAAATATACACAGATAAAAAGAGTGGCAAGTTTGGGTCATGTTTTGACTTAAGAGCAGGCAATTTAAATATTGAATTAGCAGATCTAACACAATAATCTGCGCAGTCTAAAGCACCTAATACTAAATCTCCTTTGTTAAATCTTTTGCTTTTAGATTCTGCAACAACTCCACATCCAAATGCAGGAATAACTTATCCTTAATGTACTGTATCAATATAAGTCTTAGCTCCTGAAAACCATACTCTCATTACAGGATCTATGCTAACATAGCAAACTTTAATCAGTAAGTCATTTTCCTTAAGATTTGTTGGAATTGGGAAGTCCTTCAAATCGAAGAAATCAATGTTCTTTGGAAAACTTTCATCTGGATATCTGCGAAGAGTTACTCCTCTCATTTTAATAATATAAAATTAAAGATTTAAAATATATTGTTTTGAATGTTGACTTGCATAAATGCATTAATGTGTAATTTGATGACTCATAAATCAATATATTATGAATTATAGAAAATATATTAATATTCTAGATATCATTAAATTTTAGGTAATTATCCAATTCAACTCTTCATTTCAATTATTTTATGTTCTTAATAAAATAAAAATCTTATTTTTTCATAGAGTCATTCCTTCATACAGAAATTATCATTTTCAATAAGTTTCAATTTTTTAAGAATCTTTTCTTTCATTAAAACCATTTTACTGATTGAAGCATCCCCAGATAACTTCTAAATGATAATTTAAAGTTTATTGAGTTTTCTGATTTGATTACCTTTAAAGTGTATTTATTTTTTACATCATTGATTATTGAATTTACATCATTTAAATCTTAAGTTTCTCTCTGAAAATTTTTCATCTTTTTTAACGTCTACTTTATTTTATAAGAGATCTTTAATTTGATTATAATTCTTCAATCTAATTCTGAATTTTTCATGTTTTTTGAGATTGGATTCTTATTTAAATTGTTTAGTTAAAATTCTAAATTCTGCTAAAAATCGCCTTAATTACTTTTCTTAATCTTAAACAAATTATTCCTATAATAAATTATTCAAAATCAATACTATGGACTAAATTATGAATGTTCAAAATGGCTTTTTTGCTAATTATTTTTTTAATTTCTTAAATCCATATTTATTTAACTATCTAAGTTTGTTCTAGTATATAACTACTTCATAATACTCTAATAATTATGATGCTCGAATAATTACTAAAGTATATATAGATTTTAAATAAAAATCCGAAATGTTATATCTTGTTTATTGCATCTAACTATTATTGTCATTAATTGAACTCAAAAATAACAAAATTTTGAATTATTTAAATATATTTAAATAAAAATGTGGTATTTGTTTCATATTTTGCATTTTTATTTTAAATTATTAAAGAATAATTAAAATTAAATGTAAAAATCTCAATTACTTGTTCTTGATGTTTTTCGAGGCATAGCAAATTTCCTTACAATAAAAGAATTACTTAGTCTTTAGACTATTTCAAAACAAATGAAGGATAACGTTTAATTAGCTTTGAAAGCTCTGTTAGCTAGTATTGGATTAAATAATCCAAATACAACCACACCATATAATATAATCTTTCGTACAATTTTTGGACGTGAGACTTATTTTTGGTCATTCGATGATAGTGTAAAACCTTTTAAAAGAAGACATATTCTAGGAATGCCAGTTAAATCAATGCAAATTGGATTAACTTTTACTGGTATACTCACAATTCAAAATCGTTTATATGTATGTTTATCCTAAGAGTATCAAGAAATCATCAATCATAAACCAAATTTTATTATAAAGTAATTAAATGATTATAATTATTTTATAGATTATAAGTTAAACAATTTTCAACAGCTAGCAAAGGCAAATACATTTACTTAAAAGAAAATGGTGATTTGTTTGTTGTATTTGAAAATCATGAAGAATATTTGATTGCTAAAAATGTAGATTTTTTTGAAACTTCATATTATTAACTCTCTGCCATATTTACTAATCCTTAAAAAATACCATAATTACCTTCTGAATAAAATAGAGCTATCCTTTATTAAATATAAGACCTTACTCCTTAGAATTGTGATTAAGCACAAAAATACAAATAAATAATTTTACCTGAAAATGAAGTAATTTATTTATCTTATTTTAGACTATAACTTAAATTGCTATGGGAAGCAATGCTATTTATTATCTGACTCAGACTTAAAAAGTTTATTCATCAGATACTAAGAATGAATAAGTCATTGATCCTATTATTAAAACAGTTCATTAAAATTACTTTGACAAAAAATCAATTATTTCTATATATAGTGGTCTCAATTATTTCTTAGCATTAGGCAGAGAGAAAATAAAATCAATAAAGGAATGGACAAATGAAGAACTCTAAATATGGCTTAATAAAATTGGATTTTCTGATTATGTTAATATAGTAAAATACAATGAATACACAGGTTAAGAATTTTCTAAATAAGCTGTCAATTAAGATTTCTAAAAAAACACTCTTGGACTTACTAATGCTGAATTATAAATTAAATTAAGTACTGAAATTACAAGAGCCATGGAATTCTAATATAAAGATTATTAACTCTTTGGTTGGGGAAAGAATGATTTTGGTCAATTAGCAGCACCTCTATCTAATAATCTTTAATATACAAAAGTTTCATTACCAAATTTAGAAGAGGATGATGAAATTATATAAATTGAATGTGGATGGAAAAATGTAGCTATTTTAACACATTCTGGCAAGCTGTATTTAACTGAAAATTAATAGAAATAATTAAAAAGAGATAAAGACATATAATAATAATAACAATTATAATAACAATAATAATTATAATAGGATGAAGGAGGAAAGAAAAGAAAGAAGAGTAGATAAGAATAAAAAGATTAAAAAGAACCTGAATAATTAATATAATAATAATAATAATCAAAACATTGGAATGATATTACCAAAATCTTTATTAAATCAAAGTAAGATATAAAATATATTATTTTAGTGATAAAAGAGAATATAAACATTATTATGTAAATTTAAGCAAAGATTATTTAGTTGTTGTTTGTTCTATTTTTGACAAGAAAATTATGCAAAACTATTTCCCAGAAATGTTAGAGTAAAAAGATATATAAAAGAAATTTAAACCAACTCTGTAAGTTATTGATAGAATACTATGGGATACTAAATTTAAAAAAGAGGATTTTGTTGTTGGATATGAAGATAGATTTTTAGGAATTATGGAAGTTCCTTTTACAGACTTTGTTAATAGTTAAGTTAAAAGTCATAGAGTTCAATATTTTAGACAAAATGGTAAAATTGTATGGGATAGACCTCGTAGGATCGATTTATTATGAGTTATTATTAAAAAAATATTAAATTTAATTATCAAATCTCATTTGAAAATTGATTTTAAATATATCTATATTTAAATAATTATTATAGATAAATAATTGTCAGCATTCATCAATGTTAAAAGATTCTTAATCAGCTAAAATTTTAGTTAATGGTTCAATAAATTAGGATGCCAATTTTTCAAGAGATGGGTGTCTAAATACATCTAATAATAATTTTGTAATAACTTAATTCTCTTTTTCAAGTGACTTAACCTTTAAATGTTATTTATTATATATAATACCTTCTTTTAAATTTTATCATATTCATCTTATAGAGGACCTATCTTTTCTAAAGCTTCTCTCTTCTTTTTTTAAGATTCCTTTGCTGAATTTCTATTTCTTCTAATACTATTTTATATATAAAATAATTACCATTGACATTTCTTACAATTACATTCTTCCTCACCATTATAGACACATTTATCTTTTAATTTCTCTATCATCTTTAAATAATAATTTGAACTATTTTTCACTGGCTATTAATCTTAAACTCCATTCGAAACTAAATGATCTAAATATTGACTCTCCAATTAAAATAACATAGGTAATATAAACAATATTTAACAATTCATTTATTTATGAATTTTTATTATGTTACTACTAAATTATAAAAGATCAAGATCATTTGATTCTTCAAAAAATACTTAAGTAGCTTTTTTTAAAAAATCTTATGTCGTTGCTTTAAAACTACCCATTATTAGTAAATACTAATTTTTTAGTGATATATTTTACTTCCTAAAATATTTAATCATTATGTAATTTTGCAGTCTATTTAACACTTTAAGCAACTAAATCCATTATTAAATTGCTTTTTGTAAAGAAATTATTCATTGATACAGTATACTAATTGAATTGTAATAAAAACATATCTTTTGTCATTTTCTATTATTATTAACTTAACATTTTGAATATAAATGCTGTCCATACATCATCTTATGTTTTCTTAATCATTTAATTTAATTGTGTAAATCCAATTTATTAACTAAATGTTTAACCATGAGTAATTGAGTAACAGTATAATGTATTAAAGAAGATGTCACAAAAATCATCTCGGAACAACAAAAAATTCGCAAGATATTTTGTACCTTAAAATTTTAGTTTAATAATTACTTTAATCATAATATACTAATTAGGAACGGAAAAGGAGGCCTATTGTCTAAAATAAAGAGCAACTCATTGTTATTTTAAGTGGATTAGATTTGTATTATGATATAATTTCTTAAACGAATTCCTTTTCTCCAGGACTATTTTCTAGCCCATAAATTATTAGATTCCCCATTATTTGTAGAAAGTATGGTAATTGTTAATCTAACAAATTATTTAAATTGATTGTTTGTTTCTAAAGAATAATTTTCTAAAAGAATGATGTCACTTAATTTTAAACTTCAATTAAAGTAGAAGACTTCCTAAATGATAAATTAAATTTAATACGATGTCTGCTATATTGGTTATTATTGCTATTGGCATTACTAAATAATGGAGAGAAGTTATTATTTCTGCAAATACTAAACAAATTATTTCAAATGTCATACCTAAATATTTTGTTTCTAACCGTTCTCCTCCTATTTTACTTATTATTGTTTTTCTTGTTACTATTGTTTCATTATACTTTATAAAAAGACTTGTTAAATATGATTCATTATTAATTTTAATAATGAAAGAATTAACAAGTCTATTTCTTTAACTTAAGAGCTAATACGTATTATCAACATTCAAAAAAGAGCATTTTATATTAAATTTTATTACTTTTTCAGATTTTGTATACTCAGCTACATAATTATTATATAAATATATAATAATCACAAATAAATCATATTTACAATTGTTACATAAAAAGATATCTAATTTCATATTTATTTATATTAATCGATATTTATTTATTCTATAAAAATATAGAAGTGACACTGTAAATATTATGGACTAACTTGTAATTGATCACCTATTTTATTAAATAATAGTAACAGATTAACTTGCAGTCTTATATGTATAATCATTTTTTTTTTTATTTAATTAAAATAGTTTCTTTGAGGTGTTTTTTGGATTTACAACAGTTCTATAGTTTAAAGAATATTTTTTATAGTTTATAATCAAAAAATCATCATGATTATCTTGAAATCATTTTGAAAAAATGAGTTGAATAGAAAAAATTTAAATCTGTGAATTAAGTTGTTTGTCAAATCATAATGGATATATTATTTTAGAAAATAATCATTACATCTTAGATAAACAGTAATTTTTAATATAAAATTAAATATTAAAAAGAAATTATTTATATTCTAATATAAAAAATCTAAAATTTATAAACATTTGAGTCGAAGGCTTCTTGCATATTTAGAGAGTTTAAATATTTTTAAATTGGGAAATTTAAACCATTAATAAATTGACTAGAAAAGTGTCCTAACAAAGAATGAAAGCTTTAGAATCAACAATTGCTTTAGTATTATTTGATTGATATTTATATCATATTAATCATTTGTGATAATCTAAAATTACCTAAAAATGAGACAATCTTAATCATTATTCTCCAAATTCATTTAGAATATGAGACTAAGAAATTAATTGATTTTCATAGCTTCAGTTTAGGCATTCATAATAATTTTTTATGTTATAGGATAAAATATGATTCACCTTTCTCTACTTAATGAATACTTTTCAGACACTTCAAACAATTTGTACAAGGAAAATTCAAATAGGATTCAATCAAATATAATAAAGTTATATAGAAGTTACTTTGATAAAGTTTTCTATTTAAGTAAGAATAAATATAATTAGATGGTAACACCTTAATCTCATTTCACAGATTATATCATTATACAAAAAAATAAGTAATCATTTAGAATAATTTCACAACAAATGAAGCCTTCTAAATGCCATTTGGTGGAATAAATCCAATCCCAGATCCGTTTCGTATAGTCAAAGGATATGGAAGCTTTGATATTTCATTTAGCTTTATGTGTTATTCAAACTTAAGTTCATATAACTAACCTAAAACAATAGAAGAATTAGTTGGAATTAAAATGTAGGAATAAGTGTAAGCCTATGGTTAACTTTTATATTAAGGAAGTGAGATTAACCAATATTTCTTTTACTCATATATTGTAAAAGAGAAAATAACCTCAATATATCCATGTTTAAATAGAAAAGAAGGAATTTATAGTTATAAACCAGAACAAAGGGATTGGTATATTGAGTTATAAAGAAACTATGATTAAACATAAAATTATGATACATATAATTATACATTTACAAATCCTTTTATGTGTAAATTAATTTATCATAATTTAGTATTTACTGAAAAACAAATTGGATTATCAATGGCAATGCCTATAGTAGATGAATAAGCTAAAATGATAGGTGGAGTAGGATCAATATTTTTAGGAAATGAATTTGTTTAAGAAGCTGGTTAAGTTAAATTTGGATTTCAAATTATATATCTAATTTCAAATGAAGGAATAATGATTATGCATCCTTATAAAGTTTCTAACGAATATCTACCTCTATTCATATATAATGAGACAATTACAGGATTTAATTAATCAGATTGGTAAGAGATTTAAAAAAAAAATGGATCTTCTTCTTGTCCAAATTTTGATTAATACAATTCCACTCTTTAATGTCGATTCAATTCTGTATATAAATAAGAGATGATTATTGGTATTTAAGAAATACCTCAATTTAAGATGATATTAATAATGTATAATAATTTATAAACTCTAGGTTATTAAGTAGTCAAGAATACTTTGAGTTTTATTATAAATTTTAATAGTAATTATAACTAAACTTACAAGAAACTCTATCTTCAAATATTACTACTTTATTTGGATTACTGGTAATAGTTTGCATTTGTATATACATACTTATTTAGATTCTCTTTTTTCCTATCTATGTAGTATAGGAATAAGCAAAAAATATGACTTCATGTATAAAGAAAAAATAAAAAACCATACCAATATTTATTTAAAAGTTTATGAGCAATTAAGTTCGATAATTGCTATAATCTTTTAAGTTTATCGAAAATAAATTAGAATTTATATCATTTCGAAAAACTGAATAATGCTCTTTTATTGAGAATATTTAATATCCTTAAAAAAGCATATCATTTTAACTTCATCTAAAATAATATCAACAATACCTTAAGATTCACAAAATTAATAAATTAAAATTATTATAAACACAAAAAGATCACATTTAATAATTATATATGTAAAATAGCCTTAATTTAAAACAAATTCTATAATTAATAAAGAAAGTTAATTTGTTTTAAGCTTTTTGAATTTTAATCCATTTGATTCATAATATATTGATTATATTTTAAATAATAGAATAGATATAAAAAATGACAATTTATGAGTTATTATCTAAATTATATTAAAATTTAACTGCTATGTATAAAAAACATTCTACAGAAAAATTAGTTAGAAAAAATGCATCCCCAACTCATGAAAAGGAGAATAATTCTTATGCTCGTAAATATAGTAGAAAACTTTTGAGTAGATAGAGTAATCATGATGATTAAGAAAATATTAAAGAGAACATTTTAACAACTTATAATTGTTAAACTAATACAATCAATTAAAATGAAAGTGCATCTAATCTCTAATAAATTATTTAGTAATAAAAACGATAAATTTAAAATCTAAAAATGGGGTGTCATCGTTGTTTAACTAAATAAAATACAGATCTTGAATTGAGAAATAAAATTTTAGTTTAAAATAACCAAATACTTTCTTTATTATCAAGGGAAACTTAATAATAAGATTACACAGAACTATTTAAAATAAATTAGATGTTATAATAATAGAATGAGGAATTAAGATAAAATAATGAAATTTTGATATAAAATTAATAAGAAATATTGTAAGAAAACTTATTTTTGAAAAATTTATTTGCTGAAACAAATAATTGCGCAAATGCAAAAGAAAATTCAAGCTGTAATTTATTTAATTATAGTTGATAGAATTATTTAGTCTTTCATAATCATAAGGAAGATTTTCGTCAATTATATAGTTAAACTCATAAGTTCAATCTCCATCACATACAAAATAACATCAAGATAAATTATTTAACTTATTAAAATGAGTTTTGATTTTATTATCCATATATAATATTTTAATTTAACATGTTTTTTAAGTAAAAAATTGTCTTATTTTAGCTTTGCTCGTTTCTTTCCTCAACAATAATAACTTGATTCATTGTTAGCTGACCCTGATTGTGAATTAGAATCAATTTTATAGGCAGATAATATTTTATAGGAAATTAAAGGAATGGGAGCCAATAAATTTGCTGATTAGTATATAATTGATTTATAAATTTAATAGTATTACTAAGCATCCTGAAATGTATTAGAGAATGATTAAATATATAATATCTGTTGATGATGAATTGATTGATAAAAAGACATAAATATAGTATAATGTAAAATAAATATCATAAGATACCCATTCTTATGCAGTGAAATTTTAGGCAGTTAAAATTAGAAGTTATTGGATTTTCTTTTTGAACGACCAGAGGAAGAAATAGAAGCAGATGCAGAAATGATTCGAGTTAGCTTAATCGATTAATTTATTGGTTTTCTTGATGGAGATGTTTTTAATATGACATCAGCAGGCTATTTTTCTAAAGCATTTCTTGCCATTATTAAAAAACGAGGATTCGATGTATCATTTATTCAAATTTTTAGGTATGGACTTAAATTATTAATAATAAATAAATTATAAATAATTTGTTAAAACATATTGATTGTAAACATATTGCAGAAATTATCGAAAAATTAATAACTCTTGATACAACTTAAGAATTTACAGAAGAAACATATATTAATGAAAGAAAGGCATTATTATAAAGAATTATTTTTTTGATGCAAAATAAATATTATTGCTCAGAAATTGTAGAAAATATTTGCGATATTTTAACAGAAATAACATCAAAAAATATGAGTTGTTTATATTATAATAATCCTGATATTGTTCCATTTATTGATTAAATTAAAAGACCAGAATTGTTATATGAAATAGCAATAAAAACATAAAAGCCATAGCCTTTGTAGGTTCTCATAAATTTGGTAGAGATGTAATCAAAAGAGTCTAAAAAGGAAGAGGATGACGAAGTTATTCACAATAATGAGAAAGATTATTCAATTTTTGAAAATATCATACCTAAATTACCTTAAAATTTATTAAGTTAACGACATAGTGCTGCTAACTTTAAAAATTCAAATAAAGAATAAGTATAACCATTTGGACTACATAAGATTATGCTACTAAAATTAATTTAGACTTTTGTTGAGTAAATTATAATAATTATTAATAGAACTAATGATTTATCTATTATTGAAGCATTGTTGAATGCAGGTTTGATTCAAGTATTAGAAACTATTTGTATTCAATAATAATCAAATAATCAAATACATATAATAACAGAAAAGATAATAAAATCTATTTTAGATCTTAATGATGAAAATTTAACAGAAAAAGTACTATTTGTATTTTAATTAAGGTCTTTGAATTAGGGCAGCTTATTGAATTTATAATAAATTACCATGTAGAGGAGAACGATAAAAAGGGATATATTGGTCTTTTGACTTCATTATCAAATTACTTGATTGAGAAATCTTATAACAAATTAATTCTTTAACATTATAAAGACAGTAAAATAAGAATTTAAACTAGATTAATAATGGTTTATTTTTGTAAAAAATAGATTAAGCAACATAAATTAAAAAGAGAAGCCTTATCTATGTAATGTTAATCCAAAAGCAAAACAAGAAATAGTTGATGATTAAGAATCTGACATAATGTAGATTTTACAAGTATAACATATTTGAGTAATAATATAGAAATATAATGAATAATAATATGGTTAGTAAAGTTCAGGAGATTAATAAGACTAAAATAAGGAAACATAATAAAATGAATAAGATCTGGACACAAATAATTAATAAGATGAAGAAGGATTAGAAGGTGATGAGAATATATTGATGAATATGAATGATGATTAGGTTTGGATAGAAGAAAACATTCAAAATAAAAAATAAAATTTAGATGATGAAGTTAAGGGAAATATAATTTAAGAATCTTAGTAAGTGACATAAGAAAATTTGAAAGAAGTTACTACAAAAGATGATAGTATTTCTTCTTTTTTTAATCATAACTTATTTTGGAAGATTGAATATGATGATCAGAATGCTGAAGATATATTAAATAAGTATGAATGATGATATTGTTATTAAAAATAGTATTAGAATTTAATTTAAACACAATTCTATTTTATAATTTATAATAAAAAAATTAAGAATTAAATGTCAGTTCCTGAAATGAAGGTTGGAAAGTATATATTAAATAAGAGATCAATGATAGGGAAGGGATCATATGGATTAGTTTATTCAGCATCATGTGATGGAGAAGAATTTTGTGCAAAGGTTATAGAATATTTAAGATTAGTAAATATTAACAAATGGTCCATAAAAGAAATTTACAGATAGAGAAATATAGATTTTAAAGATGTTAAGAGATTCACCTATTTAAAATCCAAATATTGTTCATATTATGGATGTTATTTAAAATTAGGGAGAAAATGAGATATATATAATAATGGAGTATTGTAGAGGAGGTGATTTAAAGAAGGAAATGGATTAGAAGAAAAAATAAAATAATTGGTACACACATTAAGAAAGTGTTAACATTATAGCTTAGATTATAAAAGGATATAAAAGTTTATATGATGTGTAATTTATACATAGAGATTTAAAACCAGCAAACATTTTAATATCAAGTGGATTTTATAAGGTAAAGTTTATTAATTGATATTTTAAAGTTAGCTGATTTTGGAATGGGTAGATTTATAGATCCTACTTAATCTGCAAATGTTGGAACTCCAGCATATGCAGCTCCTTAAATCTTCTTTGATCCAAATTATACTGATAAATGTGATATTTACTCTGTAAATCATGTGTTATTATGTTAGTTAGGTGTTATTTTTTATGAACTTATTTTTGGATAAAAACCTTTAAATGCCAAAACCTCCTAAGAACAAATTTCTTTATTAAGGAATACTAAGCAAAATAAAATTACTATTCCTAAACATGAAAATGTAATCAATGTTAAATAAAAATAGTTAGATCTTCGCGTCAGTGCTCTAATAGAATAAATGCTTTCTTATGAAGAAGAAAATAGAATCAGTTGGGATGATCTATTTCATCATCCCTTATTTAACAGATAATAAACATTATAGGCATCCCATTTCAGAAAATCTTCATTATTAGTCTCTGAATCATAAACTAAATACTAAAAAAGACCAAGCACTCCATATTATCATTTTTCAATAAAATTTTATAATTCTTTAGAAGAAGCTTAAAATCTTAATGGTTTTAAACATTTTGCTGAATTTATCATGTCAAAAGGAGATGTTGCTTATGATTTAGCTATTGCCTTAACAGAATAATAAACTATTCTGCCACATAATTAATTATAAGTTTTATTATTCTGTCTTATTAGCTATAAATATTTTGCTTGTTTAAATACTATGGGTATGTATACAAATTAAGTTAATTATTGCCATTTATCAATTATCAAACTTTTCACTCAATTTCATGATTTAATTAAGGATTATTCTACTTCTAATACTGAAGAGTGTTAATTAATGAGAGGAATTATTGTCTCATAATTAGGACATATTAATGGATATTATAGAGTAAAATCATAGTTTAACTCAAATTTAGGATTCATAATAATTAGTATCCAAAATTTCAGAACTCAAAAAATAACATCCTGAATTTTATTTAAAAGTCGTTGAGAAAGATACTGATTACAATAACTACTCCAGTTATTTAACTTGGTTTGCATTCTTCTATAATTTATGGTTTTCTGAGACAATCTTTCCTAATTAGAATCAAATTAATAAAGTTCTTTCTTTAGAAACTAATTTCCCTAATGAAAAATTTTGGGCCAAATCACCCTCTTAAATTATTAGAATAAGAACTAATAGTTTATGATGAAGCTATTATTTCAAATAATAAATATATTTATTCAAGACTTTATATATATATATGTAGTTTAAAATTTATAAAAGTGTGTTTAACTTTAATTAAATTTTTTCACATCATTTTCAATAATTTAAATAGAGTATTTATGGCCAAACTTAAAAATGTTAGAAAACACTAAAAACTATCTCAATAATAGTTTTTATAACATTAATAACCTGTATAATAATAAAACATTCAAAAAAATATAAAAAAAATTAAATAAGCACCATCTGAAAATAATAATTATATGTTAAAAAGAAAATACGATAACCTTATGGTATTAATTTAAGTAAAATTATCAAGATCAAGGATATTATCCAGAAGTTCCTAATTTATCATTTCCTAATCAATTACTAGATTGTTTGATTAAAGTTATTTGTTCATATGGGAATAGTGCTAAGTTAAATTAAATAATCAAAAACTTAAGTTTTTTTTATTTAAATGAAATACAAGAAGAAGTGCTTAATTTAGTTTTAGCTGAATCTGAGGAATCTGGAACAATTTATGAATTAGAGGAAAAATTCAAAGTTACAGATAGTTTCTTCTAAAAAGTATATTGTTAAAATTAATATTTTAGCCTTTACAAAAGAATGAATAACTTAAAACCTAATTGAAGCATGAAGATATTGATGATAATGATCAATTACATTCTCTTTCTAATAATATTGCTCAATGTATATATAAATAAATAAATTTTTAGAGGATCAAGAAATCGATGTCGAAATCAATTAACTTAGATAATAAAATTGAAAAAAAAATCATTATTAATTGTTTCAAAATATCTAAAAATTATTATCAAATGACATAGTTTTCATTGATTAATTTCATTTTTATTTCTTCAAATTTAATTCTTTTTGAAGCATCATAGATTATCATTGACTACAACAATTATTGAACTCTTTCAGGGGCCTATTTAAATATTATTTTAATCCTACCTCTCTTTTCATTTCAAATTCCGTTTCTTTAATTTATCTAAAAAATTATATTTGATCTAGTGCTGTTCTATATATATAAGGTAATTAATTAAAAAAACTAAAATGTAATACTAAACCTAGCTGATTAATTTAAAAAAATAAATACTGAAAAAATATCTTTAGTTCTAGATTATTCTTTCTCATAAAATATTTCTGGTGCAGAGAATGCTCTGTTTTCTCTATCTAATTATTTGTACAACTATGATATACCAAAATTTGTTAACTTATCAAAATAGAATAACATATACTTTATAGATATTATTTTTAACTAAAATATTTGCTGGTTTAAGTTCTCTTAAATCTAGATCAGCATCAATTAATGTTTAATATCCTTCTAAGAATTAACTCAAAAATTAATAAGTATCTTATTCTGATAGTGGTTTTTTCTCGACTTATGTTTTTAAACTAAAATCACATTTTTCCATTATTATGATTACATCTTTATCATGTTCAAAAAAATCATAATATTTTAAGAGATTTATGTTATTAATATTTTTCAGTTTTTCTATTTTTAATGATCTTGGTAATGTAGTATTATTTAATATTTTAGCACAAACAGGAATTGATTTATTAAGTTCATATACACAATCGTAAATGAGAGAATGTCTTCCTTTTCCTATAAGTTTATCTTTTTAAATTATATAGTTTCCTTTTTAAATTGGTGATTTATCTTTGATCATGAACAAATAAAAAAATTAAAAAATAAAATATTTTAAATTATATAATTTTAAATTAAAAAGTTTAGATTATTTTATAACAAAAAATCGATTTCATAAATTCTAAAATAAATATTCAATCGCCTCATTTTATGTAAAGCATACTTTTATTTGTGAAACAGCATTCTATAGAATATTACACTCTTACTGTGAGTAAAATACTTCACTTTCTCCAAATTAATTCTATAATGCAATCAGACTATATAAAGGATTTCATATTATTTTTACATATTTATTTCTGCAGGATTTTCAATAAAATCATTAATTTATTTTTACATGTAACAATTAACTATTTGATTGTAAAAAAATTAGTTTGCTATCTCTAAAAATATTTCATAGTCTAAAGATTCTTTTTATTAAGGATTATCAAAATAATCTTTAAATTGAATTAAATTTTAATAAAGAGATTAATATATGTGTTGATTAAAATTCTGAGATCCTAAAAATTTAATGGAATATTTAACAATCTCTATTGTATAGAAACTATTTTGAAGAAACATTTCAGCACAACTATTCAAATCTTAATCTTCTTTCTTAAGATTTTTAAAGAAACTTTCAGTTAAAAGTTAAAATTGATTTTGAGACATAAATCTTTTGATATTTTTACTCAGTATCTTGTAATTGTTATCATAAAAGGACTTAGAAGATAAAGCTACAATGTGTCTGTAACAAGCTAAAAAGGTTAAATATAATTTAAATATATCTAATGGTATTGATAAAATATTGAGTTAACTTGAAATAATAAAGATAGAATTACCAACACTTTTTGTATTAACTCATCAAATTTGTTACCAATTGTAATTTCTGGTCTAATAATTTAACATGCTATTAAACAATAATATAATTATTTTTGTCATTTTATTGCAAATTAGTAAGTTAATAAAATCCATGATTTTAATTATATTTATATTATGAAATTATATTATGCAAAGATTACCAATCCATTCTATCTTATTAATTGAATACTATAGTATTTTATAATACCATTTTAATGAGATTTAATTATATTTAATCACCATTAATGTTATCTACATTTATTTTAAATTGCTAATTTTAAAGTTAGTTAAAAAATTGTTATTATTAGTTTATTTAGAATGGAATTTGTAAAAAACAAAATTCAAAAAAAACAATACCAAATGAAAATATATCTGCTTGGGCTGAAAATTTTTATTGAGTGATTATTTCTGGAGAAGAGTATATTTTAGTACCCCATCTTGTTAAATCTTCTTCTTTTCTCAAATCCTATACTATTCGAGCAGATCCAAAATCACCAATCTATTTATTAATTTGAAATTACTTTGTAGTTTATATTGTTTTTATTGTCTTTAGCTAATAGTATATTTTATGGTTTAATATCTCTATGGAATACATTTTATTCAGCCATAAGACGAGCACCATCAATTACTTAGGAAGCAAAATCAATGATTTCTTCAGCCTTAAATTTTTGGTTTTGATTTTTCATTTATTTTATTTTTTTACTTAAATCCCCTAATTCACATTTTTCCATTACGATTATTAAATTTTCATCAATTTATCCAATTTAATAGCATTTCACAATATGAGGGTTTTGGAATATTTATAAGGATTGTAGAATCTCAGGTTCTCTATTAATAGCAGCAATAAATTTTGTATTTTTACTACCACAACAAGCATTTATTACCTATTTAACAATATTTATACTTTAGCCACTAACTTTAAATTTGGATTTAAAATATCGACGCATGGAAATATTTTACCATAAGTTCCTTCACTAACTACATTATAGCAATCTATTTAATATCTATTATTCAATATCATTTAAAATAATATATAATTATATTAATAATCTAGTGATAAATTTAAATAACTAAAGAAGTCAAAACTAAATTTATTTGAATTAGAGTTCTTGATTTAAGAAAAGACCAAAGTCAGTGTAATAAAATTTTTTTTTAAAATGGTCAGAAAACTCTTCAGAGATACTATATTATTGAAATTCTTCATCTACTTATAAATCTATATTTTAATCGACTCTTTAAATTTCCTCTTCAATAATATTGATTTATTATGAGATTTCATTTTATTTCTAAACCAAAGAAAAAGAGGGTGGCTTGTATGGTTTAAAAGAAGGTTAGAAATATTAATTAATTTTTTTCTATTCATGTTTTATTATAATTTTAGAATTTTTCTTTTTAACTTAATTGACCACAATATTATTATTAATTAATTATTTTTATTTAAGTGTTTCTTGTTGGCTTGAAAATAAATTACTTTATTCAAAATGTTATTAGTTATTAATCAAAATTTTATCATTGTTTTCTGTAGATTTTGAATTACCAACTTAAGAATAATTAGATACTTTTTCTCCTGATCTTTCAAAAGATTCTTCTGGATTTATTTTAGTAGATTATGATTTTTTAATAAATTTAAAAACTTAAACAGTTTTATCCTTTCCATATATTGGTAATTCAAGTTAATCATTATTATTTATTTATTTATTATCTATATTTTATTACTTTAAATTCTTTGATGATTAAGAATATGGTTTTAAATCTTATGGACATATTTTACCATCAGCTATATCTTATATCAATGTATCTGTGTAAACATTACCCAAAAAATCAAGATTTCCTTCTAAAAGTGATTTCATTTATGGATACAAGAGATCTGTATCAAATGTATGAATTGTTACCATTTTTCTTTAAACTGGACAAAATACTCTCTAGAATAGAAAGGTTAGATATGCTTTCTCAAATTATTCAATATAATCAAAAGGAACAGATCCTTTTTACTTTTTTGAAAGATTATCAATTGCTTATCTATAATTTTATGATGTTGCTACTATTTAATATGCTTTTTTTATTCCTATACCATTTATTGAACCCAAATAATCGCATCCTGATAAAATACAAAAAGTAAGAAATTTTTAATGATGCCAATTCTAAAAATTATATTCACTACAAGTTTAAATAGTATCATAATCGATTTCTTCTCCATAACCAAATTTATCTAATTTATAAAGTACTTTTTTAGCTCCATAAGCAATTAGATCCGAATCTTCAGTTATTATCACATCAACATATTCTGTTAAGGATAGATATGCTAATTATGCATCTGCTTCATATGGAGCTACTATACATTCAATATTTCTGATTCTCAAAGCTTCCAATAATTTAGATGCCATCTAAGGAGTAACATCTATTGATTCTACTAATTTTTAATATGCTCTCTCTTTCTCGCCTTGTTATTTTAATTCTAAATGTCTTTAAAGGTTATCATTCCTCTTTCTAAATTATATATATTTATTTTACTTTTCCCGCTCTTCTTCTGTACATTTTTTGCTTGGCAATTTTGCTCCATCAAATACCATAACTACAGTAATATTATATTTTTTAAGCTATTCTACTTTCTTTAAGCAATAATTTATATGCTCATTAGTTTCTCTGCCATCTGATAATTCTTAAGCACATAAAAATATTCCTTTATGTAACCTAAGTTATTATTCTAGAATTACCAACAATATGTATCAACAGCTATTTTCTTATTTGAATATTCAGAAATATGTCTAGGTTTTGTGACAGATTTGAGAACTTTTAATAAAGAATCTATTCCCATATTTTTAAAAATAATATTATTAACAAATATTTCATCTACAACATCCACAAATGTAATCTTTTTATTCATACTCTCCTTTTTTCAACCCCACACATGTAATATGATACCATTTCTAACACTTGTCACACTTAAATTATAGATTAGATAATACCTAAATATATATTTAATCTGGATTTTAGGGTTATTTACAAGTACAATGATTTTATAGTTTTGATAATCCATCAAATTTCTTTTTTGCTGGCAGCCATTCTAATCTAGTGAAAAATACTCCTTTTTCAGCCTAAGATGAACTTTCATATTCTTCTAATGTGACTATACGACAAGGAGACAATATAGCAGACGCCAATATATAATCAGTACAAGAAGTGCTGAAAACTTCATTATTGGATATCCATGGTTTGGCTTATGGTTTAAATTTAATTATTTCACTTTTTCGATAAAACCTTTCTTGAATTTTAGATATACCAATTGACTTCGCATAAACAAATTAATTTTTTTGATTTGTTTTCCTTTATTGTAACAATCCTTTATATTTTGCCAACGAAATCTTCAGAAGGATTCTTTGCATTTTTTATTAAAGCATATTATCCAAGTTTCAACGTATGGGAATTAACCTTCATTTCGTCATATTCATGAAGTGTTATAGATGGATCTTTTTCAGCCCAATTCACAATATCCTTGAATTGTTATTTTTTAAACATTTCTTTTATTTTTTAGGATGTTGAAATTATATCTTACTACTTTGGTTTAGATATCTTTTTTTTTAATTTATCAACAGAATCTTCAGAATCTCCAGGTTTATTAAAGAATTTATCCTAAATTTTACTTAATTTTGTACTTCCTTAAATTCTGCCATTTTTATTATCAAATAAATTATAAAAATTATAGATAATTTAAAAGGATACTCTTATTCTTAAAATTTAATCATTAGATTCCAATACTTATGTAATATAATTTTAACAATTTATTGTCCATTTCTAATATTTGTGAATACTTCTATTTATATAATTATTTTTATCTTCATTCTATCCTTAATAATTATTTATATGTAAAAGGATATTATAATAGAAAATAACAAAATCTAATCCTTTATAGATGTTATTGTAGATGATTTATCTGAAGCCTTGTAAATATCAAAGGCTGATTCAATCTTTATTCTACATAAGATTGAATGGGATGAGATGAAAATAGGAGATTTATTTTTAAAAAACAATAATGTTAATCAAATTTTAAACAATTTAGGCTTATCATAAAAAATTTAGAGTTCAGAAATGAATGAATCTATTTTATGTCCCATTTGTTTTAATAATAATACTAATGTTTAATTATCTTGTAATCACTAATGTTGCAGTATTTGTTTAAATTTATATGTTGAAGAATAATTAAGAAATACTATCTTTCCAAAATGCTTTTAAAATTAATGTGATAAAATTCTTCCAACTGATTTTTATTCAAATATGAATTAGTTTAAGTCTTGGATTATTAAAAGTGTTTAGAATAATAAAAAAAAATGTGGTAATAATAAATGTTAAGAACTTATTCCTAATTCACTCAAAACTTATACTATAAAATGTATTTGTGGCTTTATAAATTGTTCTATTTGTAAAAATGGTGATCATAGACCTTTATCATGTGCTTAAGCATCAAAATTACGTTTTAATTAAACATAATGTCCAAAATGCTAAATTACAATAGAAAAATTTGGAGGATGCAATAAAATGATTTGTAAAACTTAACTTGGATGTGGATATTAATTTTGTTGGAGCTGCTTGGAACCTTGGAAACAAAATCATCAATGCATTTAAAAACAAGAAAACAAAGTTAAATAATTAATTCCATATTTTTCAAGTTAATTCATTAGAAAAAAGTAAGCTAATACAATTCCTCTATTTTCAAAAAAAAAATTTCTTGATTAATTTTAGAACCCATAAGATCGAGAAATCATCGAAAATTGTTTCAATTTTATAAATGTAACTGATGATTTAAATACTAAAGAAGTAATCTTTTTTGCCAAAAGCAACTTAAATAGAATGTAATTTCATGAATCCCTTTAATACGAAAGATTGATGCATTACAAAAAAGAAATTGAAAATATTATTTAGAAAAAATAAAAATCTGAAAATACAATTAGTTAACTCTAAAAATATTGTTAAGTAGCTAAAGAAGTAATTATTTCAGTAATTTTAGTTTTTGGAAGATTATTTGGATTAATTCAACCAAGAATAGAGTATTCTTCAATGACTTATTTATTGTTTTATATCATAATAATTTTAAATAAATTTTTGTTATTTTGAAAAAATGTTTAGATATAAATGTTAGCTTGAACATGTGAAAACAATATATTAAACTTTAAATACTATAAAATTAGTAATAAAAATAATGATATATTATGAATTAATTTTTATAGTGAATAAAATTAGCACTAAATTTATTCACTAAAATAATTAGTTGAAGTTTTGAAGAGTAAAGTCAATAATAATTTTATAAAATGAGTACAAATATAAATAATGAAGTGAAAAATGTATCAACTCCAGAGAAATTGACAAAATTGTCTAACAATCCAAAAGCTCCTTAAAAATTATTAGGCGCATCAAATAGGGTGAATGAATCAGATATAAAAAATGTTAAAAGAAAACTGTTTACAGACAAAGAAAATGAAGTGAATTTTATTACAAATTAATTTAATTGAATAATATATTATATGCTAGTCTTATTACTTTTAATTAAATAGTGTTTATAATAGACAACTCATCATGGATTTTGGTTTCAATATTTACCTTTCTCTAATATAAAGGCATCAGGAAGTTTTATTTTAAATGATAAATCTACATATACTGGATAAAATATAATGGCTAACTACGATTTTATTATAGGAGGAGAGTCTAAAAAATTATTTATGTGGCTATCTTTCAACTCTGTGAATTTGAATATAACAGTGAGTGATGCTGGAACGATTACTAACTTAACTTAAGATCCAATAAATTTTGAAGGAATTTGGAATTATGCTTATTTTGAAAGTTTGGATGATGGATCAAAATTATATATAAAAGGTAGTAAATTGTGGAGTGTTTAATTAAATACAAAGAACGTAATCCCTGTATTAAATTAATATGGAAAAGTAATTAAAAAATAAATTTATTGTTTAGGTGAGTAACTTAAACTTTGATTATTTTCATGGGAAATACAGTAAAGTAGAAATTTTCATAAGATCAGCATTTAAAGATGATACTGAATTTGAATAATATTTTATGGAAAATTTTAAAAATCCTTAGTCTTATAACAAAACTGTTGTTGATATTTTTGATGGAATAAAATTACTTGGCGATACATTTTACTCAACCCAATTATCTATGTTAGGTCACAAATATTAAGTAAGATGTTGGGTTAAAGTAAGTTATGAAAATGTTATAGAGAGATAGAGATATTTATTGATGAGATTAACTTTGAATGAAAATTATAGAAATGATAGTTATTTAGGAGATAGAGCATTATTAATGAGTTATATATTGGATCCAAGTATTAATAATTATAATTTATTTAATGTGAGTGTATTGGCTTACGTATATCCATATCCTTAATTAGCTTATTAAACAAGAAGTTAAAATATACTTGTGATTTAAAATTCCACAAATAGAGATAGATTTTAAAGATGGCATTATATATACTTTTAATATTTAGTTGAAAAGACTTATTTAAAGATAATATATCCAGATGATTAAGAATTGAGTTAAACATTTAATGCATTATAATTTCATGATTAATATGTTTACTTATATGTTGGAGCAGATAGTTTTTTTTATAAAAGTTATTTAGGAGGAAAAATATAATTAGAGATAACCTATAATTATTAGGAAGAAGAGTCTTATGAAATGAAATGTCATTATTCATGTTTAACTTGTAATGGACCAACTTAAAGTAATTGTCTAACATGTCCTTAAGATTCTTATAGATAATATAAATTTGGATTTTGTGCTTGTGAATTTGGATTTGTAGATTTAGATTTAAATTAGAAGTGTAATAAAATGAATGAATTGTATCCTATAATGAATTAAAAATTTTTAAATAATACTTTTAAGTGCAAATATGGAGAATTCTTAATTGAATAATAGTGTTTATCTTGTCCAAGTTCTATTAATGATTATTAATTAAATTGTGCAGATTGTTTACTTAATTCAACAACTTGGTATTTAAATCCAGTATGTACTTTTGATTATAAAAGATATTCCTTAACATCAACTTATGTCAAATTTAATAGAAATGAAAGTTAGCATGAAATATTTTTTATTAATAGTTAATTATTCAATTTAGAACTATGTTAGGGTTGTCTAAAATATTGTAATGATATTACTAAACTTACTTGCATTTAATTTAATCATTTATATTTTAGTTGTAAGTAAGGATATTTTGTATCAAGTAATATCTGTGAAAAATGTATAGACAATTGTTTAAATTGTTATAATAATTAAACATGTACAAAATGTATTTAAAATTATGGATATGATGGTTCTAAATGTTAAAAATGCCCAATTAATTGTGCAACTTGTAATTCAACTATTAATTGTTTGACTTGTTAACCTAGTTTTGCTTTGTTTAATGGTACATGTTTTGGATGTGGAGCCAAATGTTCAATTTGTGAATTCTATTTTGATGAAATTAAATAATCTTTTATTAATAGATGTTTAAAATGTATTGATCCTCTTTTATTTGAAATTTCTTTTGATGCTCTTAAATGTTAAGCAAATACAATTAAAAATTGCCTATATAGCATCTCTTAATATTATTTTGTTGATTATCCTTAAACCACCATAGATCTATACTTTTAACCTATGACAATCAATTCATCTATTACTAACATTTGTGCTCGATGTATATCTGGATATACATTTTCTAATATATCATTTGTTTGTTACAAATCTTCTTAACCATGCTAAGAATCAGGATTTTATTATTATGTTCACTCTTGTTTAATTGGTGGAGAAGGAGCAACATCTATATTAGGATGTGAATTAAAACTATAAAACTGTTATGAATGTGTAAATTATCTAAATAAAGTAATTTGCTTAAATTGTTTTCCTGGTTATTATGCAGATCATATTGTTGGAACATGCATTTAATGTCCTAAATATTGTTTATCTTGTTCATAATAATTTAAAAAAAATAAGAGTAACTGGAAAAAAGATATTAGACCATTTTTTGAATTTTATGTTAACAAAAATGTTAATCATGATTATCTTACATATGTAGAATCTTCTAATCCAAATGATTTTGAAATAATCTGTACTGCTTGTTCCACTGGATATGAAGTATATAATGACATTTGTATTAATAAATGTCCATCAGATTGTTTAGAATGTTTAATTATTAATAATTCTAAAGTATGTTCTAAATGCTCTTATTCAAGTAATGGATTAATCCTTAGTACTAACAATAATATTTGTTATTAATGTCATAGTTTATGTAAATTTTGTGCTCCTGCTACAAATATCCCAATTACTTAGTTCACAAATTAATGTTTATTACCTGCTTTCGAAAATACTCTCTTTGATTCCAATATTTATTAATTCAGTAATTGTTTGGATAAATCAATGTGCTAAATGAGTATGTCAATCACATTAAATTTAATATGTATTAAGGATCAATAAACTTCAAATATATTTGATATTCCCTATAATTAAGAATCTGATTTATCTTTTATTTTTTAATTGTTGTATTCAAATGGATTGTTCAATTATATGAATGAATAAAATGTATAAAATTTGGATATCTATCTCAAAACATAAACTTGCACTTTTCCTAAAAATCTAGTCATCTCTTAAGAATTTTCAGCTAATGTTTACACTTTGAAAAATGTTTCACTTTTTATATTAGGTTCTTCATCTAATACAACTATTTACTTTTCAGGAAACTTCTACATTAAAGAATTTCATTCTATTTGGATTAAAAATTTGAATATTAATTTTACAGATCCTTCTATTAAATTTAATTTTAATTTAGAATTAATTACTATTGGTTTTGAAAATATTAATTTATATGGAAATGGTGCTATTTATTTTGAATATATTCATCTCCATTCATTCTCTATGATCAATCTGAATCTTTATAACTTTTAATTTTACAATATAGAATCAATACTTAAAGTTGAATCAATTAAATCAATTTTTATCTAAAATGTTAAATTAACTAATTTACTTATTAAAAATTCTACTTTATTTAAATTTTAAAATGTTGATGAATTAACTCTTAATTCTATAACACTTGAATCTAACTACTTATATAATTCAACATTATTTGAAATCAATCAAATAGCTAAAATTGAAAAATTTATAATAAATCAGAACACTTTTGAAATTTCATTTGCTTTTCAAGGTTTAAATTTTCAATTCGACAATCTAGAAATTTTAATGAATTTATTAATGAACTCATCTTCTGTAAGCTAAAGTCAAGAATTATAATTTAGAAATTCAATTTTTGAAGGAAACTTCATCACTTAAAATAGTTAATTGATACGTGTTAATCAAAAAACATAAATATCTGATATTATTTTGGATCATATTTAATTTTCTCTTAATTCCATAAATTATTCTTCAAATTTTCTTTATGTTGAATCAAAGACTATACTGTAAATTTCAAACATGAAAATGAAAATGCTCCCAATTTAAGTTGATGTCAATTTTGCCTTTCAAATATTATCAAATTCTTTTATTTTATATGATAGTACAATTAAAATCAATAATCAAATTAGTGCTATTTTTGAAGCAAGTAATTTAGAACTTTTTAGTCTCAAAAATATTTCAATTAGTTAATAATAATATTTACCTGGATTATCATAAAGTTTGGATTGTATTTCTTTATTAGATTCCTAATATCCAATAATTAATTTATTAAATATTAAAAAGGTAGAATTTTAAATGGTAAACTTTACTAATATTTTGACTTATAATCAACCTGTAATAAAGATAAGTAGTACTAAATTTAATTTTAAAGGCCTAATTAATATAAATGGTTCCATATTTTAAGATTCATTGATCATAAAATCAACTAATAATATTACAGTAGCATTTATAGTAATAGAATCTAAAAATTCAATTTCTATCAATTTTTCAAATTCATCATTTTAAAATACAATCTATAAAGAATATATTGGATTAAACACTTATGGAACATCTGCTAATAATTTCTATTTTTTAGTTCCTTAGGGCTTTGTTTACTTTTATAATAATATATTTAAATAAAACTTAATAATTGATTCCTTGAATTCAAATATGTATGTTTAATGTTAAAAATTTATAATATTGGATTGTTAATTTATGGAAATCAATATAATAAATAAATTATTTAATTAAGTGCTATCATTTAAATATCAAAATTTATAATACAAAGAATAATTGGAACACGATTTTAAAGTTAAGAGCTATGGTGGAATAGCTCAAATTTATGTTGAGGAAATTTAAATTCATAACAGTTATTTTGACACATATGTTGGCTATAAAGGAGGATGTATGTATGTAATAACATTAAACAACGGGATTTTTAAAATCTTGAACTCTTAGTTTAAAAATGGATAAGCAATTATTGGATAAGTTGAAAGTTAAGGTGGAACCTTCATTGTAGATAGCAAAGGTTCTAAATTGAATTTTTAAATCATTAATTGTACAATTCAAAATAGTTGGAGTTTTGATAAGGGAGGATTTGCAATGATAGTTTTATCAGATCTATCCTCAATCATTTTTTAAAATGTTTCAATTTCTGATGCTCATTCTCTATTATCTTCAGTTTTATCTATTGAGTTAAATGATTTTCTATAATAGTAATATACTTTACAAGTTGTGGATTGTTTAATTCAAAATACTATAAAAGGAACTGATGATTATCTTAAGTTAATTTAAATGAAAGATCACATCTATATATTCACATTTGAAGATTATGATTCAGTACTTTTTGAAACAAAAAAAGGGAAAATAATATTTAAAAATTTAGTGCTTCAAAATATTATTGGATATGGTTTCATGACAAATAAGTAATCTTATTCTATCACATTGGATGGAGTAGATTTAATAAATTTTTATATTTAGAAGAGACCTTTAATTTTTTTTGATCGTTCTCTTGGTCCAATAATTCTTACAAATAGTCACTTTCATAATGTATATCAAAATTATACTAAGGTTTTATGTGTTTTTTCTCTATTTTAATTAGAAGAAGCAAAAAAATAATGTACAAATTAATCATACACATTATCTTCTGAACTAAATACTTATACTAAATAATGTGATTAAAATATCATTATTTCTTAAGATTAATAGAATTACAATATATTCTAAATAATTTAAATAGAATCTGAAGTATTAATTAGTAATGTCATTTTTTCTAATATTTAATGTGCTCAATGCAACATCTTTTATATTGAAACAAATAATCGAGTTGTAATTTAGCAAACTAAATTTTTGAAGAATATTGGTAATAGTTCAATTTTAAATATTCAAAAAACTTAATAAAATAGATTACTTTTTACATTTTAAGATGATTTAATAACTAATATTGGTCAAATATTAATAAAAGATACTTTATTTATTTAAAATTAAGCTATTAATGGAGGTGGCATATATGTCTTTGGTTTTTCTATTTCATTATATTCTGTATTATTCTAAAATAATACAGCAATAATTGGAGGAGCAATGTATTTAGATAAAGGATCATTAGAAATGACAGATTCAAGAATTATAGGTAATGTTGCAGTATCTGGTGCTGGAATTTACTCAAAAAATGCATTATCATTTTAAGAAAATAGAGGAAATGTAATTTTAGATAATTTAGAAAGTAATACGATAGGATATATGTAATCTTACCCATAAAAATTGGGTTTATCATTAGATACATTCGGAGTATTTGAAAATTAATTAAGATTCAAAAATGATACTTGTGTTATTGAAGAAGTAATAAATGAAATAATGTTACCAAATAATGTAGAAATATAAAATTATAAATATTTATCAGAAAACTTTACTGAACATGGAATAGGAAATTAATTAAATTATGTTTCTAATTTTCAAGTTTATGATAATTTAAATTACAAATTTCGATTAATCCCATTGAATGCATTTAATGAAAGATAATATAATTTATCAAATTCTTAATGTTGTATTCGAAGCAGATTGAAATCAAATAATAATCAGAATTTTTCAATAGATTATTTATCAATAGATAGAGTATATTTTAATATGACAACTTAAGATTATAATTTAGATAATCTAAGAATATTAATTAAGGAAGATTTATAAATAGAAATAAAATGTGATTCAATAAAGATTCCTATATATGATAGTTAAAAGTAGCATATATTAGACTTTCATGATAATTATTCTATAATAATTAATGTAACATCATTTCCATGTTAAAGAGGTGAAATATTATCTAAATAAATTTGTATTTAATGTGTATCTTAAACATATTCATTAAAATAGAATAGTTTAAAATGTTCAATAGGGGATTAAGAAATGATAGAAAGTGTAATTCCATCAAATATAGAAATAAAACCAGCATATTGGAGACCATATTTTGATAATGATGAAATATTTCCATGTATCAAAAGTCCTGAAAAATGTTTAGGTGGTTGGACTGCAGGACCTGATTCATGTATTTAAGGAAGTTTTGGAGCACTTTGTGAAACTTGTGATATTTATAATATAAGAGGATAAGGATCATTTTTTAAATCAAATATGAATTGCTTTTAATGTTAAGATTCTAATCTTGCTTATTTATCTCTATTAATAGTTGGTTTATGGACATTAATTTCAATGGTAATATCTGTAAATAGTTCCTTAGAAAATTTAAAATTAGAATTACTAAGAACTAAATTAAAAAGAGGAGGTTTTAAAACTTATTCAGAATAATAAGAATCAAGTTCATTGTATAAGATGATGTTTCATTATTTGTAGATTATATCTACTTTAACTACTTTTTAATTATAATTTCCAAATTTAGTCAGCATAGCTATAGGTAGTGTAGGTTCTCCAACAAAATCTCTCGAAAATTCAGTTGATTGTTTTTTGATGACAATAAATATGGATATTTTACATTCACGAATCCTTTGGATTATTTTAGCACCTCTCCTTTATTTATGCTTCGTATTTTTTATTTATTTCTTTATTATTTTGGCAAGAAGATAAAACTATAAAAAAAGTGTATCATCAATAATATTATTTTAAACTTTTCTAACTATGTAACCAAGTATGATAGGAGTATTGATATCAATATTAGGATTTCGTCAAATTTCAGGATATTATTGGGTAATTGGTGATGTTTCATATAGATATGATAAAAATTTCCACTTTTCATCTATTTTAGCATTCCCAATATTATTTTCCCTTTTTATTATTTTTCCATTCCTCATGTTCATCAAATTATTTTAAAATAAACACTCTTTAAATAAGATTAAATCTACATGGGGTTATTTATTTTCTGAATTTAATGAAAATGCATATTTTTGGGAGTTGGTTAGACTGGGAATGAAAAATTTGGTTATTATAATAATAACATTATTTGATTAGTATATTGTACTAAAAGCTACTATGGTATTTATATTAATTTAAGCCTATTAATCTTTAACTAAATCATATTAACCATTTAAAACTAAGAATTTAAATTAAATGGAAGATTTTGGATCTAAAGTACTATCAATAAGTGTTGTTCTTGGAGCATCTTCTTATTAGATGTTATAAACAATAATGAGAAACTACATCTATATATTTTATGTAATTATTTTAGAAGTTAATTGCACATTCTTATACTATATTTTTAGTAAGATTATTTAAGAATATACTTACAAAAATAAAATTTTAATAAATAAAATAAAAAACTATTTAAAAATTAAATTTCCCATTTTGATAAGATTGCCTATTTGTAAAAATATTTTCTATTCTAAATAAATGAATGCATCTTCAATTAAGTTTAGAAAAGTTGCAAGGGCTCTTAAAGAATCAATTCAATCATAAAGAAAAAAGAATTTTATGGATTTATAATAAGATGAATCTGTATTACAATTATAAAGTCCAGATCAACTATTTAAATCAAAAGATTAAAAACATGGTATTAATTGTTCTGGATCAATAATGTTACTAACTGATTAAAGAGAATCAAAATTATAAAGTAGAATGATAACTGATAGATATGGATTATAAAAAAGTAGCGGAGGTCATTTTTAATGATTAATTTATTATATATATCATATACACTATTTTTTTTGATCAAAATTACAAAGATCCAACACGATTATAAGACTTCTTTTAAGGATCATCTGATATTAAATTGAAAGTTTCTCTCAAAGTCTTAATAAATACAGGTTTTACAACTACATGTAGCATACCTGCTTAAATACATAAATCTATAGATTCAGCATCTCCATGAGCAGTACAACCTATTATAGGAAAATAAGCCAAATTAAGTTTCATCATTTCTTCAACTAAAAATTTTGTTGCTGCAATACCACCCATAATTGGCATATCAAGATCCATAAATACAACTTAAATTTCATTCTATTTTGCAAAAGCTATATTTATTGCTTATTAACCATCAAAAGCCTTTAAAAAATTTTTAAATCCCATAGATTTTAACATCAAAATTAATGTATCATGATTAAATGGTTCATCATCAACAATTAGTATTGATTTTGTAACATGATCATTTAGTGTTAAAAATTATTATTATGCTTGATCCTATCTTTTTTCCTACATCCAATTCCTTTTTGATGGCATACCCATTTTCACTACTAATGGTGTATTAGCAAATGGTTCATCTATTGAATCTTCTAAAATTGGAACACTTTATTCTTATCCAGAAAATATAGATTTTTAAGATATATAATGATGAGTATGTAATTACTTAAAACTTCTTTATTTTAATATATATCCAATTCTATATTATTCCTAAGAATTTTCTGCTGATCTATCCCTATTTATATTTATCTTAAACTTATATACAATACCAATATTCTATGTTAAACATAATTCCAAATACTAAAGGTTGAATTAATTTAAAGATTTTACTAATTTACTAGTTAACGATAAAGTTGTTAACATTTCTTATTAATGATGAGGTTTCTTTTTAGAAAGTTTAAAGATATTATTGCAAACTATCCATTAATTTATTTCATCTATTTCTAATTAAGATAATTCCAATCCACTATCTGATATTGTAAATTAAGCTTCTTCATTATCTTTATCGATTGTTATATTTAGAGATATTATCCCATTTTAAGTCGTATTTCTATAAGATAAATTTAGTAAGTTAAAAAGTATTCTTTCAAGTTTTAGAACATCTGAGTAAATGCAGATACTAAATTAATTTGTACATAATTTACTTATCTAATTTAATATACCTCATTTCATTGATAGTGAATAGTAAATGAATATTTTTCATGTTACATTGTTATTGGATTAGCTCTTATAATGACTGCAATAGGGTTTTCAAATTAATTTTGCATATTTACAAGTTGTAATTATCTTAATCAGAATTTAAATACTCGAGCAAGTCTTGAATTTAAAATAGTTATAATTTCGAATTTATATAAGCAGGTTTTATATAATTATTTTGAATTTAAGAATCTACATCTTAATCATAATATGCTTATGTTAAATGTCCTAAAACTGCATTTAAAGGTGTTTTTAGTTTATGAGTAAAAATATTAGATATATCTTTTTTTAATTGTAAAAATTTTTCACATGATTTTTTTTAAATGGTCGGATCTATTCTCATAAAAAATAACACCATTGATTCATTATTTAATTTTGATTGAGTAATACGATATTTAGTTTTAATTTTAGTTTGCTAATCTATAAGTGTGGCAAAATACCAATTAATTCCTAAACAATCAATATTATCTGATGTATCTAAATAAGATATAAACTCATCAGTATTATGAAATATTTTTGTTCTATTGAAAGATTTTTAATTTGAAGGAGAATTGCTAAATTCTTAATCCATATAAACTTTAAATTGACATATATATTAATTATTTTCTATACATTCAAACTTTTAAGTTTCATCAGTTTAAGGATAAGTAAATGCTAATTATTTATTTTTACCAAACATTTTAATAAAGCAATTTTTTTTAATTTCATTCAGCAACATCTCTTACATCAGATTTAAATTTTCATCTTGTTTTTGGTTTTAATATATGTAATAAATCAAATAGCAAAAACATTAGAATATTTCACTTCCCATGCTTAATTTTTAGAAACCATTATATTGTAAACTATACACAAGTACAAATATTAGAAGAGTTAAAAAGTAACATATTATTTGCATAGGCCGATTTTTCTTGAAATTTGCATTAAGTAATTAAAATGAAGACCAAAGTTAAGTAGAACCGAAAAAATAGGCTCTATAAATAATGAAAGAAAACTAAATTGCTTAGGAAATGTAAAAGTTTTTGTTATATTTAAAAATATTTAGATAGATGACTATAAATATTGAGTAAATAAAATACGTAATGTAAAAAAGAAAAGTATTGAGCTGATTATGATCAAAATCAAATTTTCATTGAAGCATCCTATAAAAATGTCATGTCCTATTTATGACATCTATAACACAAATATTGAAATAAATTAAAAATACATGAAACTAAAAATTATTAAAGGATAATTAAAAACAGTTTGTGTTCCTATTGAATTAGATTTATTTATTAAAATATAATATCTCTATCCTTGATAAATATATTAAATTCATAAGAAAGAATGTAAAAGAATTAAAATTTCAATATTTTTCTAATGAGTTTGACATTTAAACACTTCTATGTTCTTAATGTTCTTCTCTAATCTATCTATAAGCTTCTTGTAGGCTCTTTATAAATACAGGTTTAGTAACTACATGTGACATACCAACTTTTAAACATTTAATTTGTGTCTCAAAATCATCATGGGCAGTGCAACCAATAATAGGAATATAATCTATATTACCATCAGTCATCATTCTTATTAAAATTGATGTAGCCTAATTAATAATTAATTATTTACTTATAATCCTCCCATAATTGGCATATCTAAATCCATAAATATTGTTTTAATACAGGAATGATTCCTCTATACCATATCAATACATTCTTATCCATTGAAAGAATAAAAGAATTACTTATGACCTAATTTTTATAACATTAAGGTTAAGGTATTATGATTAAATGGTTCATCATCAACTATTAAAATGTAACGATTATCTTGATGATGATTTATTCCATTTTAATTTATTTAATCAATGATATGCGATAATTATAAATCTCGGATTCCAGATAAAGTAGGCCGCTTTATTTAATTCATTTACTATTTTTACTCATGATTTTATTAAGTTTTAGATAGTCGAGGCTTAATTGGTTTAGGTTCTTCTTCTATAGGTTCAATACATTCATCTTATTACTTCTTACAAAAAATAGATCTTTAAGAAGAAGAATTAGATGAACGATTTATTTAATTTTATAATTTAATTGACGATTATCTAGACTATTTAATATAATTCGAGTATTTAATCTATTCCAATGACCCTTCTTTTTATGTTGAATTTATAATAATAAAAAATTCAAAACTACAACCTCCTATTTATTTATGATTTTTAACTTACAAAGAACAATTTGAATCACTCAGAATATATATTAATCTATTGGTTATTTGTAACGTTAATCCAAATTTTGATTTACTTTTTGAACTTATATATTTATTAATTATATTGTATTTATTTTATAATTATGCTTGAGTATTTATTAAGTTTATTTAATCTTCTGGTAAACCTTCTCCATTATCATTTATTTTTACATGTAATTTATTACTTTAAGTATCATATAATAAATCAATTGTTAATTCTCCATTTAAAGGAGCAAATCTATATGAATTATTAATTAAATTAAATAAAACCCTTTCAAATTTTTAACAATCAGAATAAAGATAAAATTAACTAAAATTTATAATTTTTATAATTATACCTTTCATATAATTTCCAATCAGATCCATTTATCATAAATTTAATAGCAATATTTTTTACTTTACATTAATACTCAATAAATTCATAAATTTGACTTAAAGATTATTAAAGATTGAATTTGGTTACTTATAATCCAATTTAATCCTGTTCAGTATTCAAATAATCTAGTAAATCTTAAACTTAATATAATTATATTTTAGAATGAATGTAAGATGGATTTATATAAGATTACAAGATCTTTTTTTATAAATTTCTATCATTTTTAGCATTTGATAAATAGCCTAATGTTGCATTAAGAGATGTTTTTAATTTATGAGTAAAATTATTAGCCAATCTTGCTTTGAATTTAGCCATCGAATTATATTGTTTTCTAACAATAGCAGAGTCAATTTTAATAAATGCAACAATATAGTATTTTTAAATATCTGTATTAATAATCACTTTGAACTTTTATTTTTTACCTGAATCCAAATCAATTTCAGAAGCAATTATTAATTTCTCTTCACTTAAAATTTATTAATTCATAACAAAAGTATTAATAAATTCCTTTATGTCTTTGTAACTTTAATATTTATTAGGACTATTGACTATTGAGTCTTCAGATCCTTCTATTTGTATATCATAATTTAAAAAACTTTTAATTTTTAGTTCTCTATTCACTGAATTAGGAATTAATTCAAAATTTTCTGATTTATTCCTTGTTGTAAAAATGATTTATGTAGAAGATTATTAATCATTTCTTAATGAAACATTTGGTGTTAAATCTTCTAAATTTTTATTAAAGACTTTTATATAGCTATTTTTTAACAATTACTTAATGATGACTGATTCTGCAATAGATGCTATGTCATTTTATCTGACAAAACAAAGGATTTGATAAGTAATTATAATAGAAGCAGATGAAATTGAAAATCCAAATGTTCTGGGCACAATAAAATCATATTGAATTACTTCTAAAACAACTTAGTAAATCATTATTAAAAAAGAAGCTATAAAGTAGTAATTGACTCTTTGGAATATATTCATTATATAATAAGCTTGCCAAATAGATGAAGTTCCAAATAAAGTTATAGATATTGTGTTATAAATAAATGAAAGGATTATTTCAGAGTGAGATATTCGAAATTTGATCTTAAGTAATTGTTAGACTTGAATATATATGAAATTATTTACTTATAATAATAGATAAAACAATCAAATAAATGATTGTCGGAATTTTAGATTGATTGAGTATGCAATAAATTAAATCCTTTGAACTCAATCCTATAAGCAAATAGTTTGCAAAGTTTATAAACATCTTTAGATAAAATTAGATAAATTATTAATTGGGAATATTGAATTATTCCTTCTTTTAAAATCATAATAACAATAAAAGTTGATGCAATTAAATAAATTAACTCTTCAAATTTTTTTATACATTTCTTAACTAAATTGTATTATATCACTAAATTAGATATAATTCTTCATTAAAAAATGTGGATTATTAAACATAATCATTATAAGAGTATATCTAAATTTTATTATTTTTAATATTTAGAAGATCTCTGACCCTAATAGATAAATCTATTAGATTTTTATTGTAACGATCTTTAAAAATAGTAATGCAAAACGATTAAAATTTTGTTAATTTAGTATAATGAATTGAATATAACTAAATAAGAAAATAATAAAAATATTCAAAAAGTCTGTTAAATTAGATTAAATTTTTAGTAATTGATGCAATCAAATGCTTAAAATTTAATTGATAAATTTTTATATTAATTTTAATTAATTTTTCAAAGACAGTAAAATATATACTGATCAACTTGAATAAATTCTTGACAATATTTGCTGAGAGTTTCAATCAGAAATCTAAATATGATTTATAAATATTAAAGTGAAAGAATTCTTGTTAAATATTAATTCAGTTTAGATAATATTAGTTTAAAATTTCTATAATAAAAAAGAATTTAAGCAGAATGAGTACAAATTTGCACTAATAAAATCATCAAAATATTTAGACATATATTTATTTCAATCATTTCTCATTCTTAGATATTCTTTAAATTCTCTTTAATTTGCACTAAATAATCCAATTACTTAAGAAACTAATTATCTCTTTCTATCATTTTATTCTCTACTTTATTTATATTCATAAGCAGCTTATGAACATTCTTTTCTTCTATCTTCTTTAGTTTATTTCTTGCTATCAATTCTTGCATTATAATCTGATAAATCATTTTATCCCATAGAAATTTAATTATCTAATTATTCTAATCCTGCATCAATCATAGATTTATCACTTTAAACTTACTATAAATCTTTTTATAAAGATGAAATCTCTTTTTCAAATATTTCTTTTCTTTTATCTTCCTATTTTCTTATTAAAGACATATTATCTGAAACATTGATTAATAATTCATCACATAAAGATTTTAACTTATCTGCTCCTTCATTTTTAATCTTAGCTGCTACTTAAACAAATAATCCAAAAACTTCTTAATATCTTGTGTTCTATCTAAAATTCCTACTTTCATCAACAGCATTTTCTAAATCATCCATTAATGCTTCATGATTATCAATTTAGATTAAATTAATTCCATTCAATATAAATTTCTTTTTTACTTCTGAAATCACAGAAATTACATAAGAATTTTCATTCATTTCTTATTCATATCTATCTTATTCTTAATTTCTTATTGTTTATTTCTGAGATATCAATTCTTGAATTTATTTTAACCATTAATCTTTAGCATTAGCAATTTATTTCTTTCTTTATTAAGCATTCTTTAATTCATCTAGTTTTCCTTATTTCTCAACAATAGCTAATTATGTCTAATTAATTTCACTATCTTAGTTTGTTAAATCCTAATTATATGCTCAGTTAATACTTCATCACATTTCTTTTAAAACTATTGATTTGTAATGTCATCATCCTTTTATTCATTATCAATTTAACCTTCTAAATCACGCATTAAATCAACTACTTTTTCTAATGATTGTCCTCCTTATACATTGATTTCCAATGTATCAATTAAAGTTTTACCAAAATCATCCTTATCAATCTAATTTATCTTCTATGAAAATAATTACTTCCATATATTCAAAATAACGACCATCTTCTACTGCTATACATACTAATAATAGACACATCCATAAAACTTATGTTTTCATCTAATTAAAAAACGATAATTATAAAAATAAAACTTTGATAAACCATAAAACCAATAATTATCTAAATCATAATTCAATATAGATAGTTTCATTTCATGTTGATGCTAATCCTAACTTATAGTGACTAATTCCTTTATAAAATTCTAATTGATTAATAAAAAGAAATTATCAATTATCAAACTAGATCAACAAGTTAATGATATTATAAATTAAATAAATAAATTAGAAATGAAATATGTAGATTAAATTGAGGTCATAAAATATATAAAAATTATAAAAAGAGGGAACATAAAATACAAAAAGCTCTCACAAGTATTTAAAATTTGTATAAAAAAATAAGAATAATTTAGTGAATATAATTAATTTTCTAAATGATGTTGTTATGTATTTTGCAAACCATCATTCTTTTAATTTTAGTAACCGTGCTCTGTAGTTAAAAAAGTCTTCAGTTTTAACATACAGTTAGTACTGTATTAGTTTCAAGAATTTTTTTTACATTTTGTTGAGATTCTCTCTCTTTGTTTCAAAAATAATTGGATAAATGTTTTAAACAATATGATTATCATCATACATCTTAAGACAAAGAATTATAGCTGTCATGAGTAAACTTTCAAAATATAAATGTTACTAGTTACTTGTAAATATTCCTTCGGTTAAGGTAAAACTTGTTCTTTGTTGTTAATCGATCAACCAAAAACAATCCCATTATAAAAATCTCATCATTTACTCCCATATTTTGAAGTATAACTAAATTCTCAATTATATCTTACTATCTGGTATATATTTATTATATTTTTACCTTATAAAAATATTCGGACAAATCCCTTATCCCTTGTTCTCTGCCAAATTGTTATATGCAAAAATCTTATTCAATAATATTTTTATCTTATCTATCACAACTTTTTATGAAACAGGTACTCCACCTTTCATAAATTAAAAATTAAAAAAATAAAAACTAGGAACTGCACTAATATTGGTCAGAGCCAAATTTATTATACAATTTTTCACAAATTCTTAATTCAATAATTTAAATCATACTCTTCTTCATGATCCCAAAATATTTCATGAAATTAAATACATATCTTCAAAACTTAAACTTTCTCCTAAAAGAAGGTTTGTAATTATTCTTCACAAATAATCTTCAAAAAAAAATCTAATACTATTTCTAAAAATGATAAATGAACATTGATGCAATTTATAAACCATAATACATTTTTATATCAATAGCAACTATTTCTCTAGAAAATGAATACAAATTACAATTACCATAATGAATTTGTTGTTGCACGATAAAAGCTGATAAAATAATTATAAATCATTCAGAAATTGATATAGATAAGTTTTCTTTCCTTTCTTCATCTTCTTCACTCTCAGATGTCTGATTTGAACTTAAACTTAAACTATAAATCTGAATTTGAACTACTAGCCAATAATCTGTTTCGCTGTCTCTAAGAATTGTAGTTAGCCAAAAACATTAAACTTGTAATCTAAAATGATTCCAATGAATCATAAATTATACTTAATGACTCTTCACTTGCTTATTATTTAGATATTGAAGAATTTGTATCCCCATCATCTTTAGTTTCCTCCATATCAGTTTCGTAATTTTGTTTAGCATTAGTCTTTATAACTTTTCGAATCTAATCTAAAATTATCAAATCCTCTCTATTCATTATAAAATTTTAATTTATTTATTAATAAAATTTCAATTTCTTTTATAAGAATAAAATATTATAAATTATTCAAAATTATACAAATATCTTATAAATATACATTCTTAATCATCAATAACTTGTCCACATATTTTTTATTTTTAAATAAAGACTCATATGAGGAATCTACTTTATTCTTTTTCATATGATTATAAAATCATAATTTTTATCAATAATTATTTGATGACTTTTGCATTTCTATTTAAATAAATTAATTATATAATTTTAATCGATAATGTAGTTAAATTGAAAATTAAATTGAACGGCTTAAAATTATTAAAATATGCATTTCTTAATTAAATATAATATTCGTAATCTAAATTATATTCTAAATTGTCAAATATTAATCAAAAAATAATGAATTGCAAAATTAATTAATAAATAAATTTTAATATATTTTATTATCGACATTATTTTATATTGAACAGAAATATAAAGATTTATTAAATTAAAAAAATTGAGGAAAACTTCGAAATATATTGAACAAATAACCCAAATCTTTTAGATTTTCTAAAATGATATCATACATGAAAAATTTTAACAAAAATAATGAAACTTATGAAAATTGATTGATTGCGTTATAAAGCTCCTGTTATCATTTTTTCATTTATAACCATCACATTAATCTTTAATGGAAGTATTTTAGATTATATTGATATAATAATGAAAAGGTTTTCCGAACGATTTTTCAGCAATATAAATATTTTTCCGTTTTATTCATATATAAATCTATTTATGTATTGTTTAGTCATATATATTAAATTGCAAAATCTATAAATGTATTTAGATAAGAGGATCGAAAGTTATTTCTATAATACAGGTCATATTATTGGAAAGGGTAGTTTTGGATGTGTTTATAAGGGAATTGATCAAAACACTTAAAAAGAAGTAGCTATAAAAATTGTCAAGAAGGCAAAGTCTTAAGAGTATTACAAATAATTTATTACTTTTAGAGAAGCATATTCTTAGAAGACTTTTATAAATGAAATGACAATTTTAAAAAAACTTCGTTCCAAAAATATAGTTAGATTGGTGGATGTATGTGAAAGCTAGTCAAATTATTACTTAGTATAAGAGCTTTGTAAATAGGGAGATTTGAAAAGAATTTTAAAACAAAAATAGCTTGAAGAATAAGAAGCAATTAAAATTCTACACGATATTCTCTCTGGATACTAAATTTTATTAAAAAAAGAGATAGTACATAGAGACATCAAACCAGCAAACATACTAAATTGCAATGGAATATTTAAACTAGGAGATTTTGGATTGGCAACTTAATTGTCATAATAGATGATGTTGAATTCACGAGTTGGGACACCTTTATATATGAGTCCATAAGTATAATTAAATAGTAATTATACTAATAAATGTGATATATGGTCGATTGGTATTTTGTTTTATGAATGCTTATATGGAAAAAGTAATTTATTTTTTAATCAATAGCTCCTTGGTTTCATGAAAAATCTTCAAAACTATTGAAAAATATTTATGAATAACCTCTTTCGTTTCCATCTACACCATTCGTTAGTAATATAAGCAAATCATTTATAAAAAAATGTTTAGAAATAAATGAATCAGACAGAATAGATTGGATAGATATTTACAATCATAACATATTTCGATAAAATCCTTTTAAAATTTAAGGATGTAATCCTCAATAAATTATCACAAAGATAAGAAATATAATTAAAACAAGAGAATTAGACATAAATTAATTAATTTAAAATATTACACAGCAAAAGATATTGAAAATTAGTGATCTAAAAGTATTTTTATAATCTATCGATAAACAATTCAAATTAGAAGATGCTGAATCAGTTTTTGATAAATTGAACAATTAAAATGAAGATTCTATTTCTTTTGAATGTTTATTGTTATGGTTCTATTAAAATGATGTAAATATATTTAATATTATATTATAGATTATTTAATCTAAAAACTAAGATGATATTTCGGCTCCTTTAAATCTATAAGAACAATCTATAGTAAACAATTTGCTAGATTGTTTAATTAATCATATAAGGTTCAATTCGATTTCAATAATTTAAATATTGAAAGAAGTATTTTTTTATAATTATCATTTAGTTGAACGTTTATTAAAATGAAGCAATTCAATTTCGTAAATTTGAACAGATATTGTTAAAAATTAATTTTTAATTGTCCAAAACTGATCTAACTCTTCTATTTAGAAAATTTTATGATGAAAAATCAGGATTCATAAAAATATAAGACATCTTAAAAGTTTTTTACGAAGAATCAGAATTAGATGATACTGATGATGAATTTTCAGCTTCACCAGTTCAAATACCAATAAAAGGACCTGGTTTAAAATTGTAATCTTTTAAGAATTTAGAAAGATTATCTTGATTTTGATAATTTTTTGATATAACTATTTAATATTAATATAATTAATATTAATAATGATATTTTGAATATAATTATATGGAAATCACTCTGATAATTTTGAATTGATGTATTCAATTAATCTATCAACTATATCAATTTCAGTTTATCTAAAAATAGTAAAATATTATTCACCTGCTAACTTTTTAATTACTATATTCTGCATCTTCTAATTCATTGATTTTAGTAGCATCTTAAATGTTTAATTGTGTAACTTCAACTAAAGCATTTGAAATATTAATCAATCCATCTAATTCATTTAATCTTGATTAGATTTCTTTAAGTCTATTATTGGCAGTAGCTAAAGAGACTTATAAAGTTTATTTTTCATTTCTCAAATCATCACCTAATCTAGTTAAATTTTCAACCTATTTATATATAATTATATATATTTACTTAAGTTTTATGATTGGATTCTAATTAATCTTAGCCTTCTTGGAGTGCAGTGATCAAACGAGCAACTAAACTTAGAACATTATTTAATGTTTCTGGGTTTACTTTAGTAGTCATTTCAGCTAATCCTTCAATAATAGGTTAGAATAAAGTTAATGAACTCTTTTTGGTGTGAGCTTCTAATATTTCTTTAATTTTTTAAAAGTTTTCTTTAGTTTAGATGAGATTGCTCTTTGTATCTTAACTAAAATTGTATATTAAAAATAAGAAATACGTAAGTTATATTAAAGATGCTCCTTCACCTCTTAAATTCATTAATAATCTTTAAGCTTCTTTACAAGCTAAAATGGCATCGCTGTAATCAGAATATTTGGTAGCAAAATCAGCATTTTCAGCATCAAGTCTAGATTAAGCATCACCACTTCCTCTACTGTTTCTATCTAAAGCAGCTTAATCTATAAAATTAATATAATATTAAAATAATTACCCTCTTTTACTCTTGTTTAAAGAGTTGTCAATTCGCTATTTAAACTTGATTACTCTTATCTTTGATTGTCTAAATCACTTTCTGCTTATTCTAGAGTAGCTTATAATTTAGCCAAATCAACTTGACTTCTACGAGTGAATGTAGCATTTTCTTAATCTTATAATTAAGTAAGTGCAATAAGTTCATCCTTAATTTATTATAAGAGTTATTTCAATTCATTCAGGGAACCACCAGTTTTCATATTCACAGTTACTAAATTTACCATAGACTTTCCAAAAGGATGATCTCCATATTAAGAAAGTCTTTCTGACATCTCTGTTATGGTTGTAGAATATGTCAATGCAATCAAGGCTAACACAAGAATGTGCTTCATTATTTTAATTTAATATTGTTTTTCTAAAAACGAATATAATTATGTATTTAATAAAATCTGAATTCTCTTCTTCAAAAAGACTAACTTAAAATAAATCAAAAAAATTATTACTATTCAAAAGCCATGCATAATATACATTTGATAAAAAAATAAGCTATGAAATACCATTCGAATTAAATTACAGAAGCTCATAAAAAGTTCTAATTCAACTTACTTGAGCTATTAAAATTATATATTTCATTATTTTATTCTCATCTGAATTTAACACAGCCTAATTTTTTATGAATTCTTCTGTATATTTTTCATAAGCTTATACATATTGTTCTCTTTTTAAAATAAAATATCACTATTGAAGTAATTCTAAGAAGCTTTACGATTAAATGACACATGATTCATTGAATTTTGATGCACATAATCTCATATTTAGACATATATAGGATGCTAAAGTGGAATTAGTGATCTGTATTAAGTAAAGCAAAAGATGGAAAATTCTCTGGAAATTTCAAAATAAAACTATAGTTATCTGCTTCATTTAGAGTTTCAATCTTGCCTTTCATGATGATAATTAATTTTTGATTAAATAAATGATCTTATGTATTTGTCATGTAAACTTTGATATATGTTGATCCTTTTGAGTACAATTCTTTAAGTTCATTAGATATACTTGATTAACTATAAATAAAAACTTTTTTCTCCATTAAAATCTAATTAGAGTAATTCTAAAATTTATTGTTTGTATTCTTAACTTATTTTTATTTGGTCAATTAAGTAATATCGATGATTAAATCACATAGTTTTAGTATGACTTTTTCAATAGGCTTTGAATAATAATTCTTAATTAGATGGCTACTTCTCTACAAAATTAAATTTTCTTTAAAAAAAAATGAATTAGAATTTAAATTGGGTTTTATATTTTCATGAAATTATTGAAATTAATTGGTTTTGCCTGAAAGCTAAAAAATATGGCAAGTTTCTTGAAATTTATTANCATCCTTAATTTATTATAAGAGTTATTTCAATTCATTCAGGGAACCACCAGTTTTCATATTCACAGTTACTAAATTTACCATAGACTTTCCAAAAGGATGATCTCCATATTAAGAAAGTCTTTCTGACATCTCTGTTATGGTTGTAGAATATGTCAATGCAATCAAGGCTAACACAAGAATGTGCTTCATTATTTTAATTTAATATTGTTTTTCTAAAAACGAATATAATTATGTATTTAATAAAATCTGAATTCTCTTCTTCAAAAAGACTAACTTAAAATAAATCAAAAAAATTATTACTATTCAAAAGCCATGCATAATATACATTTGATAAAAAAATAAGCTATGAAATACCATTCGAATTAAATTACAGAAGCTCATAAAAAGTTCTAATTCAACTTACTTGAGCTATTAAAATTATATATTTCATTATTTTATTCTCATCTGAATTTAACACAGCCTAATTTTTTATGAATTCTTCTGTATATTTTTCATAAGCTTATACATATTGTTCTCTTTTTAAAATAAAATATCACTATTGAAGTAATTCTAAGAAGCTTTACGATTAAATGACACATGATTCATTGAATTTTGATGCACATAATCTCATATTTAGACATATATAGGATGCTAAAGTGGAATTAGTGATCTGTATTAAGTAAAGCAAAAGATGGAAAATTCTCTGGAAATTTCAAAATAAAACTATAGTTATCTGCTTCATTTAGAGTTTCAATCTTGCCTTTCATGATGATAATTAATTTTTGATTAAATAAATGATCTTATGTATTTGTCATGTAAACTTTGATATATGTTGATCCTTTTGAGTACAATTCTTTAAGTTCATTAGATATACTTGATTAACTATAAATAAAAACTTTTTTCTCCATTAAAATCTAATTAGAGTAATTCTAAAATTTATTGTTTGTATTCTTAACTTATTTTTATTTGGTCAATTAAGTAATATCGATGATTAAATCACATAGTTTTAGTATGACTTTTTCAATAGGCTTTGAATAATAATTCTTAATTAGATGGCTACTTCTCTACAAAATTAAATTTTCTTTAAAAAAAAATGAATTAGAATTTAAATTGGGTTTTATATTTTCATGAAATTATTGAAATTAATTGGTTTTGCCTGAAAGCTAAAAAATATGGCAAGTTTCTTGAAATTTATTATGATATAAAATAATTTTATCTACCATAATTAGAATACTATTTGATGAAACTAATAATATTTATATGTTAGAGAATAAAATAAAAAAAGAGAATTTTATAAAATTGAAATGAAGTTGATTAAAAGTGAGAATATAAATAGTAATTAATAATTAAAGTAAAGAAATGTGATGGTTTTAAGGATGGAAATAAGAGGATTTAATGGTTAAGTGAGTGAGGATTATAAAAAATTTAATATAAAATCCGTTTGTGTATGGAAAAGTTGAATAAATTCAAAACGGCTAATTGATGAATGATGGAAATGAGAAAATAGGAAGATAATATTTAATTTAATGAAAGCAATATTGTTATTAGTTCTTGCATGCACAGCATTAGCAACAACAGAGACAGAATACATTCAATTGATTCACAAGATTGATGCAACACCATTTGGAAGAACATTATTTGACACAATCTATTTATAATTGGAAACAGGAGATCCCTTAGATAGATTATTAAATACTTTATCAGACTTAGAAGACAGATATTAATAAGAATAAAGAGAAGATGATGCTGAGAATAGAGAATTCTAAGATTCATGCAACGTTGACATTTCAGCCTATGATAAAGACATTGCCAACACAGATTCAGAAAGAATCTCATTGGAAGCAAGACTTGAAGGTGATTTATATCCAAGAAGAGCAATTATTACTGGATTAGTCACAGCAAAGAAAGCAGAAGTCAAGGGTATTAAATCAGTTTATATATTAATAGGTTATTAAAAAGAAATAGATGAATTAGATGCTGAAAGAGCTGCTTAACATTAAGATTTTGAAGAAATTGCAGCTGATCATAATACTGCAATTGCTGTTTTGACTGAAGCAAGAAATATTATTAAAGCAAATGTTGAAGCTACATCATCATTAGTTTAAAAGAAAGCTACTTAATAAGTTAAAGAAATTTCATAAGATCATATTTCATTATTCTAAAAACATATTAAAGAATCATAAAGAAAATTATCACATTCTAAACATATGTTGAGATATGTTCCTGTTATGAAATTGTTGAGTTAAATTGCAAGCAAAGCTAAATTTGATGATAGCACTATTTAAAAGTATAAAGGTTAATTAATATTCTTAGGGTTATTGATCTCTTCGACAGATTAATTAATGAAGTTAGTGATTCATTAAGTTTACAAAGATTTGCAGAAGACAAGAGAGTTGAAGCTTATAATAAAACAAGAAAACTCTTGGTTATTGCTCTTACAGTAGCTGGATCAGAATTGGCTAATGCTGAAAGTGATTTTGCAAGTGTTTCTGATATAATCAGATAAGTAGAGGCTTCTTTAGAAAATACCAATTTAAGACTTGAATTACTTCGTGAAAGAAGAACAGACAGATGGACTTAATGTGAAGAAGCTGCTAGAGATTATGCTGAAGCTAGATCTGCTAGGTATCATAATTTTATTAAATTAAAAAAGAGATGCTGATAGACAAGTTGTTTCTGATACAATTGGATTAGTCAACAAGGCTTTAAGAACTCTAAGAGAATAACTTGCCTTAAGATAAGCTGCTGGTGATTAGATTTGATAAATATGATAAGAATCCATTAATATTAATAATGAATTAATATCCTCATTCCTATTCACCAATTATAAAACAAAAGCATCGATTGATAGTTCAATAATTAAGATTGAAATCAGTGACAGTAGATGCAAGAAAAACATTTGTGCTTTCAAATCCTCATTCAAGAAAATAAATCCTCTCTCCTATTTCAAATAATAAATCTGAGCCATTGAATTTCTGTATAAATGGAAAAGGTTAAATAGAATGTTCTAATCCTTAGAGGAAATAGAGAAAGAGAAACAATAATTCTGAATATTAGTCAGCTTCGACATTTTATTCTGGAACTCCATTTACATATAGGAACAAAATAAATGATAGAGGAGTCGAGTCTATGTTTTGTATTAGAAAATATGAGCTTTTAAGAAAAAAGATGAAATGATAAGTTTTAATTAATTAAATAAAAAAATGAATTCTATCTTAAATACATATAGCCCATTATCTAAAGAATCATACAATATATATCGTGGAGAAGTGATGAGAGAAGCTCTATTTACATAAAAAGTATTAGTGATAGGAGCAGGAGGATTGGGTTGTGAGATTTTAAAGTGTTTGGCATTGAGTGGAATAAAAGAGATTCATGTAATAGATTTGGACACGATAGATTTAACAAATTTGAATAGATAATTCTTATTTAGAATGAAAGATGTAGGAAAATATAAGGCAGAAGTTGCAGCTGAATTTATAATGAAAAGGATACCTTCTTGTAAAGTGATACCTTACACAAAAAAAGTAGATTTTTAAATGTGATTATCAGATCTAAGAATTTGCTGTAAATTTTTATGAAGAGTTTCCAGTGATAATAGCTGGTTTAGATAATATTGAAGCAAGAAGATGGATAAACAGAGTTGTTATTTAAATGGTTTAGAGAGATGAGAATGATATAGTGATAGATGGGAGTCGTCATTATTTAATAGATGGAGGAACAGAAGGTTTAAATGGATAAGCAAGAGTAATATCTCCATTTGAATCAGCATGTTATGAATGCACACTTAGTTAATTACCAAAACAATTATAATATTAAATGTGCACAATAGCATCCACTCCTAGACTTCCTGAACATTGCATTGCTTATGTTTATGAAGTATTATGGTAGAAAGAGTAACCTGATCTTAAATTAGACAAAGACAATTTTGATCATATGAATTGGATATATTAGAAAGCACTTGAAAGAGCTAAGTAATTTAATATAGAAGGAGTCACTTATAAATTAACATTAGGAGTTGTTAAAAATATTATTCCTGCTGTTGCTTCAACAAATGCACTTATAGCTTCTATTTGTACTGTTGAATGTATTAAAATATTAACTGGAAATGGCAGTTAATTAAATAATTATATTTAATGGTATGGTCAAAACCATTAAACAGGAGTTGGCATTAATGTAATTTAATAGGAAAGATTGGATGAATGCACTGAATGTTCTATTTAATAATTGTAAATCAAAGTCAAACGAACAGATCAGTTATCTATTCTTTTAACTCTTCTACCACCAGATATTGAACTCTATTGTAAGGGAGAAACATTGATAACAAACAATAATTTGAGGAAATAAGGATTTGCACATCTCTTAAATCAAACATTTTAAGAATTGATTAAAAATAACATCCTAGATGAAAATGTTGTTCTCAAAGCAATAGATAGAAATAAAACCCTTAATATTAGAGTCTAATATGAATGAATCATATATTAATATAAAATAATCATATATCAATATAAAATAATCAAATTTCAAATCCTGGCATACCTTTATAATCAATGAAATCCATCATTGCACACATATCCCCTACACTTCCAATCATCAAACTAAATGGTTGATCTGATACTTCAATCAAATATCGATCATTAAATGGAAAATTTTTTATTTCATTATAAACATAAACATTTTTCTTGTATTATAAAAACTAATAAGCATATTGTCTTTACTTCTCATTTCCCATTAATCTATAAAGTTACATAAATCCATAGCTATTTCCTGGTATTCCATGGCATAATCCAAATCCTTTCTTAATCATACCAAATTTGTATAGATTTTCACTCATATGTATAGCTGCATCTAAATAGTCTTATTTATTAAATATTTAATAAGCTTTCAGTAGTGGAGCTATAGCTCCTGATATTCCATGACAAAACTAATATAGTTTCAAATTATTTAAGTTTTAAATTGATGATGGAATATTTCCATTTTAGTAATATAATTTAATTAATTAATCCAATGTTTTCTAAATTGAATCTAACATCTCTAAAAGTCCTTATTCATTTTTTAAGTGAAAATATTCTTTACATGTTTCATAACTCAATAATAACATTTAAATTACTCCCAAAATCCCATGAACTGCCCCAAAATATTATCTATTATGAAAATCACATTTCATTACATCCTTACCTACAAATTTACATATTATTTAGCATAATGTGTGAACATGAGAAGATAGATCCAATTAATATGGATCTTATTCATTTGAATATTTCTTATGTAATCTTAATAAATTGTAAAGGTAGCCTGGTATACCATATAATAATTCTTATTCATATTTCTCTGGTTAAGCAACTATTTCACTAAAACTACTAAGTACTTCCATAGTACATTTCTTAAAATTCTCTTTATCTTTCATATAATAGAACAAGTCAGTTCCCAATAAATATATGGTTGAACTACTCATGAAAAATGAGATGTTAGAGTCTTTTTTTATTTCAATTTACAAAGCCTAATATTATCTTAATGCCAATTATAAAAATGTTTCAGGATTATAAAATTCTGATAACTCTTAATCACTCAATCCTTTTGTACATTTTTATTACATCTCTGAACTCAATCCCTTAACAAATTCATAGATTCTCAAATACAAATATAGATATCCTCCTGCTCCACAAAATAAACTTAAATCAATTTTTTCTTTCTATTTTTTAGAGCATTTATCAGTAATACATCCAATAGGTACATTCATTCTAAACTATTTATACTCGGTAATAAAGGATTCAAACACATTTTCTATGTGATTCTCATCAGGAATAGGATGTGTTAAATGATATTAAGTATATCTTAAGTTAGACTCTTGCTACATTATAAATTAATTTTTAAATATCAATTTGATCATTAATGATCAAATCATAATATAGTATAACTCAATTAATAAAAAAGTATTAATAAACATTAAATTATATAAAGTTCATAATAATATCATTAATACGAACGGATTTTATAAATTACATAGAGTTTTCCAAACATTGCGAGCATACAAAAGAAATATATGGCTTAAAAAAAACCAAATTAATTATTGCATTCGTAAGATTCAGTAAAGCAATGAGCAAATTTATATAACCTTATTAAATAATAATAAAATTTTTACCAGTAAATATCCATGATTATTGAAATGCCCATACCGAATGTAAAAAAATTAACTTATTAAACATTCCATTTTTTTAGTTGATAAGGAATTGTCAACAAAATCAACATTAAACCCAAAAAGTCACATCTAGAATAAACTATATTAAATGTTATTAATCCAATTAAAGCTAGTAAAATCTTAAATCTTTCAGCATTAGCAATTTGATTAAAATTTAAACTTAAATCATCAAATTCTGTTCTTTAATGATTAAATAGATTAAATGCATCAATATAATTATTTTAAATTGTGTAATCAATCTAAATGGAATCAACCTATTTCAATTATAAATCATAGAATTTTGTGTTTTTATCTTGCTAAACCAAAACTTATTACTATTATGAGAATTGCTATGTTTATGGATTACATTATAATTTTTGTTGATCACTGATAACCAATTAATTCTAACAAAATAATTTACTATTAGACAAATGGGTTTATTATTTAGCTATCTGGTCTTAAACTATTTAATTAGTTAAATAGATAGGGGTTTAAAAGTTAACATTTTATTAAGTAGATTCTTTAATTTATGATAAGCGAATAGATTATTATTAGGATTCAATATTTTTAGGACTTTTATAATTTATAGAAGTATTATTAGAGTATAATTATTTCATGAAAAACAATTTTTTCTTAATTTATTTAATGTCATCTAAATATTAGTTAATAAAGTTTTCATAAAAAGAAACTTAAAATGTTACATATTCATTCTATTATATTTAAGATAATAAGTCTTACCCAATCTTTAATATATCGAATTTAAAGAATGACTTCTCCAACATTTTCGAAATTGCATTTTTCTTGTTTGTCAAATTCAGAATTTAAGTGTTTTTGGATAGCAATTTTGCCTAGAGATTGTTTTTCTAATTTATGGATTTCAATTAATTCAATAGAAAAAGTAGTTTATAGAACAATTTATTGAAGAGAATAATAAAAGATGTCTCCCCAAATAGGGAATTCACAATTGAGACTAGGTTTACTGAGTCTTTCAATACCATTCTAAGCCTCTTTGCATTGTATGATAACTTCAATTTATTTAGCAGCTTTTGTAACATCATCTTAAGAATGATAAAATGGACTAAAACATCCTGATTGAAGGGTAAGTATAATTTGAGAACAATTAGTTTGAGTGAGTTTAGATTTAATATCTTCTTCTTAAGTTTAAAGTTTTTTAATTTTAAATTCATAAAATTTAATTTCTTCTTTGAGTTTAGATTCTTTATTAAGATAGCCATGTGTGAATTCATGTTTAGATATCTTTGAAGTTTAATTAGTATTGAGTTCATTGAAAATTTCTTAGATCAATTATTGATCACAACCTTTTCTTTTGAGATGTAATTCTAATTCATTTAAGGATATCCATCCACTTTGATCAGTTTGTAAGGCTTTGAATTCAGCTTCAATTTCCTAAAATCGTGCTATAGATCAATATTTAACAACTTGAATACAGTGATCAAAATTTGGATCTGAATTAGGAGCTGGATACTTTTCTAATTTTTCAACGACCATTCTTTCTTGGGTGATAAAAACTTGTCTTTACATTTTAATAAAATAAATTAAAAAAAATGGATAGATCAAATTCTGTACCACGTCCAGGATCTGTAATGGTAATTCCTCAATCTTAAGGATAATCCTACAGACCAACTGCTGCATAATAGTAATTTTCAAATTCTTAGATGAAATTCATGAATGATTTAATTCAGCAACAACCCAGCAGTTAAAGATAAGCTGTTAGTTAATAACTTGAATAATTAACTCCTGAAGAAATAAGTGAAATTTAAAGAAAGTTAGAAAACGGTGAGATTTTGCATGGTCTCTCTACACTTCCCGAAGGAGCCAATATGACACATAAATTTATAGTTAAAGTGAGAAAACATAATCAACCTACACAACCAATTAAATATGTAACATCTCCTCCACCACCTCCACCTCCATAAAAGTATGTTCCATCATATTGTCCAGAATGTTTGAATAAGGATTAAAAGGTAACAATTTTTTTGAAATTTAATATAGTTAAAACAATAAGATGCAAAAATCGAATAATTACTTGATGAAATGAATAAAATGAGTAAGTTCCTAGTAGACAAGAGTCAAGAGATTGAAATTTGGAAAAGGCAGTATATGGCAATTTAATAAGTATAAAAATTACTAATAATATTATTTAGGATCTTGCTAAACCTAAAGTGATTGATAATTCAGATAAGTATCTTAAAGAAATTAATGATTTAAAAAATAAATTAAATTAAAAGGATAATGAAATTTAATCACTTGAAACTAATATCAAGTAAATCTAAGAAAACTAAGATGAAGAACAAATTGAATTAAGAGCAGGCAATAATGATTAAGGGGATTTAGAATAGTTGTAAAAAGATTTATATGATGCCTAATAAGAAATTGAACTTTATAAAGAAGATAATGATAGATTGAATAATAAATTAGTTAATTTGGAGGCATAATTATAAAATAAAAAAACAGAAATTAAAACTGTTTATAAATCTGATCCTGAAACTGAAAAATAACTCAATGAACTATAAAGTAAATATTCTTTACTACAATCTTAATATTACAAAATCTCAGAATAAACTAAGACATTCCAAAAAGAAATTTAATATGAAACTAAAGTAATCTATTAACCTGATCCTGAAACTGAAAGGCAATTATAAGAATTAAAATAAAAGTATACACTCCTTTAATCTCAATATTACACTCTATAAGAAACTAGCAAAATTGTTCAAAAAGAAATTCAATATGAATCTAAAGTTATTTATTAACCTGATCCTGAAACAGAAAAATTATTACAAAAAAAAATCTAACAATATGAAGAACTCTATGCAAGATATGTTTTAATCTAAGATTAATATACATCTTTATAATAAAAACAATCAACTTCTATTTATGAAACTAAAACAATATATAAGCCTGATCCTGAAACAGAAAGATAATTAGAAATTAAAATTGAATAATACAATTAATTATAGTAGAGATATAATCAATTACAAAACTAATATTACTAATTAGAAGATAGAAGCAAAATAGTTTAGAAGGAAATTTAATATGAAACAAAAATAGTATACTAACCTGATCCTGAGACAGAAAGATTATTAAAATTAAAAACTCAACAATTGGAATCTATGACAAGTAAATGCACAATGTTATAAGGATAAATTGAGACAACAAGAACGTAAATAGAATAGTATTAAACAAAAATATATTAATTTGAAACAAGAAAGTCAGAGAGTGAGAATAATTAATTATAGATTGATTAATTAAAAGAGTAATTAAGAAGAGCAAATGCTGAGATTGAATAATATACGAGAAAGATTTATTAATTAGAATCAAATAATGAATAAACAACATTTCTTAAAAAGTAGATTTCTGACCTTAAGATGTAATATGAATAAGAGTAGCAATTAACAATATAATTGAAAAGAAGAATTGAAGAAATGAAGGCAGAATAATCTCAATATGAGGTATATTAATTTAGAATAAGAGAATTGGAGGTTATTGTGTAATAAAAGGAGGATAGAATTCGATAAATATAATTGGAGTTAGATCAATATAGATCAGATATGGTTACTTATTAATAAAGAATATCTAGTTATTAAGTGAACATTGATAATAATGAGACTTTGAAATAATAGATTCAATAATGGAGAGAGAAATATGAATAGTTGGAATAAAAGTAAAGATATTAGACAAATGAGGAGATTAATTAATGGAAGATTAGATATGAGCAAATGGAATAGAATTATATATCTTTATAATAAAATTATGAGACCATCTAAATAACATTAAATGAATATTAAGATAACGAGCAATCAGAGGTTTTGAAAATAGAAATAAAGAGATTATAGAAAACTGTATGTTTAAATATATATGTATATATAGATTGTTGAATTGAGAAGTGAAATTGATCGATTGTTAGTTTAAGCTTCAGATAATCAATGGTTATCAAAACGATATGAAGAATAGTAATTATTGATTGAACATTATAAATCACAATTAGAAGAAAGATAATCAGTGTAACGAGAGTATACATATGAAATTCAGAATACAAATCAAAGAAATGAACATGTTTCGAGTCAAAAGATAGTAACAACAACTTAATAATAATAATCAATAACACATGATTCAAAAATGATTTACCCATCTTCTATAACCTAATAAACTAAGACTGTAGAGTATAATTCAATTCAACCAAAATTGAGTGAATATAGTTCTTATTAATCAAAACCTGTAGAATATACAAGTGTGTAATAGAATGTTCAATAAAGACAATCTTATTAATAATCTCAGTTTTTGTAGCCTTCATAGATTCTAATGAATGAGTAAAAACGAGTAATTAATTTTTGATTATAAAATTAGAGTAGAGTGGAATAGGAGTTTAGTTCTTAGAGATGGAATGATAATTATGAAGTAGTGTTGAACGAAGTAACATAAAAGGAAAAGTTATTTTCATGATATAACAAAATAAATTAAATAAATAAAAAGATTTTATTTTATGAGCACTACATCAATTCCAGCAGAACGTACACTGTTTGTTTCAAAATACCCTCAATAAACAACAACTGAATAATTAAAGAAAATATTTTCAGAATTTGGGCAAATTGAATAAATTGCATCTCAAGGCTCAGGAGTTTGTATTATCTATAAAGAAAATCAAAGTGGTAATTAATTGAAAATATAAGTTCTAAGTTACTTCTGCTCTATAAAAAGCAATAATTGTGAATGGTGAAGAACCCTATGTTTGTTAATACTTAAATATAGCATAGTTGGATCATGAAGCTAATGTCTTCATTGATAATATTGATAGAAAGGAGACCCAATCTTCTCTTCGCTAAATCTTTAGTTAATTTGGAACTATTCTCAGTGTCAAATTATAGAAATCTGATAAAGTAGGTGTTGCCTATATTTAATTTGACAAAAAGGAATCAGCTGATAAATGCATAGCTGAACAATCGAAATTAGGATTTAAGATTTAGAAGTATATTTTTAATCTTATTTTTTAGGTTTACATCTAGAAAATAACACAGAGATTAAGTATATATAAGTAACATTAAAGTGTTACCTAATATTACACCCGATTAATTAAAGTCTGATTTACAAACATTTGTCTCTTCTTTCGGAGTTGTAGAATCACTTGTTTTGAATAGAAATACTACAAATGGAACATTTTTTGCATTTGTAAAATTTGTAAATTAGGACAGTGCTAAAGCAGCAGTCAAATCAAATAAATTATTTAATGATCAATAAATTCATATTGAATGGGTTGTAAATAATGTAGACAAAGATATAGAAGCAAATTTATTTACTAAAAATTTGAAAGTAGATATTACAGAAGATGATTTAAAAAAAGCTATCAATATATTGGTTCCTATTGAAGACATTAAATTGATGCCAGCAAAATAACCACCCTATGGTATATAACATTAATTATTAATTAGGTAACAAAACACCAACCTAAGTAGCTTATCTATATTTCAAAACAGCTGATGATGGTAAGAAATTGATTGCTTATGCATATGACCATCCACAAATTGCATCATTATATGTGAATGGAGTCATTTCACTTTCACCACTCTTGCCACCATCTGAAGTCAATTCATTACTTCAAGTTAAAAAAAATACATTTTAAAGATAATTTCATTAAACTCCTTACTAATAATATTAATAGTAAATGCCAACTCCTCAATATTATTAACAATAATAATAAAGATTTCCTTAACAATAACCTCCTAGATAACATCATAATGGAAATCGCTATCCCAATTAGAAAAGACCCTATTATCCTTAACAATAACAAATTCCAGATTTAACCTAATTACAAATTATGGTTGATAGAGGCTAAAAATAGTAGGTTACTGATTTGATTGGAATGTAGCTATTTCCAAAGGTAACATAAGTTGTTGGCCCTATTAATGTATATAATATATTAAATAAAGGCACCATAAGTTACTGGTATTTTGCTTGATTTTGAAAATTATTAATTAAGCGATTAGGTTAAGATGATTCATGATTAAGCTTATTTGGGTGAGAATATCAGGTCAGCACTTGAAATTCTTAAATGAGTATGAGTTTATTTTATTTTTTGTAAAATAATAAATATGTAAAATGAAATAGCTATGTTAAAGATGTAAATGGGTATAATGGAGAAAGATTATAAAAGAAGAATCTAAACTCTCGAAGATAGAAATGATGATTTAACTTTATAATTGGAAGAAACAAGAAGAAATGCAGAATAAAGAGTTGATAATCTCTACAAAGAGATGAAGCAATCAGCTATTTCAACTGTGAGTGAACCCATTATCAAATATGAATACATAAAGACACCTCAAGCCTCATCTATTAAATCATTAAATAACTATAATTATCAATCACAAATTTCACAGCAATCAAATCGTCAGTTGGAAAATCTTAATTTAGTTTTAGAAACTAAAATGTAAGAAATCAAAGCTTTAGAAGAAAGGTTGTTATTACTGAAATAGTAGCATTAACAATAGTTGGATCAATTAACATAGCACTATGAAAATATCTTAAAGACCAAAATAAAGAATGAGTTAGCTGCATTAAATGTTTAACATGAAAAGTAAGTTCAGTAATATTAAATCGAAATTTTCAATTGGCAATACAAAATCAAAGCCTCAGATGAGAGGTTTAAGAAAGGTATTGAAGAAAAAAATAGATTAATTGATGAATTATAAATTAGAATCTAAGAATTCGAAAATAATGATCTCAAAGATCAAATGGTATAAATATAAGAGACTAATATTCGTTTAAAAGAAGAATATAATATGATGAAGAAGGATTTCTAAGCTGAATTAGAATTACTTAACGATAAACATTAAGGAGATCTATAACTTGCTTTCTAATAAGGCATCGAATAAGCAGATAACAATTAAAAGGTTTCTCTAGAATTGCAAAAATTGAATGCTTCACATAAATAAGCTAATGAAAAGGCTTTGAAACTTGAAGCCGAAAATAGATAGATTAATTTGCTATTAGCAACCTATTAGTAAGAAATTCAAGAATGGAAAGACAAATATTAAACTACTATCATTAAATAAAAAGAAGAAATTGAAAAACTAAGGTAAAGTTTTGACAGACAAAAAAAAGAATAACTAGATCTTACTTTTAATGCAGAATATTTGTAAGAGAAAAATAAGCTCTTTTTTTAATTAGAATAATGTAATAAACAAATTTAATAACTTTAATAAATAAATGAAAAAAACGAAAAAGAATTAAAATCATTTTATAGTGAATAATACAATTCTACATAATTAAATAATGAAATTTAATAATTATAAAGATAATTACAGATCAGTACTAGTGATTTTGAAAATTATAAAAAAAAATCAGTCAAAATTGAAAAATAATAATAAGATGATATTTCTAGATTAACAATGGAACTCAAAAATATTAAAAATAATTTAGCTAATAGCACTGAAGATAAACATAAAGCATTATAAGAATAACAAATTGAATTAGATCAATTAAAAACTAAACTCTATGAATTTGAGTAATAAAATAGAAATTATGCCACTGAAATAGAAAGGTTAAAAAAAGAAATAAAGCAATAAAAATAATAATATTAGGTATAAATAGAAAAAATGAATGAAGAAATAAGTTAGCTAAATGAAAAAATAAGTTTATTATCTATGGAGAGATACAATTTTGAATAATAGCTGGTAAAATAAAAATAATAAAATGAATAAATGGAAAGTTTATAAAAAAATTTATAAAATAATTTGTTGTAATTTAATTAAGCAATAGAGTAATTAAATTAAGAATTAGATGAAGAAAGAAATAATACATAATTGTTATTGAATAAGGAATAGAATTATTAACAAAAGATTTAATAATTAAATAAACAAGTGAAAGAGTTGGAATATTAGAATGAATAATTAATTTAAGAAATCCAAAATATATAGGATTAAATTTCTTCTTATGAATCTGAATTATAAAATATTGATCTTGAGAGGAAAAAGAAATAATAATAAATAGAAAATTTGGAAAAAAAATATAAAAATGCTATAGAGGAATTATAAATGAAAGATTAAGAATTGAATGAATAAACTACAAATCATTATAATGAATTAGAACAACAAAAGTCTGACTATAATAGATAATTTGAATAATAGAGAAAAGAAGTATAAAAATTAGTGAATTCAATTTAAGATAAGGAAATTTAGAACTAAAAATATCAAGATTAGCTTATAAAATTGGAATCTGAAAATAGTAAATTGATAAATTAAATTTAATCTTTGTAAATAGAAAATAATAAAATGGAATAGCAAATTCGAAAATAATAAATTTAATTCCAGAGTAATATAGATAAATTAGCAGATTAAGAAATTTAAAGATCCTCTTTAATAGAAAGACATTCATAAATGAATTATTGAATATATGTTTGAATATTTCATGATTATTATTCTCGTGCCTTTTCTTATTTAATTTTGTTTTTAATTTCAACCCAATCATATTTTTTGATCTATACAAATATTAAAGTAATAAAAGTACATCATAAGCAAGTTTTTCAAATTTAGGTATTGTTTCTTATTATCCTGTTTATTCAAGATATTTTTATCTGTAAGCTAAGAGGGTATCTTAATGAACATTATATTGAAGTGCTAAATCAAGAGCTCTTTCCCATCTAGAAATAAGGATAGTATAAATATATTACTTATATAATTTGATATTCATTTTAATAGCTCTATAATATAATTTAGCTTATGTATAAATGTTTTCTGCTTCTTAAGGTCTTTTAAAGAATAAGGCTAAGAGAGCACTTTTCGCTTTTTCTGATTCAACATTGATAATTTTTTAAATAAAAAGAACTTTATCTGCAGCTTCAATGGCAGCTAAAGCAATTTCAGCTGTGTTTAATTCTTTAAATTAAAGAGAAAGTCCAGCTAGTGCAGCCCAAAGAGTATGTTCTTTGACATATCTACATAATTTAATAGCTTTTTCCCATTTTCCTCTTTCGCAAGCCTCAAAAAGTAATGCAGGATAAGGTGAAACACTTTATGTCATTATGGCTCCATCTTTTCTACGAATTTAAACCATAGTGTCTTAAAATGATAAAATTTATGAATTTCTTGTTAGATCAGTACATTCTTTGCTTACTTTGACTTATTCTAATAAATCTCTATCAACATAAACTGATGTTGGATAATACCAGACAACAAATCTTTAATCAGAAATTGCACATAACATATCAAATTTTTCATTCCATAAAAATGAATCTGTCATGGCAGCTAATTTAACTATATCTTTTTTATGAACAGGAGTAATATGTAAATCTCTATTTTAATCAACGAAAGCTAATTTTCTTTCTCCAATCATTTCTGTTTAGTTTAAATTAATTTCAAGAATTTCTAAAGAATGTTCAACTGTAAAATTTAAAGCTTTTCCTGAATTCATTTCATAAAATTTGACTACTTTATTATTTCCTCCATCAACTAATGCTAATAAATCATTAGAGATTGCTATCTTTTTATGAGATAAATGTTCAACTAAGAATGAATGGAATTATTACATTTGGTTCCTTATATTTTTGGATTGCTAATCAATTTGCCTTCATAATTATATACCATGATTCCTGAACTTACTTCAACTAAACAAAAGTAATTAGAACATTAACAAATTTAACTAACTGAATCTCTAATATCAAAAATATAAGGAGTATTCCAATTTCTAAAAGAATAGATATAACAATGCGAACTAGTGGTAATAATAAGATTATTATATTTCATAGACATATTAATTACTCTTTCTTTGAAATCAAATTCACTATTCATTTCATCAATTAAATCAATAATTTAGATTCTTAATTAATAATATAATATACTTATTATCTTCTGTTAATGTGATTTCCCACTTATCATAAGTAATACATCTTTCAACAACATGTCCAAAAATAACACTACCATTTCCAGCTGCTCCTGCACAAATAGTTCCATCACTTGTCCAAGCAATATTTAAAATACTACCTTAATTAGTCTTATGAAATGAATATGTCCATCCTGTCTTATCACATAATCTCAACATATCATATGCACCTACAGCAAAGTAATCTCCATTTGGACTCCAAGCAACTGAAGTTATTACATAATCATATGGAGCAGATGCAAACAATAATCTTCCATAAGTATCAAACACTTTGTATTTACAATCCTCTCCACAAGATAATATTAAATTATTTGTATGATTCCAATCTACTTTTACTACTAAACCATCATGAGCTTTCCATTAAACTTATTTTTAGCCTGCTTATAATGGTTTTATGTATATCATTTTATCAGAACAATATAATATTGCATCATTATCTGGACTCCATACAATACAATAAATTGGTTTATCTATTTACACTAAATTTGATCTAATTATTCCTGTTTTACTCCATATTTTTAAAGCACCATCTTCACCACAAGTTGCTAATGATCCATCTACACTCCATTTCAGACTTATTATCTATTTATATTAATTATTTTTATTTAATTACCGCTCCTTTATGTGCTTCCTTTTCTTTCTTTTCTATTTTCCCTGTTTTTTATTATAATATAAATGAGCCATCACTAAATGCTATAGCTACTAAATCTGTTGATCCTCTCTGTCCTTATAAGAAATCGAAATCTGTTCCATATCCCTCTAAATCTACAAATTTCGATGACTTTATATTACTATAGTATTTACCTCCAATGAATTTGGATCCCATTTCAAAATTGTATAATCATCACTCAAACTAATAATCATTAAAATTTTAATCATACCTATATGCTTCATTATTCAATCCCCATTTTACAGATGTACAAATATCTGCATGCTTTGTATTCTCATTTACCTTAATTTTGAATCTCATTTAATATATAAATTATCAATTATTTCATGTAACTTATGTCCACCTTTTATATATATATTTTATCATATAAATCAATCATTATCTTCTAATCGCTTTTTTGGAGCTGCTAAACGCTTTGTAAATTCTAATTGTTTTATTGATTTCTCCTATTATATCACCTACTTAATTGGTGGTAATTTATATGGATATTTAATAGGTAATTATTATGATTTGTATTTTCTTAAGGTTTCCTAAAAATCTGGTGACAATTAAGCTTTATTTTAAACTGTTTTTGCTATATATGTATCTCTCCCTGTACCATCAGAAAAATAAAATTATCTCTTCTCTATTGAACCTCCTAATCGTCCATTATTTGGAGATCCATATGCCCCTCAAAATTAATTTACTACATACATGACTCTGCCATTCTGTTTACTAAAAATCTTTATTGCGCAGGATAAAATCCACCATTATTGAAAAATATGTAGGAATCTCTACCAGTTCCATCTTATGTATACAATTTTGGCATTTGATGAGTCATTAAAAAAAGATTTGTGATTAAAAAATAAGAATATATAAATTAATATCATAAATTTTTACATAAAATAATAAAAACAAAAAATAAATCAATTTATTATTAAAAAACTACTACAACTCCCATTGACAACATTTTACATATTTTAATCATTGCTATAAATTTTGTAATATAAATAAAGATCATTTTGATTTATTTTAAATAATCAATAAAAATATTATCTATTAGAGGAGTTTTGTTCCAAACTGTTCATTATTTGAATCAATAAGTAATTTCACTTCAACTGAATTCTTCTCACATTTTATTTTACAAAAGAATTGAATATTCTTATAATTCATACTGCTAATATACTTCTCTCTATATATAATGTAATTAGGAAAGATTTTTATGACTTTTTCCTCATCTAAATTCAAATTAGGACTATGACTGATTAACAAAGTATGTGTATCATTGTTCTTGATTTCATCCATATGATTTAAATACGTTGCTTCTGAAAACTTATTGAATTATAAATATTTATGTAATAAATTTGGTATTAGCACATCTTTATCAAATTTTTACTATTTTAATTCATAAAAAATTTACAATTACAATAATTCATCCTTATCATTGTAAATTATCTATTTTATTGATTTTTTAGAACTCAATAATAAATCTCTAATCCTAAGATTAGTATTTACAGGCTATTTGTAAATGAGAGATAGTTTAATTTCCTCACTTGTTCGATTTAATATTGTTAATGAATATTCAAATTCAACAGCATCACTCATTTAGAATAATATTTGTATAGATCGATCATCATATATAATTCCATATTTAGAAAAGCAGCATTTTTTTAAAAATTATAATTCTGATTATCCAAATTCGTTGAGCACATTGTAATAATTATAACATTAAATATTTAATTTTCTTTAAACGAACTATACCCTTTTTTTTTATTTTTTATCATTTTCTGTCTTTTTTAATATTGATGAAATTTATTTTATCTAACTATTTTGTTCATTTTACTCTGTTAGATCACTGATTATTATTTAATCTTCTTCATCATCCTCAAATTTCATTAATTATTATGATTGAGCTTATTATTTTCCAAATGATATTTATAAATCTTATGGTTTCTATTATAAGTATATTGAAGAATGAGATTTTTCTATAGGTGGATTTAATTTTTGGCTTTTTTATTAATATTCTGCAAGTTCTTTTCTTAATTATGAGTTAATTTTTTATAATCGTTAATTATAATGGAACTAAAGTTCCCACTTATTTTTCCATCGTAATAATTCCTAATCTTCATCAGTTTAAATTTCTTTTTCTTCATATTTTTATTCTTAGCCATTTAAAATTATTGAAGCTCTTGATTCAAATTAAAATTTGAATTCTTCAGTTTTTGCTTTAATCACACTCATTCTAGGTTTTTCTGTTTATGTATTATCATAATATGCCAGAATTTTATTTACAAACATATAAAGTTCTATAACTTCAACTTCATCTTGTTTTAAATTAATATTTATACCTTCTTAACATAAATAATTGGATGAAAGAGTTTTACTTTAATGCTCAAAATATTCTTTAAGTAAGTCTAAAAAGTGTATTTGTACAAGTGATTTAAATTGGGTATCATTACAACAGATGATTTCATTTATCAATTGTAATATTCGAATTTTTTTTTTTATTTCAACCAATTACATTTGATCACGTAAATTTAGAATAAGCTGCTCTTATTCGTTTTGGTTTTACAATATTTCATCTATTAATTGATCATAAATATCTAAAACCTAATCATCATCACATTCTAAGTATTTTTTCAATTTATTCATTTTAATTAAATGTTTAGTTTTATGAAATAACTGATATTAATTTTAGGGTTAAAGGATCTAACTAAATAGATAAATTAGTTAAATAATATATATATGTAAAACCTAACTTGAATATTTAATTTAATAAATTTATTTAAACATACATGAGAGGTGTAATTTGATTAAAGTGGAAAATTGGAAATTCCAAACTCTAAACATTTATTCATTTTATAATTCAATTACAATTTGGTATATCATCACGTTTTATTTAATATAAAGATTTTACAATTCTTTGTTTTCTATATATAAAAATTGTATCTTATTTTATTAAATAATTATAAAATTTAGAAAATCATTTTTGAGAAAAGATTGATTTCTATAACCTATTTGTAATTAAGATACATTAAAAATCAAAATTAATTAAGATATTGTTGAGAAAGAATTAGAATATAAAAATAATTCAATAAAATATCAATAAATCAAGGTTGATCTTATGCGGTAGTTTGTAAATTTTCAAAATTTTTCTACTTTTAAGTATTCAATATAATTAATTCCAAAAAAATTTCTATTCCAAGCAAAACCAAATATGTATATGTCCATATTTCATTTGGATAAAAAAAGAATAGAGATGTAATATCAAAGGAAACAAAAAGTGTCAATTAGAAGACATCAAAATAAATATTAGTTGTTTAGAAAAATCTAATAATCCAAATTGTAATTAAGGAAAGCAAACTTGCTAATGCAAAATGCAAATTATTAAATAACATGCATCCTAAAAATCCTTGTAATACTAGTAACCTATTAATTAATTTAAAAATCGTTCTTGAATGTAGAAATTCTGTTCGTGTCTCATCTGTTTCTGTAATTGTTAATAAATTGGCATCTTAAACTCTTACTGTATCTGGCAATTCTTGCATTGAAGGTATGGATTATAATTTATCTTTTTATTAAGAAATATCCATAGTAAAAACATTAGAACTGACTTTGAGAATCTAATATTTAGATGAAAACAAATTTGATGGAGTTTTAACAGAGTAAGATTAACTTTTTTGAGCAGATTCATTAAAAGTTTCAACAGATTGAGTTCCATGTCGATTATTTTGACGTCTAAAATTTTTTTTAAGTGATTATTCAACAGATTAAGAACGATGTAATTATACATGTGGTTATTCAGGAGCTGGAACAACTTTATTTTATTTCTAAACAATTAACTTATTTTAGGATTTTCTGAAATATAGTAAATAGAGCATTAGTATTTAAAGTATAAAAAGCAAAATTGCGAAGACTAAATGGTAGATAAACATCTTAGAGATGATATTTTTTGGGCTATTTTATTTTAAATTGTTTATAATTTTATTTCTAATAAAATTTCTCTAAATTGACTAGATAAAGGACATTACAGTAAAAGATGAGAGAAAATAAAATTGAAAAAATCATCATTTTAATTTTTTGATACCTCAAAAATAAAAAGTGTATTATAATATTGTAATTTATAAAATATGATTATAATTCATTTTATTTCTTTTCAAAGGGATTTTATGATAACACATAATATTATAAAACATATAATACTATTGCAAATAGTGAAAAATTGGCATCCAACTGATTCTTCAGAGAAATTAGATTGAATATTTGAAATATATTGTTTAAAATTCTGAAAATTAGATTCTGTATTTTGATCTTATTCTTCTTTAAATTATGCATAATTATTATAGTTTTGAATACTTTATTGTTATTGAGAATACATCTACATATTAACATAAGGAGCAAATTAATTCTGATTATTTTCATTGTTAATTTAAGTGAGATCTTTTAGTTCTAATTCTTAAGGTTAATAATTTTAAGCACTCATTATTAATAACTAGAAATTATTATTATTATTATTAATAAAATGACCACATTAAGAGAAGTTTATAATGAAATATTATTTTTACTACCAGACTAACCTACAAATAAAACCTTATTGTCAATCTTATTAATTCATAGTATTAATGTCAAAGAAGGACTGAAAAATAATGGCATTAATGAAAATGATGAAATTCATGATTGGGTAGGAATAGCTGAAGGATGGGATTAATCAGAAGATGGTATTCTAATATTTTAATATTAGGTGTATATTCTCTTAGATACATAAATTAACATAAAGAATTATGTTAATTTAAATTTTTAACACTTCCAAATTTAGAAGACACTTTATCAATTAATGCTGTTGTTTTAGGAAGAAATGATTAGATATATTCGTATCAACTCCCAGTATCTTAATTGAATTTCGATAATCAAGATTAAATATTTAAATCAAATACTATTAGTGCTTATAAAAAATCAATTTTATCAAAAATATTAATAAAAAAGTAAGAACCTGAAAAAATAGAAAAATAATAATCAAATATTTTATTAGAAGAACCTCCTTAATAATAATAATAACCTTAAGGTTTATTATGGAATATACCAAGAAACTAACCATTTTCAGTTGGGAATTAAGATCTTAACCCTTTTAATAGAAATCCTTTTGATAATAGAGGAAATATGGGTGGAAATTTGATGGGACCTTAGTATTTCTAGAACTTTAATTAAAGATAACAATAATAATAATAATTTAATCCATATGCTCCTCCAGGTGCAAGATTTGATCCATTTGGTCCTGAACCTGATATTAATCCATTTGGAGAACCTAATCATAAGAAACCATGGCCAGATCCATTTGGAAGGGGAGGCTAATTTCCATTTTGATAAATTTATTTGATAATTTTATTTATATTTAATGACATTCTTATGGGCAAACATAGATTATGATTTTAACTCAATTACACTTAGATATATTAGTGATTGGATTTGGTATTATATACTATTAAAATAGGTATCATTACTCTATCTTAGCCATATTTCCACTTTGGATTATAGGGTTATATAGAATTTATTTACATATATTTGATTATCAAAAACACCTCTAGATAAAACAACAGAAATTTATGAATGCAATAGTTTTTTCTTTAGTAAAATTAAATTAATCTAGACAATATATGCTCCATTTTATTATTTGTTTGATGCTATTATTTCTGTTTTAGAAGGTACTTACTTAACAGAGTGTAGATTCCCATATTTTTTTCATCATATGGTATTTATTAATTTATAATATTATCTTAGATAGCAATAGTTGTTTAGCCATTCTTATTGAGTAGATATGTTCTTAATTGGTGGGATATAATGGTATGTTCTACACATGCTATTTTTGTAAAATATCCTAAAAATGCAATAATCCCATATGTTTACGTTTCTTCTATTTTCATCTTTAATTTGAGTTTGTATATAGATAGATCTAGTTGGAATAATCGATTTGTGGGTAAATATTTCCCAATAATCTATTATTCATTTTTTGTTATTTTTATTACATAGGATTGTGATAGTTCTTTACCATATTTGGCAGAATGATGATATTGTTAATTTATCATTAAATTTCATTAAATTTCATTAAATTTCATTAATTAATCATTTCAGTTGATTCAACCTTTATCATTTGTTTAGCTTCTCCATTTTCATTTAATCCGATAATCTCTGGACTCAAAGTTTAAAATGATTGCAGCACTGATTAATCTTATGAACCTTTATAAGTAAAGTCCTTATCTAAAAGTAATACTAATATTAAAACATGAATCTAATTCATCAATGATACTACATTATTCAGACATACTCGATTTAATAAATTAAGGATCAAAATAAGCAACATCAGCTTCATTTTATAATTTTGGTAAGAATGGTGCTATTTCTTTCTTATTGAATATTGCATCAAAATCAATAGTGAACCATTAATGATCTTTAATGTTAGAACTCAGTCTATTTTTAGGATTCTTTTCTAATAATCTATCAATAAGATCTTAGAGTCTGATAGAAAAATGACTCATATTGGGCTAAGAATTTAATATACAATATTCTAAATCTTATTTATTTGATGCAAAGAATGGAGGATGTCCTGCTACCATTTCATATAAGAAACAACCAAATGACCACCAATCTACAGCTTTACCATATTGCTTATATTATAATATTTCTGGTGCCATATATGCTGGAGTTCCACATATTGATGTTGCTCCTGTAACATTTGTGAAATTTCCCTTCTTGCATAAACCAAAATCTGTCAATTTTACATATCCATCCTAACATATTACTATGTTCTCTGGTTTTAGACTAATATTATTTATTATTTTAACTCTCTATAAATTATGCCTTTACTATGAAGATACTCCAATCCTAGAATGATTTAAGCTGCATAAAACATAGCTCTAAAATATATTAAAAAAAACATGTCTCACGTATGTTCACTAAATTATTTCTGTTTGCTCAACAGATAATACATTTCTCCACCTGGACAATATTCCATGCAAAAATACAAATGGCTAACACTTTGGAACGCGTACACTAATTTTATTATGAATGGATGTTAAATTTCAATCTTAATTAGATAAGCCAAACCATTATATTGCGTTCTATTCGTGCATCTTGTTTTAAACCAGATTTCTTTAGCACTTTTAATGCATAAAGTTTTTTTGTATCCTTTTTTCTCACCAATAACACTTTTGCATATTTTCCTTTCCCTATTACACAGTTCATTTCGAACGAATCCAAGCTCACTTCTTTTGAAAATTCTTTTGTCAAACAAAGCTATCCTATTTCATCTTCCTCTATAAAATCCATTAAAATATTATTTAATATTTGTATTTCTATAAATTCAAAAATAGAAATTATATATAATTANTCATCAATGATACTACATTATTCAGACATACTCGATTTAATAAATTAAGGATCAAAATAAGCAACATCAGCTTCATTTTATAATTTTGGTAAGAATGGTGCTATTTCTTTCTTATTGAATATTGCATCAAAATCAATAGTGAACCATTAATGATCTTTAATGTTAGAACTCAGTCTATTTTTAGGATTCTTTTCTAATAATCTATCAATAAGATCTTAGAGTCTGATAGAAAAATGACTCATATTGGGCTAAGAATTTAATATACAATATTCTAAATCTTATTTATTTGATGCAAAGAATGGAGGATGTCCTGCTACCATTTCATATAAGAAACAACCAAATGACCACCAATCTACAGCTTTACCATATTGCTTATATTATAATATTTCTGGTGCCATATATGCTGGAGTTCCACATATTGATGTTGCTCCTGTAACATTTGTGAAATTTCCCTTCTTGCATAAACCAAAATCTGTCAATTTTACATATCCATCCTAACATATTACTATGTTCTCTGGTTTTAGACTAATATTATTTATTATTTTAACTCTCTATAAATTATGCCTTTACTATGAAGATACTCCAATCCTAGAATGATTTAAGCTGCATAAAACATAGCTCTAAAATATATTAAAAAAAACATGTCTCACGTATGTTCACTAAATTATTTCTGTTTGCTCAACAGATAATACATTTCTCCACCTGGACAATATTCCATGCAAAAATACAAATGGCTAACACTTTGGAACGCGTACACTAATTTTATTATGAATGGATGTTAAATTTCAATCTTAATTAGATAAGCCAAACCATTATATTGCGTTCTATTCGTGCATCTTGTTTTAAACCAGATTTCTTTAGCACTTTTAATGCATAAAGTTTTTTTGTATCCTTTTTTCTCACCAATAACACTTTTGCATATTTTCCTTTCCCTATTACACAGTTCATTTCGAACGAATCCAAGCTCACTTCTTTTGAAAATTCTTTTGTCAAACAAAGCTATCCTATTTCATCTTCCTCTATAAAATCCATTAAAATATTATTTAATATTTGTATTTCTATAAATTCAAAAATAGAAATTATATATAATTATGTACCATTCTATAGAATAATATCTTTCAAATTATAAAAATCACTTTTATTTATTTTAAAATGTTAGAATTTTAATAATTTTTTAATCTTTGGAAGGGTAAATAAATTATCTATTATTTTAAATAACCTAAGAAAATTCTAATCAAAAATAATTGTTAGAATTTCTATGATTTTATTTGACAAAATGTAATAAATATCAATTAAGCTGTAAATTATTATTTAATTTTATGTTTTCTTTACAAACTAGTTTTTAAAATTAATTAAAAACAACTTTTATGATATATTAAATTAATAAATTTTAATAAAAAAAACTAGTGTAACTTGAAATTAAGTTAATTCTAAAAGTCTTATTTAAAGAATTAATATAGTTTATAAGGAATAATTATATTGCTAGAGTTTTAATTTAAAATGATTGTAATTAAAATGCAAATTAAATCATTAACACTTTATACTAATATCAGAATATTAATATAATTTTTGTCACAAAAAATCATTTATATTTAATTTTGTTTTTCAATATTAAGACTTGAGTGAGAATTTTATTATATCTTAAACACAAACATAATTTCCTAGTCAACAATATTTCGATTTTTAAATTCAAAAATTAAAAGTCTTTTTTTTTTACTATTTTAAACAATTAAATGCTGAGAAACTCTAACTATAGAATCAGAAATTAGTTGAAATTCAATATCTAAAAATTATAATTAATATGTTAGTAGATTATATATACGAGATATAATAGATGAAATTATTGAATATATTTTTAAAGAAATAGGGGATCTTTAAAATTATTAATTAAATAAATTGAGTAATTAATAGAAACAAATTCTACTTGTTCTGTTTTATTATTTATGATTTAATCGAGAGATTATTTTTATTAAGCAATGGTTTTGATAAATTATATTTGGATATTTAAAATTAAATAAATTTTGCTTAATTTTATTTTTAAATCGAATTTCAAAATTCTTCTTAAAATTTTTTATTATTTTATAAAAAAATATTTAGAATTATGTATAAAAGTTATTATTTCAGGAATAAAATATTTTATAATTTTTAACTATTTCTACATTTTTATATTACACATACACTAATTGTAATTTTTGTAATAGTTATCATATGTTTAATTGAGTTTGGAATAATTAATATTAAATAATTAAAAATAAATATGCTAAAATTTATTACTAAAGGATATCAGTTTGCAAGATAATCAAAATAATCAAAGCAAAATAAATAAATGCTGGAAAATAAAGAAACTGAAGATAAAATGAAAAAAATGCAATAATTAGTAAAAATGCCATATAATTAAGGAATAAATATTTAGATCCATTAACTTCAAATGCCTTAGATAAATACATAGATTCCTTTAACAGTGGATCTTTTTCAAGTCTTATCACTAAAATTTCTAAAGATATGACTTCAGAACATAGTCATTTTAAATGTATTTTATAATCACAATTAAAATAGAAATTTGTAAATAAGCTTAATAAAATAAAGATTTATAGAAATTGATGAAAGATTCGAATTCTGAATTTATGAAGCAAGTACGAGAATTGTAAAAAGGTTTTGCTCCTGATTTATTGACAAATAATGATGATAAAAATTATTCATAATAATCATAAACACCATAATAATCATAGGCATCATAATTATCTAATAAGTATAAGAAAAAGAAATGAAATGATATTATTATAGAGAATGCGTTATGCAATCTATAAATTTTAATAATTCTTATTGATTTTGTAAGATTAATGCAGAATATAAAATTCTTTCAATTAAATACTTTGATTCTACCTTAAACTTATGGATTCACAGTAATATATATATCACCTTAATATTCTGTAAGGCCACTAATTATAGATAGAAATCTTTTATATTTAGTTTATTCTAAATCTTTCAAGTTATTAATGATTATTTTTTGTTTCCTTAATCCTTCAAAAAATGAAACAAAAACAGACTTTAATTAAATTCCCAAAGTTTTATCAATTAAATATTCTGTTTATGGTGGATAGCCATCTCCTCCTTCAGCAATAAATTGTTTAGTAGCACAAGTATAAATTTTTTATAAATCTAAAGGTTCATTATTAATAGTGACACTCGAAATTCTATTCATTGGATTTTTTAGCATAGAATACTCAAATTTCATCCCAGAAATTCCTAAAAATCTACCATCAGAGGAAGGAAGTTTAGATACACTAAATTAATATTAATAATAATAATAATATATTACCTAATTTCCAGTAAATATAAAAGTTTTTCTCCTGTAATTTTGAAGGATACAAGATTATCTGGAATAGCGAATAGTTTATCTAATGTCTAATATGTAATAGGACCAGATTGAAAATATTCATCTGCTCTTATTGTACCACAGTTTAAGACAGCTAATAAATAACAAAAATAAAAACCAATATCAGTTTAAAATTCTAATCTTATTATATCTGCGAATAAATTAGCTGTTGTTGTCTCTTAGCTTCTTACAGTCACAAATCTAGCATCAAGATCATTTTCTATAAAACCAATAATTTTTAAAGATTCTAAAATTTTACGAGTTAAAATACTTTCATTATAGACTTTAATTTTTTATTGAACATACGCATCCATCGTTTAGTCAATTGGAATTTAGCTATAGATATTAATGGGATAATAGCTAAGATTATATTTTTGAAATTAATATTCAATAGGTTAGGGAATTTCAAATTATAAATTAAGTGTTTATGGGTTGAATGAATCAGCTAATTCTATAGGAGTAATTTTAATTAATCCTAAATTTCTAAAGTTAGTTCCACTTTTACAATAAAATGTTTGTTTAATTTATTCGTGATGCCATATATGATCATGACCTCCCAAAACTAAATCTATTAAACCTTCATCGATGGCATTAATTAAAATTTAATCATTAGGAATTCTCATATGTGTTAATGCAACAATAAAATTACAGTTAAGATCATTTCTAAGGTATTTACAGAGTTCATTAGCAGAATCTATAAAGTTTCTATATTCAATCTGAGCTGTAGGAATATCTGTAATTAGACCTAACCACTCTTCTTCAGCTAATCCTATGAATCCAATTTAGAAATGGCCAAACGATTATATTTTGTATGGAAGTACATTTGCTAAAGGCATTTATGTAAGTTTATCATAAACATTACTCAAAATCCATGGAGTATTAGATTATTAAAGTAAATCTTCTAAATGATCCAATGGAAAATCAAAGTCATGGTTGCCTAGACATGCCACATCAATCTTAAATTCTTAGAGTGGATAAATAACATGGGAACCTATATACAATGATATTATAATACCATGATAAATATGTGTTAAACTTGATGGACTAAAGACGTCTCCAGAAAATAAGGTCAAGGTGTTTGGTAAGTTTTATTTAAGTTAATTCATAACATATAAAAATCTAGCGGCACCTCCTTTAGGTTCATGCAATTATTCTTCAATGTCATAGACATCATTAAAATGAAGAATATATATACTAGATTATTACATATATATTTTTTATTTAAAATAATAATTCAACAAAATGTATGAGTTTAAATCATTTTATTCCATCTATCCATTATCACTATTTCTTTAAATAAATATATAGCTCCTGAAATAGCACTTATAATTAAAAATAAACAAACTAAATAAATAACTAAGTAATTTTGTTTAGGATTTAATTCTAAATAATAATACATTGGTCCAGCTATAAGCAATCCACTAAACAAACCAAGAATAAAAAAAAATAGAATTTCATTTTTATTTAAATCACCTTATTAATAAGAGAGGATTGTTGTAAATAAAGAAATAAACAATTTTTAAAATCCTCCAGTAGCAGATGCCACTCTTGAATTTACATTTTAAAGAATAAGAATTGAAACTATTATAGCTCCTGCTCCAACTCCAGTCATTCCTCCCATTATTCCTCCTAAAAACCCAGAGATCCAAACTATCATGAAGAATTTAGATTCAATAAAATTGAAATCCACTTTTTCATTAAAGTATCCAATTTCTATCTTTGTTCTTGTTTCTCTACCTAGATGATACTTGATCCCATAAGATATCAATAATAAAACTACTATTATCATACCGGTGGTAATCCAATAGACTAACTAGGTATTAATTATTAATTTACCATCAGAACAATATTATATTCCTATGAATGATTATTATTATTTCCCTCCTCTTATCATTAATACACATTATACTATCATGAAAATAATTAATAAAAGTAAAAATTTGTATAAAGGAATGATTTATTGATCTTCATTTTTATATTATTCAGCTATTAAATTAGTATCTTCTTAATTTGGAGCTATTTTTTATTTATCATCATTAAGTGTTTCTTATTCTTTATTTTATTTAGCTTTATGATATAGTTTTGGAACAAAAATGGAAAAAAAAACTATTAAGATTGAAATTAAAAAGATATCTGGTAAAATTTAATGCAAAATATTTCCAAAAGCACTTCCAAATAAAGCAGTTGGCAATAATATTAATGAGAGTTCATAATCAATAATCTATTTATTAGCTAATGGATGTTTTTAATAGATAAGCATAAGAAAATTAACTAAATTAGTTCCAAAAGTCAATACATACACATAAAGTGTTGCTTTAGATTGAGAAAAATTCAACATTACAATTAAAATTGGGATCTTTTCAATACCACCTCCTAATCCTCCAACTGTTGATAAACCCAATATGACTATTATTAAGAGATATCCTAAACTATTATAAAGAGTCAAAGGGAATAAATCATCATGAACACAATGTCCATCTTGAAAATGGTGGAGATAATCACATTTTGTTGATTCTAAATGATTAAACATTTTATTTATTAATTATATTTAATAATTGTCTAAATAATCTATATCCTTCATAACAACTCATTCAAAAATACTTAATAATTTATTTTTGATCTATTGTAATACTATTTAACTTTTATATTAGATGCATTTTATATAAAGAATACTAATTAAAATTAATATTAATTATATGTTAACTATAATAAGAATAATATTATATGTATGCTTTTAGATGTTGATATTTATTTCATGCCGAATGGTATTATCTTTGTAAGTATTATTTTATTATATTTTAAAGAGTATTTTAGATTTTGAGTACCATAAGCTTTATAATTGTGATCTTCAAAAAACCTGGTATTCTTTGTTCTACCTAAATAAACAGTGAGCAAAAGGTTTAAGTTTTCACTCCTCAAGGGGATAAATAGTTTCATTTTACTGATAGAACCAATAAGACAACTGCTAAAATTTTGCAATCCTCATTAGTTATTTATAAAAGAAAACATCTCAATTCATTAAAAGAAGAAGAATCTATAAAAGATGATAAACAAATAGAAATTCCTTAAATTATTTAATAGGATAATTCTTAAATATAATAGCAATAGTAAAAAGCTCAACCATAATCTGTAGTATATTTAGAATAACTCTATTGTATTTCATGTTTGATTGATCAGATTTTAAGATCTCGTCATTGTAAAATATGTGGATCTTGTATTTTAGCATATGATCATCATAATTTTATTGTTGGAAAATGTATTGGAGAAAAAAACAAACTTTTTTATATCTTTACTCTAATATTCCATAGCATACAAGCAATTTTAGCATCATTATATCTAAATTCTATACCATTTAAAAGTATCTACATAATTTATGGAATTAAAAGTATATACTTTCTCTTTTTTTGTTACACTACTTTATTATTTCTCTATTCAATTTATTTGATTGTAACAAATTAAACCTAAGCTGAAAATAGATTTAGATATAAATTAAATTACATGAAATATGTCAAAGATGATATTGAACGACCTTTTAATTAAGGATTTAGTAAGAATTTTTAGCAATTTTTTATTTCCTCTTTTCAGAAGTAACCTTACAAATGGGCATTTGCTTAATGAAATTCATCATATAAATTTTATTATCATAATTTGTAAAACTTATTTAAAATATCTTTTAATTTTTTTAAGAAAATTTTCATATTATTAACATAATAAAACATATAACACAATAGTTTAAATTTTATTGTTTATGGAATATTTATTAAAATTTTAGGTTCTGTAGTTATATATATTATTTAATTTAAGGATGTCTAAACTAAAATATTGAATAAGATTTCAAATAAATTAGGCATAACATAAAATTTTATTATATATAAGACAGAAACTATAATTTTAAATTATAGATAATAAAGCCAAAATTTTAGAAATAAAAATTTTTAAAGTTGATTTCTTAAGGTGAACTACTCTTAATGAATAGGAAATTTCTAAAATATCAACAATTCGAATTATTAAAAAATTACAAAAATAGAAAAAAATAATCTTCAATGAAATATTAGTAATTGTTATAATGAATAAAAAATTATTTAGGGTTTTCTTTATACAATAAACTGTAGCTGCATAAAAGATCAAATGATGATAAGTAAGATTATTCGATTATATATTTTATTGTAATTTAATAATGATTAACCCTGCTTCAAATTCTCATTCTCCAACTTCTACCTAAGTAATTCTTTATTGTACAATCAGGAAAGAGATAATTTTATTAGACTTCAGGCCCTTTGAAAGGAATTTTAAAAAATAAATCGTTGTATGGAGATAATTTAGATAGAAATTCATTTTAAGGTGATAAAAATGTGGAAGATGAATTAATAGAGCAATCATTTTTATCATAAGGATCTTTTCATGCTCATAAGTATATTGAAATATATCATAGAAATAGAAATAAATAAGTTGTTGAGAAGTAATCAAATATAATTAAACAAACATCTAATAAATTTGGAAGATTGAATAGTGTATGGAGAAACAAGTCTTTAAATATAATATATTATATATCGAAATTTGCAAGATAATTGAAAACTAGTGCTAATAAAATAAAGTTTAAACTATTAACAGGAAGAATATTGGATCTCATAAGAGATTTAGGATCAGACACTGAAGAATTATTAAGACAAAGAGATAATTAATATCATAAAAAAAGTGATAAAACAATCCAATGTTTTAACAAAATATTGAATAAAATTTAATATTTGCCAATAATTGAGCCAGATTCTATAATAAAATTAAGTTGGGATGTAATAGTATTATTGGCTATAGTCATAAATATTATATATATACCTTTAGAATTAAGTTTTTCTGTTGATATGGATTAAACTACATAATTATGTTTGAACACACTTCCATCATGGTTATTTGTTGTTGATATATTTGTAACAATGTAAACTGCTTATTATGCAAAAGGTATAATTCATAGAAATTAAATTGAAATCTTTAAAAATTATCTTAAAGGAGGAACATTAATATTAGATATCATTATAGTAATACCAATTTTGCTATCATCTTTAAATTTTTAATTTTTTAAATATGCTTTATTATTAAGGATCTTTAGATTACCAAAAATAGCAGGCAATATAGAAGAGATAATAAATCCGAATCAATAGGTGAAGGCAGTGATTTCTTTAATAAAATTGATTTATTTCATTTTAATAACCTGTCATTTTTGTGCATGTATGTGGGCTTTTTTAGGTGAGACTTAAATATAATATGGAGAGCATTCTTGGATATTACATTATCAAATTAATGATTCAAATTGGACAGTTAAATATGTTTATTCATTTTATTATTCAGCTATTACTACATTAACTATTGGTTATGGAGATATCACTCCTTAAACTATTCCTGAAAAAATATATACAATTTTTTTAGCTTTGTTAGTTTGTGGTGTATTAGGATATAGTGTTTCTACTGTTGGGGAGATAATTAAGTAATTGCAAGAGAAAAATTAACTATTTAAAGAAAAAATGTCTTTAGTAACTAATTATGTCAAAAGTAGAAAGTTAAATAAGTAATTACAATTATAAGTGAGGAAATATTTTGAACACTATTTTAAATTAGAGCAACGTTCATAAATTGAAGCTGAAGAATTAATGTAAAAATTAACTGTTGAATTAAAATAGAAAGTTACATTTGATTTATACTGTTCTATATTAAAATAATCAAAAGTATTATCTCATTTGTGTGATTCTTGTTTAAAAAAACTCTGTTTAGTAGCACATGAATAAAAATATGCACCTGAAGAGATAATTTGGAAATAAAATGAATAAGCATCCAAATTAATATTTTTAGTTAAGGGGAAACTAGATTTAATGGCGAATGATATAGTATTGAAAAGTTGGAAAAAAGGAGTTATTGGAGAAAGAGAATTTGCTTCATAAACAACATATATTACTTATTTAAAAGCATCTAAATTTTCATAAGTTATTTATATTGAATATTCAGATCTATAAGATGTTTTGAGTGATCATTAAGAAGATTTAGAAAAAATCAAAATGCTATAAGATAATCTTATATTTAATGAAAATTACAAAACTTTTGGGAATGTTTGTGAAGTCTGTGAATGGACACATTCAATTGAAAAATGTCCATTTGTATTTATTAAAGTTAATAAAACTAAAATTATGAATAAATTTAAAGAGACAAAAGAATAAAATAGATTATTTTAAGATAGAAATATATTTAGATATACTTCAAGAAAAAAGATTAGTGATATTTAAGAATGTGCATTAGCTATGATAATAAATGAGAAATTTATACATTAATTAGATATTACTGATGCATATTTACAATAATTAGGATTTGCATTAGATGTAGATGAATAATTAAATGGGAGTGGTTAAAAATAAAATACATAAAGAGAATAAACAATTCATAACGATACTTTTACTGTTAAAAGTAATACAAATAGAGATAATATTAGAAAATAAAGTGATAGCTTTTCTAATGATGTATTAACTTATAGTGGTTAATTACCTCCGATTGTTCCACATTAATCAATCCCATCACCTTAAATATCATAAAAATTAACAATTAATAGAAAAAAAGACAATCAACCAAGTGTTAAATAAAATGATAGCACAACTATATTGAGAAAATTAAAGAGAGAAAACTCTTAAAATGTTGAAAAAAGAATTTAATTTGTATAATCTTAATTAAATGAATCCAAAGAATTAAGAAAGAATTCTAAACTAGATAGTTGGAGAAGTATTGAATAAAATCTTGCAATTTAATCTTATAAAAAAATATCTTACACAAGTTAAGCCAGTGTTAGCTTGTACAAATAAAAAAGTTTATAAAAGTAAATTAGTGTAGCTGCTGCAGTTAGTCCAAGAAAAAAGAAAAATTCTTCTAGTTTTGCAGGTACTCTAAATTCTAGAACATCTAAAGCTCAATATATTAATTCTAATGAAAATGATGATATGGTTATCATCATGGAAGAAGCAGAAGAAAGAACAATTGAATATTGTGATTTTGATCTTGATAAGTAATAGATAATGACAATTTATTTTCCCATTTTTAATTATGATGGAATAATTAAAAAGATTCAGCTCTAATATCAATAAAAGTAAATATCCTTAAAAGCAAGTATGAAAAAATCAAAAACTTTACAACGATTAATGAATGATGAATGATATTATTATTACTTTTTATTAAATCTATATTCATTTGCCAATTTATTTTTAATCATTTTGTTAGGCAATAGCAAAATTAAACCAAAAATAAAAATTCTACTTATTTGTTAATTACATATAAGAGTTTTTCTTTTAATTTAAATCTTATGTTAAAAAAACATATTTTAATATATTCCAAAAAGTAATAAATATATTCCACTTAACTTTTATTAAATTCCAAAAATAAAAATTTAAATTAACAAAATTAGGATTAATAAAAAAATCGTAAATTATATTTTATGCTTTATTTAGCTTTAAAATATGAATAAATTTATTCCTAAAATTACTTTTGTCGGTCAATATTGATAAAAAAGATAAAATACATAATATAGAAGAATAATAATTAAAATTTTTGGAAACAAATTCTAATATTTTACAATTCAAAATATAGATGTTGATAAAAATATATTAAGAAATTTGATTAGATATAAAGGATAAAAAGTCAAAAGTATTATTTAACAAATCTGGTTTGTTTTCTCTATAATTTTTTTGTCAAGGGCTTTGGACTTCCATCAATTTAACCTTTCTTCATTATGTTATTAACAAAGTCAATCACCATTATTGAGGGTCTAAATTCGACTTTTTTTAATTCTTCATTCTTAAAATATCTAGAATGTTTTGGTAGTGTCTTTACTTCTGGACTTTTTGAGATAACAGGCAGTTTATTTTCAATCTTTTATTATTGTAACGATGATTCTTAAGCAACATTTTTTAAAATATAAGACACACTTCTTTCCTTAGAAGGATTAATTAACTTAGATTTTAACACAAATTTTTCTTCAATCGAGGGTAACAATTATACAATATGGTTTTCAGATATCACTCTTAATTATCTATTGGTTATTTAATTTTCATTTTTTGAAGCAGTATTCATATTACCTTCTGTTTTCACTGAAGTTGTATGAAGAATTGTTTATAAATCTAAATCATTCAAAAATCGAGAAGGTCTTAATTAATTTGCAAGGGTTTTTTATGTTTTTCTTCGTTCAGTCAGAATCATGAGTAATATCAATAATATTTATTAAATTATTTAATTTAAACTATAATCTTAAGCCTTGTACGCTTAAATATAAAAATACATTTGCATGAATTTATTTATATTAATTGATTTTTATAATATCAAGAAAACATAATTAGAATATGGGAGACTTTTTTAATTCAAATTACCAATAAATTATTATGAATTTTAAATAAAATTATTGGTCAAATATTATTCAATATGGATCAATTTTTGGCCAAATAATGTAGTTTTCTTACTCTACAACTTTTTTTACTAAATTAGAGTCTAATTATAATTACTCTTCAAATTTAAATTAATAACCTGAAAAAACTTATAATTTTTCTTTATTAATCTTAAGTAAGATCATTTTATTTCTTTTTTGATATGTATTATAATTAGAATAAGTTTTAAAATATAATCTTGTCAAACTTTGAGTATCCTTATTTTCATTATCATTAATTTCCTTTAATTTATAATACAAATGAATAGTTCCATCATTTTTAGTCATGTTATAATTACTTTAAAAACTTATACATGCAAACATTTCATTTGGTCCAAAATATAAGTTTAGCATTTTCTTTGTTTGTCCCCTATATAATTAAAATTTTAATTTTGGTTATTCTTAAGGTGAAATACTGAAAATAAATATTCTTTAATTGTCAACTAATGGAGAAATTGCGATTAAATTGCTATCATCAGAAATGGTAATACAAGTTTATATATAAACAAAACTAAAATTTATTCTAAATTAGGATTCTGTTTATTTTTGTTATGATAGAGATTATTTTTAATTATCGATAATTTATTCATCTGAAATTATTGTCATAGTTTTTAAATTTATTCCTTGCAAAGTCTAATAATGTAAGAAATCAATTAGTAAGTAAGATGCATTTTAATTTTGATAAGTTAAGATGCAATTATATAAATTTTTATTATTTGCAAATATTTTCTAATCATTTAAGCTTTATATTTTTAAATATCTATAAGCTTAATTAGTTCTAATATTTAATACTAAAATAATATTTTGATATTATTATTTAATTCCTGCAATTATAAATGGATCGCAAAAAGAAATTTATTATGGAGTTGAGACCATAGGAAATTATTTTAAGACTTGCCTTTAATTATAATCCCAAATAATAATTAATTAATCTAAAGCAATAACAAATTGACTTTCTTAATTTTCAAAGAAATCAATAGAATATATTTCCCCCAATTTTAAATCTTCTTCATAAATTAGAAGTTTATCTTGCAATAAATCATACAATTTGAAACCCTCTTTTATCACAAGTAGAATTTAGTTTTAATCCTAAAATCAGAATTTATTTATTTTACAGCAGAAAATTTCATATCCAAAACTAGAGATTCTGGCCCTTAAATAAAGGTTACATCATCTTCTTTTTCTATTGGTTGATTTCCTTCATATACACTTTCATGAATATAAAATGACATTTATATTAGCTTTTTAAATAAATAAATATATAAAATAAATAATAATCTTAATTGATAAATAAGCTTAATAATTGTGAATGAATTTGAATTAAAAGTAATTAATTATCAATTTTTAGATCAAGATAAAAAGTTTAATAATTAACTAAATTTATCTATTCTTGAACTCTATTTATTAATAATAATATGATACTAAAAGTCATTTATAAATGAGTTTGCTAAAATACATGTATAAATGGAATGATCATTCATTTAGTTGTATTTCAAAACTTGAAATTCCGTTTAGTTAAATTTCCAAAATTTATATGAAGAAGTTTGACTATCATTCATGTATTTCACAGTATGACATCCCCAATTTAAATTTTATACTTTAATGATTCTATAATTCTAATCTAATAAATAGAAATCTAATTCATTAAGGGATGTTGATAATTTTTAAATTCAACTAGTATGTGTTTCACTTAATGAATTCCAAAATGCATCGGAAAAACTAGATGAAAAATTAAAAATAATTATAACTCCAATATACTTTTATATAAAGGACTCTAAATCAACTCTCTATGCACCAAAAAACATCCAAATGATTAAACATTCTAAAAAGTTTTCATTATAATTTTATTTTAGAAAACTTTTTCTAATTTTCAAATTATCATATTGTTTAATTTTCAACTCAACTAATTAATTTTAAATTATAAAATTAGACATAAACATACGAGAAATGTTTTTTTTCATTATAAAGTATAATGTAATGTTTTTTAAAAATTAATGCAAAAATGATTATTAAAAATAAGTTAATATACAAAATTAAATATAATTTATTATTCAAATAAATGGTTATTTTTACGTATTTACCTAACTAATTTAGCAAGAATTAAATATTATAAATAAACTAAAGGTAAAACTAATTAAATTAAGAAAGTTATTCAAAATGGTATATAATTTAATAAATAGCTAGTTCTTATAAATTGTTATAGAATTTAATCAAAACTTCTAAACTAGTTTTTGAATATTTATAATTAAGAATAAAATAAACTTTTCTTTTGAGCCTCTAATTACAGACAATAAGGAAAAGATCATAAGAACTTTAAAGTTGCCTCTCGAGGCGCCAACAGCTTTAAGTCTCATAGTTTAAATCTAAGGTATCTTTAAGGACTCAAAAATTTTGATATAGAATCAAAGAAGAGATAACTTATTCGCCTATTCTGTATCACTCTATCAAATAAAGAGTAGTATTTTAAAATTAGATGATGCTTATGGTATTTTAAAGTTAGATAATTCTTAAAGTTAATTCTACAAAACCTCCTTTAGTAAGATTATTCCCCAAACTTGAAAGTATTGCATAGTTCATGTACTTGAAACTTCATCTGTGTAAATTAGAATCATAAAATTAGAAATGGAATTTAAATAGCAGATTTTTGTTTTTGGAAAAATGGAATATTTGGAAACAAAATTATGAATAAATATATGTTCACTCTAAATCAAAAAAATAATGTAGGACAATTTTGAATTTAAAATTTAAAATATCAATCTGAACTTATATTAT